TGTTTGGGCAGCCTTGTCATCATGCACCCCCCCTCAACAAAGGGGTACGCCTTCGTCGATACCGAACTTATCGGAGGCGACCCAGACGAAGGAAACATACCATGGCAAGGCGCAGGGCAAGCTCACACGTGTTGTGGACCCCATCGGCAGGCACTCCTGTGGCCAGGTCTTGTCGGAGAAGAAAGTGGTGAGCTGAGGCAGGTGGAGGGTTCTTGGCAAGGTACCCATGATGTTGTTTGAGGTTTTGGCCCCCGCTCGCCCCCTTTCTGGTGAGACGATGGGATCAAAGTATTGGGTACTTTGCTCCCGCCTGAGTCTCGGGTGCCTCCGTTGCTGATACGGTACCTTGCAGGAAGCTGTTGCCACGCGTGAGCGGCCGACAGGACGGAGTTTATCCAGGGGTCTGGTTCTGTTCCTGCATTAGCTCACCAGCAGACCCCAGAACACCACGCAGGGCAGAGAGGGAGCTGCTGCAACTCCTCCAACTCCCACTCGGTCGGTCCCGTCTTTAGCTTGCTGCTGCTGCATATGACAAGTCCTTTTTTTCTTTTTTTTTTTTTTTTGGAATATTGTCCTTCTTCAGCAGCGACATACATCTGTACAACTCATCAGTCGGGGCTGGCTCTGGCTATGTTGGACAGCTGGTGCGGCGCATCGGGACAAGCGGCCACACGGAAGGCTCAGATCGACCATGCACCGTCATGCAGGCGCGTGATGGGAAGATTGGCGGTTGAGGGAAGATTGGCGGTTGAGGGAAGATTTCCATTCACGCACAGGCGTCCACTCACGGTGCTGGGCATTGCATTTGTGCCTCATCATGTGACGGCCGAACGTGTGTTCCGCCAGCCAAGGATCGTCAGGTTGACAGCTCGATGTTTCTCGTCTGCATCGAGCAGCCCAGGGTTGCTGCCTGCACCCATTTGCGGCCGGAACGTGTCAAGTGAAGCTCTGCCTCTACGGTTTTGAGACAGTGTTGATCCCACATTTCAGATGGCGCATATGAGCCCAATCTCGCTGCGATTTCAAGATTGGCGAAGAACAGCACTGGACGAGAGCTGGTCCGTTTTTGTGGTCATCTGTCAGTATCCCTGGATTGACCTCCGTTACGAGGCAGCAATGGCCCCATCAGCACAAAACGGAGCAGGTGGCCTGTCGAGCTGTCTGTTGCCCAGCACTCAGATCCAAATTTCCAGAAGACCCAACGGAACATCAACCGCGATGAGGCTAAGCCCATTTCTGCAAAGCCTGCCACAGGGCCCGGGTCACCCGGGTCGCCAAACTCCACTGCGCATATCGTTTTTCTGCACGTCGCAATGACGCAGAAGGAAGAGCGAGCAGACGATACGGTGCGGGCTATCCGTATTCTCGGGCGATGCTGTCATCTGCGTCTGCATGCCCTGGTGATATCAGTGCACACTCTGGCTGCGAACCTGGCCGCTGCCCGGTGTTGGGCGTGTTGTTGTAGTGTACTCCGTATGCGATGCAGGAACGGGGAAGCAATCCGGACGGGCGGGTCCTCATGGCGCATGCGCGGGCCGGACCAGGTCTCGAAGAAATGACACGGACGCTCAAATTTCTGCAAGCACTTGGAAAAAGCGCACGCGCCCCTATCATCACCAGTGAACTCTTCTGGAAGCATTTTGGGAACCTTGCAGACATGGGTCCTGGGATCATCTGGATCACCTGGATCACCTGGATCACCACCATCAACAAAGCCTTTTCATTCAATCAACCATCGCCAATGATCGCGCACAGGCTTACAGGGCAACCATTCACCAATTCCAGCAAAATGGTTAGCAGCAAGAGTCACTTCCCCTTGGTCGGCTCTTGTGTTGCATCGAGCGGCGGTCATCATCATGACTTTGACTTCCAACCGTCCAAACGGGGATATCATTTGTTTGGGACCGGCCGGGGAAGCTTTCCGCTTGTGCCATTTTTGGTAATTTCGGTTTTTTTTGGTTTTTTTGGGGTTTTTTCCCCCCCTTCTCTGGTTCTGTTCCCTTTTCGTTATCTTGCTCCGTTTGCTGTCATCGTCGCTCCTGGGACGAACAGCCGGCTGGGCATGTGCTCGGCATGGAAGCTAACCACGTTTTGGGAGGCGCGTTTCAAGTTGCTCTGTGAACGCGATCTGCACTGCGAAATCGCGTCCCGCCCGTTGATACCACCATCTCTCAAAGGCCCGAATACTCGGTATTTCCTGAGGCTTGGTGTGGGAGGGAGAGTCATCGTTCTGAAGCACGAGGTAAGGGAAAGAAGCAATGGTTGCCTCTGGATCATTACCCTGGGGGGTCACGATGCGAGATGCAAGGCGGATGCGATGCGATGCGATGTGGGTGGTGCGTATCCAAATGCAACCACTCAAAAGAAATCTGGGGGATATGCGACGGGGAAAGACGGCTCGTGAAATTTGGGCTTGAATATTTGTCCTGTTCATCACCGGCCGGCCCTGACATGTTGGCGAGCTGGTAGCGAGAGCGATGTTTTTACGACACACACCCGTCATCGCCCTTAACCACCACTGCCGCTCCTGCATTATTTCTTCACTCTATGGCCTCATCATCCTGTCCAAGACACAGGTAGATTTACCGTCATGGCGGCCACCTTCCTCATGCCCCTTTGCCTTTGAAACCTCTTTTTCTCCCGCTCCTCCCACATTCATGGAACATGATATTTCGCTAATCTAGGCGGATGGACTGTCAAGCAGGTGACTTTTTTTGACTTGCCTGCCCTGGGAACACGTCTCCGATGCCACACGCGTGGGAAGACGCTAACCAATAGAGCCCCATGCTGCCGATATTTCTTTCTCACCGAACCCCAGATCCCAAGAGAGAAAGATGGGGGGATGCCGGTGGTATCATACCTACCCAATCCCAAAGCTCAGGCCGTCTCTGTCCCTTGATTTCTTCAACAACAGCCTGCTTGATTCGGGATGTGAACCCGTTCTGTACACTCTTTCTCCGTATTAACCCCAGAACAGCCAAAAAAAAAAAGTAAAACTTCAACTCGGCGCTCACGGGTTTGTCTACCGAACAGGCAGTTGTTAAAAATGTTCCAGCGTGCTTTCTCCAAGTGAATTCCACACCTTCGTCTCACCACCAGCAGCCCACTGCGTGTCCACCACGGTCTTCCCGTGCAAAACTCCACAGAGTCCTAAAAAAGATCCCTGCCTGTCGGGACTTTGTTGTTTGACCGTTTTATTTAATTTTTTGGAGGGCTGCGTGGTTGATGGCGGGTGTCATCATCCCAAAGAGGTGTCAACCCCGGAGCTATAATACCCTGCCTGATAGCACCCAGACGGGTCGACCACGCCCGGGGCTAGAAGGTGAGAACCAACAGGAAGGAATGAAAATTTTTCCAAACAACAGCCCTGTTTTGCCTGGGCAACCAGCCAGTCGGTTGACAAGGCTGGTTCGTGGCGGTGTACGGTCAGACCTCTCCTCTCACCTTCGGTGGGCAGGAGGTTATGCTCAACGATAACTTTTTTTCCTGGATGAGTTATTACTCAGAGGATTGGTTCCCTCCGACTTTTGTGTTCCCCTTGCTCCTTTCACTTTGTACCGGTCGTCATGGGTACCGTTCTCGGCTGCTCGTGCCGAAGGAGTTGAAACGGGATGGGCTGGTGAGGGTGTGAAAAACGAGTTTATCACTCAGGGAGGAAGTAACTTGCTGAGTTAGAAGCGAAAGCGACCGTGACATTTGACTGGTAGGTTTGACACCTGTTAGTTTGTCACGGGACTTGGAAGGCTCACGATGTCGCTGCGAAGTGCCGGTGGGTTATATATGGAGACACTGGTGATGGCATCGCGAGACTAGAGGGTCTACACCATGAGTGATAAGGAGGAATGAACAGAGGGTGATGTGTTTCGTTTGTGACGGGATCGTGACGGCTTGGTGAGCAACGGTGCATTCTCGTCATTGGGCAAAGGGTTGGATGGGAGGTCGGTCGTTTATGATGCCCGGGTTCCTCGCATGATGTCTTTCCAGGGCTGAGAACTGGGCAATTCGGCACATCATACTCTGCTACATCGAACTTTTTGACGAGAAAGGAAGTTACCTAGACCCGGGTGGCAGGAGAGTGTCGGCTGGCCGTTGAAATGACTTCTACTGCACCTAAGGTATTGAGATGCCTCATCCACAAATAGACCATTGGGCAGGACAACCATGCTCTTCAGATGCCCTGATACCTAGAGCTTCACTCGTGGTTCAACGCATAGAAATCCAAATTCGACATATAACTGGAACTGCCTTATAGGTCATGATAGGTTTTGCAAGCCATATAAATCTAAGCAGTACATGCATATACTTCCTCGAGTAAAAGATAAATAGGCAAGCTCGAGAACAAAGACCCAAAGTAGGTGAGAAGACTTCGAAGCCTGGAGCTTGATGGAAGGAAGAGAGGTATGGCTTTGAGGATATATTGGTAGCTGTGTCTTTCACGCATTCTGCCTATAGCACAATAGCTTGTACAGTTACAAACAGAGTTCAAAACTGCAGTCACTTGGCCAGTCATTAAGACAAATACAAGATAGAATCATCCTCTCTGGTGTTAATAATCATTTTAATAGAGCCAGATCCAGGCCATAGTGGGCAGAGCCTAGGACTGACAAAGCTCACGTTTTGAGAATAAACTCATCTTTAACTTGGGCAAAATGTTGAGTGGGCAAGCTGTTAGATTGACCCAGATCATCTTGGCTCAAACTACCTACATGGGGGAATATCCTCAGGCTCGCACATGTTCAGGCACATGGTCACAGCATATCCCAAAAGCTCATAGCTCAAGTTCAACTCCAAGCTCAAGCTTCCCACAGGACCAACCTTTCGAACCCAGGTTTCCTCACAAACCCAAGGGTTGCCAGCTTGTTTCCAATCCCAAGCTCGAGTCAGTGGTGCTGCTCGCCCCCAGGGAACACCTCTTATCAACCTCCACAAGACACAAAGCCCTACACTACACATAAACCCACCCTGGGACATGCCACACATAGAATAATGGGTATAACCTTGCCCGGCTAGCTCAATCGTTAGAGCGTGAGACTCTTATGTACAGAGTACTCCGATATCTCAAGGTTGTGGGTTCGACCCCCACGTCGGGCTCAATTCCCGTCGATGCGATTCGATCTCTTTTTCTCATTAGGCCAGTCATGATGTCTTTTTGTTGTTTAGGTTTTGTGGGCTTGGTGGCCACCTGGCTGGCGTTGTGTTCGGGTTTTCTCTATGACATATAGCTGGGTTGAGGTTGTCGGTCTTATCTTTTGTTAGATGTGCATTTTTCAGCTAGATAAAGGTAGCTAGTGGTTGGAACCTAAGAGGTGTAAGGTGAGTGTTTAAGGTGTCTAAGAAGAAGAATACACTAGTATATAAGATTTATTATTGTAGCTGAACTTCAGGCATGTATGCATACAACCCTCTCGCTTGATGAGCTCTAGGTTGGGGGAATGATATCCATGCCTTTTCTCATGATGTCTGACTCGAAACACCATCGCGGGTGGGTACAAGCTGCAAATTGAGGTACAAGGTCCACCCCCTAACATGTAACAACCCTAAAAGCATCAGTGGTTTAGTGGTAAAATCCATCGTTGCCATCGATGGGCCCCGTGTTCGATTCACGGCTGATGCATAAGAAGAGACTTCTCTTTTGCCCAGATTCTCAGTCTATCCGACTGGCGATACATTTTTTGCCAAGTTCTTTTGTCGTTTTGATGTTTCCATGGCAATCTACGAGATGCTATAGAACAGCATTCTTTCCTCGCAGCATGTCTACCCGACTGATAATGAATGCTTGTGGCAAGGAACGTTAAATAACATCCCGTGGGCGGATGTTCGCACGTGCTGTTCCCGAGCGGCCAGGAACATTGTCCTAGATGCTCTGGTTCCTTCCGCAGAATGTTGAGGACCTAGACAGCAGGGGCTGGTTGCTCAAGGACGGGAAAGTGCGACAGTGCTTTCGACGATCGAGAGGAAGGAACCTACCTATGCAGTACATGACTTGTGTGGGTACATGAACGCTGGTTCTTTCCAAACCCGGCATCTCACTATTGCATATGGCGGGGAGAAGGTCAACACGCACCCTCTTCAACCTTTAGAACTGCGAGCTGTGGGCATCTCGCCTAGGCTTTGTGCCCATATATCTCCAAGAAACATGACCACCACCTGTTCCGCGAAGGGTCAACCGCCCCCAAGTTCCCCTTTGCTTCTAAAACGGAAACGGACCAAGCTAGAGCCTGAGCCTCCGAGGTTGGGAGAGGAATCCAACATTTGGCCGGCACATAATGGCTGGGCCTCTTCATCTCCCCCGAGGTCAGCGCTCTTGACGGTACGCTGATAGTCAGGCTTTGCTGATTGTATGGGGACGGGATCATAGGAAGCGGGAAAAGTCTGAAATATCTGACTCTGAGGGAGACCCTCTCGATTTGTCCGGAGAAGATGGCTCTCAGAACACAGCTAGGAAGCGTGATCCTCAAGAAATTTTCTCTGATATCCTCCCATCGCTAGAGATCTCGCCCACGAGGTCAAGCCCTCTGGAAAAACATCACGCTTGGCAGCAAGGTACAAGTGAGATAGAGGATCTTATCGAGGACGACGTTGGTGAGCAGAGTTATTCTACCTGGGACGAGGATGCAATACATACCGAAGACCGGGCGAACGACGACGACCAGAAACGCGAGGACTGCAGAAATGAAGACAAGGAGGATTGCAGGAGCCGACTCAGTACACCAGATGTGGTTTCTTGAGAACCTGGGAAATATGGCCTACTCATTCTTGTCGTTGTAAGTCTAATGTGGTTTTCGAGGCCTACAATATCTAAGTAGTTTGGCTAATCGAGGTATAGACGAGGGTCTGTAACGGTCAAGCTATGTTCGTAAAGAAAGAAAGAATCCCCCCTATGTTGCTCACGAACCAGACAGGTAGTGTTTCTAGTAGTAGTCATATCAAAAGATAAGGCGGTGAAGTCTTGCTTCATGGTGAGTGGAATACACTACTCTCCTAATTCAGGTTGATATTAGGCATATTGTCCATCCACTAACACCCTGCACTAATGGTGAGAGTGAAATGCCATCGACAGCAAGATGAAGAGCAACAAAAGTCAAAAGAAAAATACAAAAAATAACATGGTCTTAAGTGTCGTTTCGACGGGAATTGAGCCCGACGTGGGGGTCGAACCCACAACCTTGAGATATCGGAGTACTCCTTAAGAGTCTCACGCTCTACCGATTGAGCTAGCCGGGCAGTGGCTAACGATCAACCATGCTTTGTTGTTAAATTCAGTGGTGGGAGAAGGGTTAATGTGAGGGAAGAGATTTTTCTTGTTGTGTGTGGGTGGGTGCGGGTTTCTGGGAGGTGTGTGTGGGCACTTGCTGGGCAATACCTTGAAAAGTTGAACCAGGGATCCGGAGCCAAGGGAGCATTTTTCAGGGTTGGCGCTGTTTGTGAAAGCACGAAAACCAGTAAGGTTTGAGGGAAAAGGATGCCGTGAGCTTCAAATGTCTCTTGTCTTAGGGCTTGGTATGCTCAAAAGTGATTTGAAGAAGCGAAGTAAAGATTGTAAACTATTGATTAACATAAAGTCTGTTTAAGCCCCGAGTCCTCCCCGCAGAGCTCCGGCCTCCATCAGAAACCGGCAGTGGAGCCCCGGGGTGGGGCCGTAAGCTCACCGTCGGACCAGTGCGGGGCAGGGCGCAGTTTGCCTGAACCCGTCTCCCTGCCTCGTCAACGCAAGCTGCATGCGCAACGTCAAGCTGTCCAGCAATCCAGTTCCACACGGAGCTATCAACCAACACTATTTCTCAACATCACCACTTCCAACCGACAGTGCCACGATCTCAATTTCACCATATCCAAAACCGCACAAATCGTATAACCACAGAGAAATAGCCCAACAATGTCTATTATCCAACAACACACCGAGTCCTCGCTCACCGATGCCTGGCGCACCATCAACATCGATGCCCTCGACCCCGACTCCTCCCAGAACTTCCCTCTCTCCACCCTCCACCCTCCCCAGCCCGAATTCTCCGACCCAGACGCCCGCAACCTCCAGTCTCAGATCCGCCAGCTCCTCCAAGCGGGCGATGCCGAGGGCGCGCTGCGGTCGGCTCTCGAGAATCCAATCTACAATGCTCCCGATCTGGCCAAGGAAACGCATCTGCAGACCGTCATCGAGGTGCTGCAAAGGATCAAGGTGAACGAGATGACGCCTCTTTTGCAAAAGATCTACAATGATGATAGGGGTAGCGAGAGCTTGGACGTGTTGATGAAGTACTTGTCAGTTATTGTTGGGCGCAAAAAAAGGGGGCGAGGCACATGCTGACATGATGTGAATAGGTACAAGGGTATGGCGGCCACGTCGAGCGGTATCTCCAGCCAGCACACCGGCAACGGCCCGAGAACACCAACCAAGTTGATGACGCCCCAGGCAACGGGGTTCAGTCAGATTGGCAACAGGTCCGGGATAACAGCCGGAGACTCCACCGGCGCCGCCATGAGCGTCTTGCTTAGTTGGCATGAGAAGGTGGTGGATGTGGCCGGGCTGGGGTGCATTGGGAGAGTCATGACTGATTTCCGGAGGGTATAAGACATTTGCATTGTACATGCGAATTCCAGGAAACAGGCGGATAGAACAGTGTGGGGGAATATTTTTACAAGGCGTTTTCATGAGCGACAGGCCAAAATACAATGACATTGACGACGATGTTGAGTCGTCATCTATTTTGTTCCCAACACATCCCTTAGATTGATCTCTCCACTGCCCCTCGGCAACGGCTTTGGTTGATCCCCTCCTTCTTTCCACCCAATCATGTGTATCACCCTGAATGTCGCCGGTAGCCTCACAGTCCCGTCCTCGTCCTTGCTTCCATGAAGTTCCCTATATATCCCCTCCGCTGCAAGCAGAACATCCTTTCCAATCGCACCCACCTCCCTCCCCAACACCGCATTGCCCTCTCCCATGGCCTGGAGGTCCTCCATCAACGCAAAAGTATCAGGGTATTCCACCACAATGTCCTCCACATCCACCGTCAACATCTTGAACCCTGCCTTCCCCAGCAACCCCCCGACATCCTTGACATCCGCCAACGGCGACACATGAACGCCAATCCCGCCCCTCCTTTCCTGCTCCGCCAGCTGCAACGAAGTCCTCAGCTCAAAAAGCGTATCACCCCCCAGCATGGCCCCAATAAACGGGGCATCCGGCTTGAGAATCCGGTTGATCTGCCCCAACACACCAGGGAGATCATTGATCCAGTGCATGGACAGGCTTGACAGCACCATGTCAAACGTGTTGTCCTCCCACGGCAAGGGGCCCTCCTCGTACGGCAAGACAACACGCTCCATGTTGATCTCCTTGTTGAACTCGAGCTCCGCGTCCCGGAAGAGAGCCTTTTGGCTCGAGTCGGCAGCGACGAGCTTGCCGATTTTGGTGGCCAGGGGTGGGATGTCCGCGTCGGGCTGGGAGGGGTCAGGGTTGGGGTTTGTGAGTGCGCGGGCGAGGGAGTTGGTGTAGGCTCCGAAATCGAGGGTCAAGGGAAAGGTTCGTTTTACGTCCTGGGGGTGGGTGGGTAGGTGGTTAATAAATAAATGGAACATGAAGTGAGATTTAAGGTGTCGTGAGGGTAGGGAATACCAAGAGCCGTTCGGCCACGCGCATGGCGACTTCATCTTTCAGATAGTCGGCCTGTCGGCTGGCTTCAGCGTTGGAGGCGGCGCGCTCACGCTGGAGCCATTTTGTGCGGTTGTTGAAGACATGGAAGGAGGTGGGGATGCCAGAGGTCTGGAAGGCGTAGGGTCTTTTTTGGTGTGGGATTTTTGGGACTAGGCGGGATGACAGTGGCCTGCGAAGGGCTGTTGGGGAGAAAGGGGTCAGCCGCATTCTTTCTGTGTGAATGCGCAATGGCTATGGCGTCGCATCTTGAGGAAGCAAAAAAGTGAGGTTTGCAATCCGAGGACTGACATTGGAGGCGCCAAAACGTCATGGACGGCGGTTAATTGTGGGAAGCTACCTTCTTTAGGCTTGGCGTGTGACGGACAATAACCGGCATCCATTCTCTATGTATGTAGTTCCTTTAGACTTTAGGTCAAATAGATATTCACAACTACGATCGTATAATATGTCCTCCATATAAGGCATCCAATGCTTTAAATAATTATACATGTGTTAAGATAAACCAAGAAATGAACCTCCAACTCCTCGCTCGCATGCCTGTTAATACCAACAATCATGATTTCAGTCAGGCACGGCCTGGACTAGCCTGTCTTTTCCCAGATACTAATCGACCAATCGCCGCCACACACTTCTTTCCTCCCCCTATTGTTGCCTGGGCACTTGACGCTGCAATCCCACTCGTTTGCTTTGGCACTAGGAGTGCGCTCCTCTATTCTGTTGCCACAGTAGCAATCGATGCCAATCTCAGTGCCAAAGTATTTGAAGCCCGCGCAGATGCGAGAGCACATAAGGTTCGTCATGGAGCTGTTCCCCTTTGCCGGCTGGTCAATCAGCAGGCGCTGGGTATCGTCGTAATAGCAGCCAACATAGCGGTAGCCATCAACAACGACATTGGTCGAGTAAGATACCGGCGCACTGCTTGTTTGTGATGGCGGCGGTGTTTCGGTACCGGTGTTGGTATTGTCGTCGATCGGTGCAATCTGGTCGTTCCCGCCACTTGTGCTCCCTCCGGCTATCGCGGCGACATTACTGGCGAGTGCTGGGTACGATGTCTCGAGCGAGGAGATCTTGCTTCCCAGTAAACCTCCAACCAAAGCTAGCGCCGCAATGACAAGGAACAGTAGTCCCGTGGTGACGAAGAAGAGAATGCTCAGTCGAACACCGCATATCCTCTTTTCCTTGGGCTCGACGGAGTCCTCAGCGCCGAGAATGGTGTGGGACTGCGGGTACTGATTTTGGTAGTATGGCTGCTGCTGTTCGTATGACTTGAAATATGCTTGGGTTTGGTGTTGGTGGACCTCAGGAGCATCCCCCCCTGGAAGAATAGCTACGGGATACTGCAAGGTGGTGTTAGGTAGGCACTGTCTAGTTGGTAATATATGCAACGGTACTAACACTTCTAGGATCCTGTTCCATGATGGCGAGTGACTGGTGAAGCCCCAACTTGTAATCTACGGAGAGAAAGGAAGGAGGATCGGTGGAGAAGGGAAGGAAAGGATAAAAAGCCTGAAGGAACTTGTGCTATCTTCTATCCCGACGCGGCCGGTGTGAACCTTTTGCAAGATGTTTTTTGGCATGATCAATCAAGAAAAGAACCGAGCAGGCCAATCAGCATCGGATCCTGAGATGTGGTTGGGTAGGTAGCATTACCGCCGCAACTGTGCCTCTCTTCTGCATTGTCGGTTGGACCATGCCAGATTAGGGACTCGCGTCTTCTAACTAACAAGCATAGTGTGCAGTAGTGGTTTCGATTAAGCGCCCTCAGCCGCGCCAGCGCGCATGATGAGGACCTGTCAGCTTTATCATTTATGATGGCAATGCCGAACGGACAGTAGGTAGGCTGTGGACTTGTAGTAGAGAGTGCAAAAGATACTATTGATTCGTAATATGATCCCTTGGTGGCGGTCGTTTTACTCTCTCTCTAGACACTGAGCCAGGCTCGAGGGTACCAGGTATCAAGTTTGTGCCATTGCGGTCTCATTGGGCCTCGACCGAGCGGACCTATGCGCGGGGAAGATAAGTAATGCAGAAATGTAAGAATAAGGACCAGATGAAAAGAGTGTACAACGATGCCCAGTTCGTTGACAAATCTGTCCGTCTGGGACAGTTTCACCTCATCTGGGGAAGTGAATTGGTCTGTGCTGGTTTACTCACGTGCTGTATCACCTGACTGTACACTTGGCCATCGACCAAGTCTTTAGCGCGCCGTCCACATCTCGCGTTCGAGCATGGACAGGGATCAGAGCAGCTGCGCCAATGCGACAATGCTCCATCTTTTTCCAGACCCTCCAATTCCACAGCAACCCCCCTGAGCCGACCCGACCGCATCCCGACGACTACCTCGAGGCGACGCATTGTGAGCCAGCCACTGTCGCCAGCATCGTCGACCGTCGGAATTTTAACGATATACACGATATCGTTGTCAACACCACACGTATCAGTTCTCGTACACCCAGCCTTGGGCATTTGGGGCTCTGAGATGCAGCCGGCCGATTCCCGTTAGCTTTCGATCGATTCGAAGCGCGCTCGAACTCAACCAGCCAGAAACCACACTGTTGCTGCTTCCCTGCTCCGTTGTCTTTGAAATCCAGCCTCCGAAACCTCGACTTTCTCTGTCGATTTCGCTTATACTTGAGCCCTTCGTCTAGACTAGTCGCGTGACGGGGATATTGAAAGCTGGGGGGATTACCAGGCCTTGACGGCATTACCACACTACACTGCATTTTGTTGCAGACATTACGCCCAGCTTAGCTTGCATCATACAAGAGCAGAACAGAGTTGAGGATATCACAAAATGGCGTCTTCAGGCCCCACGGGCTTTCTGGGCCGATCCAGCAGCAGCAATGCCAATATGCGAGGACTAGTGCAGTTCATTGCCGACTTGCGCAATGCGCGTGCTCGAGAATTGGAAGAGAAGAGAATCAACAAGGAACTGGCCAATATCAGGCAAAAGTTCAAAGGTTTGCGACCCCTCTTTCCGATCACATGTATTCTATAAGCCCACACTGACATGGCTGGCAGATGGTAATCTGAGCGGGTATCACAAAAAGAAATATGTTTGCAAGCTTCTGTACATCTACATTCTGGGCTGGAACGTCGATTTTGGACACCTCGAGGCAGTTAATCTCATCTCGGCAACAAAGTACTCGGAGAAGCAGATTGGGTATTTGGCAATGACCTTGTTCTTGCACGAGCAGCACGAGCTATTACACCTGGTGGTGAACAGTATTCGGAAAGATCTGATGGACCACAACGAACTGTTCAACTGCCTTGCACTGCACGCCATTGCAAACGTGGGTGGTCGGGAGATGGGCGAGGCCCTTAGCGCAGAGGTACACAGGTTACTGATCTCACCGTACGTATCAGGCAGGGGGTTGTACTCCTGCGCACATCTACGTCTCGTTATTATCTCGCTAACATGTACGTAGCACCTCGAAATCTTTTGTCAAAAAGAAGGCGGCGCTTACCCTGCTCCGCTTGTACCGAAAAAACCCTGGCATCGTCCAGCCTCAATGGGCAGAGAGGATAATACATCTTATGGATGACCCGGATTTTGGCGTGGCATTATCCGTTACCTCACTAGTCATGGCTTTGGCCCAGGACGACCTCGAGCAGTACAAGGGCGCATATGCCAAGGCCGCCGCCCGCCTGAAACGGATCCTTATCGACGGGGAGTACGCCTCAGACTATCTGTACTACAAGGTGCCTTGTCCCTGGCTCCAGATCAAGCTCTTGCGACTCCTGCAGTATTTCCCACCTTCCGAGGACAGTCACGTTCGGGAGATGATCCGGCAGTCCCTTCAAAGGATATTGGACCTCGCCTTGGAAACGAACAAAAATGTACAGCAAAACAATGCGCAAAATGCTGTTCTCTTCGAAGCCATCAACCTCATCATCCACCTCGATACTGAACACGCTCTCATGAAGCAGATATCTCAGAGACTGGGGCGATTTATCCAGTCGAGGGAGACAAATGTTCGGTATCTAGGTCTTGAGGCTATGACGCACTTGGCCGCTCGATCTGACACCACACTTGGTCCCATCAAGCAACACCAGGAGGTGATTTTGGGATCGCTCAAGGACAGAGACATCAGCGTTCGACGAAAGGGCCTTGATCTCCTTTATAGCATGTGCGATCACACAAATGCACGACCAATCGTGGGCGAGCTTCTTCACTACCTTCAAAACGCCGATTTTGCAATTCGAGAAGAGATGGTGCTAAAAATCGCCATTCTGACGGAAAAGTATGCCACCGATGTCCAGTGGTATGTAGACATCTCCCTGCGTCTCATCGCCATGGCAGGAGATCATGTCAGTGATGAGGTATGGCAGCGTGTCATCCAAATTATCACCAACAACGAGGAGCTGCAAGTATATGCTGCCCAAAACATTCTTCAATACTGCAAACAAGATCACTGTCACGAGACATTGGTCAAGATTGGGGCCTACATCCTCGGAGAGTTTGGTCATTTGATTGCTGAAGAGAAGGGCTGCAGTCCGATCGAGCAGTTTATTGCATTGCAGAGCAAGCTCCCCGCCTGCGCACCAGGGACTCGTGGCATGATTCTGTCGTGTTTTGTAAAATACGTGAATCTGTTCCCCGAGATCAAGCCACAGCTCGTCAACGTCTTCAACGTCTACAGCCACACGCTTGACCCTGAACTGCAGCAAAGAGCTTGCGAATATTTGACACTGGCAAGTATGCCGACCGACGATCTTCTCCGCACTGTTTGTGATGAGATGCCACCGTTCCCAGAGCGCGAGTCGGCCTTGCTTTCCAGGCTACACCGGAAGCATGCGAACACAAGCGATAAGAGGACGTGGATCGTGGGAGGAAAGGACGCCAACTCGGACGCCGCTGAGCTCACGCTGGCCAAGAATGGAAGTCTTAGAAGGACGTTCACCAACGCCGGTACCAAGCCAAACGGGGGTGCGGCCGGCGATCTCTTAGGTCTTGACATGAACAATATTGGCCCGGCAGAGGCAAAGTCAATACCCAATCTCGCCAGTGCCGCTCACTTGTCACCCAACTGGGAGAAGGGCTTCAACCGGCTTCTTCTCAAGCCAGATGGCGTTCTTTACGAGGATGGCCAGCTCCAGGTTGGCGTGCGGTCCGAGTACCGCGGTCAGATGGCTTGCCTGATTTTGTACTTTACAAACAAGACTCCGGCTCTTGTTGGATCGTTCACCACGACGCTTGATTTGGACACGTCAGAAAAGACCAATCTGACATGGGACGTCAAGGGCCTTCCCGACACGACGATTGCACGGGGTGCTCAGGCCCAGCAGGTCATTATGTTTGAAGCCAAGAAGGTTTTCGAAAAGAGCCCAACAATCCGGATCAGCTACCTGGCCGGTGCGTTGCAGGCTCTTACCCTCAAGCTTCCTGTCACTCTCCACAAGTTCATGGATCCTGCCGAACTGACTGCTGAGGATTTCTTCAAGAGGTGGAAGCAAATCGGCGGGGCCCCTCGTGAGGCACAACAGGTGTTTGGGTTGACAACTGCTGCCAAGGACCAGCAAAGGGAACTTACCGACGGCTTCATTCGAGATGTCATCAAGGGTTTCAGGTGGGGGGTGCTGAACAATGTCGACCCTAATACCAAGAATTTTGTGGGTGCCAGCGTTGTGCACACGAGCGAGGGTGGGAAGATTGGCTGCCTGCTCAGACTGGAGCCCAACTACGGAACACAGGTATGTTTTCTCTTGTCTCGGCCTGACACATTCACCAAGGGCTGGAACACGGTGCTAACAGATACACGACAGATGATTCGCCTTACGATCAGGGCTACTGATGACAGCGTACCGCCTGTGATCCTGAAGCTTATGGAGGGCAGGCTTGCGCAGGGCCTGTCAACGGTGCAGGAGAGACACGGGCCACCGCAAACCGTGAGCGACATCTCAGATTCATTTAGGAATATAATGGTTCGTTGAACGAGGTGAGGGGGGTTTGGGTGGTGATGGGGAGTATTGGGTTGGGTGATTCGTGGGGCAGACCAGATCACGTATACTTCTCATGCATAGCAAGCAAGGCACATACCCATTTACACGCCTGCCGTTTTGGTTTTGGTTTTTGTTGAGTGCAAGGAGGACATTTTGGGGCTCTAGTTAATGTATATATCCGAGAAAGTTGGTAAATGCTGATGGTCATGATCGTATCTACTTGTGCGTTGGGGGTAGGAACCTTGATGGCTGGCTCGTCCTCTGCGGCTTCCCCAGGGACAGCTGATCACCTTCCCAAATCTGGGCGGGCAGACAGTGGCAGGTGCCCAAAAAAGCAAGCACAGGGGGCTGGATGGAAGGCAAGCATGATCCCACTGCCCCGCAATGACGATCGGCTGGCCCGAGCTCCTTCATCTTATCGCAGCCATGGGAAAGCCAAAGGCAGCAGCTCCCCTGCCACTCCCACATCGGACCAGGCCAGACGTTTGTCCAACAAGCTTCGAACCACGCCTTCTTTTCTCCTCTGCTCTCAACATGCTTTGAACACACTGGCCATATTAACTGAGTCTCTTAGCTACGTAGCCATACGAGCACACTATCGGCATTCGCTAGCACACAACAGCTCCAACCAACGTCCACCGCAACCCCTTTCTCGAGACCCCAAGTCCCTCGTTGAACACCGCTCGCCCATCATGTCGGGCGGCGCCCTGAACTTCGTCACGTTCAACCAGGACCACAGCTGTCTGGCTGTCGGCACCTCCAAGGGCTTCCGCATCTACCATACAGACCCCTTTTCCAAGATCTTCAACAGCGATGACGGGAATGTCTCCATAATCGAGATGCTCTTCTCGACCTCGCTCGTTGCCCTGGTTCTTTCACCCCGCCATTTGGTGATCCAGAACACTAAGCGGGCCTCGGTCATTTGCGAACTCACCTTCCCCAACGCCATCCTTGCCGTGCGGCTAAATCGAAAACGGCTGGCCGTGGTGTTGGAAGAGGAGATCTATCTTTACGACATTTCCAACATGACACTTTTGCAAACAATAAACACCTCGCCGAATCCAAACGCTATTTGCGCCCTGTCTCCCTCGTCCGAGAGATGCTACATAGCCTATCCGCTTCCCAAACAGCGAGAGGACACAGGCGAGAGACGGCCATCGCATGCCCCCCCCCTGTCCAGTTATGTTCCGACTACCAGCGGCGAGGTACTCATATATGATACGGTGAAGCAGGTCTCTATCAATCTAATCGAGGCTCACCGGTCGCCGCTGTGCTGCATCGCGCTGAATAACGACGGCACTCTCCTTGCGACGGCGTCAGAAAAGAGCACCATTATTCGCGTGTTTGCGATTCCCAGTGGTCAGAGGCTGTATCAGTTCCGGAGGGGTACCACTCCTTCGACCATATACAGCATGTCTTTCAACCTCAGCTCAACCATCCTCTGTGTTTCGTCCGTCTCCAACACTGTCCACATCTACAAATTGACCAACAATTCTCAAGAAGGCGCCGAAGCAACATCACCTAGGCGTAACCGCTTTGCCCGGTCTGCCAGTATTAACAGTGCCGACTATGTTCCCAACAGCGACGACGACTCTCGGCGAAGCAGTGGGGCGGAAGAGTATGGCAGTACCACGAGCCAGCCCAGCAGCGAAGGAAGCAAAGCTCTGCGGAACAGCGGCATGTTTGGCAATATGATCAGACGGTCATCTCAAATTGTCGGGCGTGGCGTGGTCGGAGCAGTGGGGGCTTATCTACCAGCCGCCGTGTCTGAGATGTTCGAACCCGAGCGTGATTTCGCAAGCATCAAGATTCCTAAACCAACCAGCACGGTACTGCAAGGAGCACCAGCTGGCGGGGGCGGACCCATCCGCAGTGTTGTGGCCATGAGTAGCAGTTCGCCTCAGGTCATGGTAGTAACAAGCGATGGTATCTTCTATGTGTACAACATTGACATGGAAAAGGGAGGGGAGGGGTACTTGGTGAAGCAGTTCTCGTATGTTTTTCCTCTTCAATCACATCCCACCGACCTCTAACTTTCCAAATAGTGTCGTTGAGGCGGATGATAAGCTGGACGCCTCATATAACGCATAGGAACTCACCGAGAACACCGAGGCCATTGCCGGCAAGCACGAGTCATTCGAAAAGGTGAGACGGAAGGCAAAGTTGAAGAAAGCTCTGCAAAGAGTGGTCCCAGAGAGTATGACGGGCGCTGCACACAGTTTAGCCGACATGGTTCCAGATGTTACGGTCAAGGGTGTAAAAAAGACGGTGGAAGGGGCAGTGAAGAAGGCGGCGGGCTTGCAGAGAAAAGGAGGGTCCAGCGATGATGTTATGGGATTTTTGTATCCCGATTACGATCCCCAACATGATTATGTAATAAACACCTCGGAGGACGAGGAACTCGTAGTTCCGGCGTTGAACAATTCTGGCAAGGATGTTACAGGTAATATGGTGAAGGATCACATTGCAAAGCTCATGCAGGCTTTGGAAACACCGTTGCCACCAGGTGATCCTTCACTTCCTGGGATGCCTCTTGGCTCGACGCATCCCCGCCCCGACGAAGACGAAGAGCCTCTTCAAGTTGAAGAGGACTTTTTTGGTGGTACTAGTGGTAGCAGTCGAGATGAAGGAGAGGGAAAAGGAAAAGGCCGCGCAAGAGAGGGCTTACCAAGGGCACAGCGCACGGGGGATAAAGGGAATAAAGATGACGATCGGTACCTTGCCGAAGACGAAGGTGAAGATAAAGCGTTTAGCTCAGATGGCAAGTTGATCGAGGCGCCGGTCAAGACAAAGAAGGGGGAACTGGGTGGTGAGCGTGATTTTATTTCAGGTCGTGTCTGGTAATTTTGCTGAGTGGTTTGAGTAACTTGACGGGGAACATGTGCATAGCGTTTGGAGTTTATGGATATCAGAATAGCGTAATCGAATCTCTTTAATGCCTGCCTCCATAAACTCCCTGAACTTCTTTTGAATACCCATGCCCGTCTCGATGAAGCTGTTCAGCGACGGCCAACAGGAGGGATAGAGAGAGGCCTAAGAGGCATCATTCAACCGTGCAAGATTTGCCCTCTTGACCAGTGGAGGGTGTTGTCACAGGATGAAGGCAAGATATTAAAGTCTGAGCTGAATAAACATTGATAAGCAGAATAAATATGTTATCTGGAAACAACACGTCTGCCCGAGGCCAGATTTCATGTCGGGTACCCTATTCAATCCTACATGGTCCAAAGCAAATCATTTCCAATCCGCAAACTCGAACGCTCTGCTTGCTTGCCTGTTGCCCAAATGAGATTGCAATATTCATAACAAAAGGTTGCCGAACTAGAAAAACAAAAAAAAAAGCCGTCATCGTGTGCTGCTGTTGCCGTTGTCGTGTTGCATCCAGTCGTCATGAGATAACCCAAAAAGTAAAGATAGCTTGCACAAGAATGGCAAAAAATAAACGACGCTCCAGTCCACCCGTCCGTGAACCAACGTTGCCTGTGAGCAAAGCCTCTGAGAAAAGCCTCAGTCCATACCAGAAACGCTCCGAAATCAACCAAGGCACCGAAAGAAAAATAGCACAATAGATCGTGTCCAGCCGAACCCAAAGACAGAACCCGAGACATAATCCAACAACGTACCCAGAAACACCCACACCCAAACTTAATCGACACATTTGCACAACTCAAGAGGTTGTCCCCAGCCTCGACTTCCAAACCAAAAAAAACCCAGGGTATCGCTCCTCCTCCGGTGATCACCTTTCCCCCCCATTTTTTTTGGGTTTACTTTTCCCTCTCTCCAATTTTGACTTCAAATATCCAAACCGTTCCCATCATATGGATTCACCACCACTCCCGCAAACCAGGCGGGAGAATTGTGCTCGTGTGTTCCTTCTTGTGTTTTTCTACCGAGCATAAGGTCGATTCATCAAGGCAATCTCTCTCGCAATCTCGGGCCACTCCAGCTCCCTCTTGAAGCCCTCCCCTTGGTTCTGCTCCTCCCACTTGAGCAGCTCGTAGCCGAACCGCAGGTGAGGCTGGATGATGACGTTGAGCCTCCTCGCCCTGACGAAGCAGTACGCCCGGGGGAAGCTCATCCGGAGGGATCTCATAACCTCCGCGATGCAGATTGTTGCCGAGCGGGAGACGCCCACGCGGCAGTGGACGAGCGTGGCGGTGCCGTTTCGGCGTCCTCGTTCTGTGGCGGGGTTGGTTAGTTTGATTTTTGGCGATGGTAAAAAACAACCAAATGGGAACTTACCAATAAACTCTAGACACCGTTCAAACTCGTCTGTTAGGGGGTCTATTCCGTTGTCTTGCACCCCTTGAACCACACACGTGTTCTCCTCCCCCCATTGCTCGAGCTCACCGTCACGCCACATGGCCAGCTCACCGACTGAGAGGATCTGACCGATGCCGAGGGACTTGAGCAAGTCCGGGTTGTTGGCGTGGCCGAGGTTTCCTAGGTACATGTAATCTAGGATCCTGGAGGGAAAGGAGCCGTCGAACCCAGCGAACCACTTTGGTTCGTTGCGAATGAGACTCGTGATATCACTCAAGGTACGGTTCTGGAGGGTAAACAGGGGGGATTCCTGCAACAGCCGGGGGGCAATGGCGGTGAGGAGGGCTACGTCAGAGGGGTAGGCGAAGAAGTTGCGCTGCTGGGTTGTGTGAAGGGCTAGCCAGGCTTCCGGGATGGGAAGGAAGGTGGCAAAGGAATAATACGCGAGCCCGAGCATGGTTGACTCGGTGTACCCGTCTGCGCAGTGAATCAGGATTCTCCTGGGCTTGTTGGGTGTGGATGGGGCAGAGGTGAGCATGTCGATATCACCATCGGAATCTTCATGATCGAACTTGGAACTGGCTGAGAAGGCAGAAGGGAGGGTGCCGTGGGCAAGATGCCAGATCCATTTGCACGTATCGAGGATGCCGTCTGCTTCGGCGTGCGACCAGGTGGGAGCTAGTATACTGCCCGAAGATGGAAACTCCAGGAAGGTCTGGGTGGCTTCCGAAAGATGTTGGTCCGGTTCATTGGTACCCTCGGCGATGGCTTGCAAGGCTCCGGGGTTGAGACGACCCAGATCGTTGCACTCGATCAGAACGTCATAACAGAGCTCCTCGTCAGACCCCTGATCTGGGGTTGGGCCCAGCCAGACGTTGTGTGATATCTCAGACGCACGGGTCATCTCATACATCTCCCTCCGTTCTTGATGGAAGAAGTCGAGAACTTGACCTGTGAGCTGGCCGGACGAGTTGACGGCCACAATCTCGGGATAAAGTTCCTCAAACTCGCCAAAGGGGCTGACACAGACAAATGTGTTGTAATGGGGAATAGGATTCCGATGGGCTTCTTGTTTCTCACGCCATCGTTGCTGTGCACCGGCTATATCGAATCCTAACTTGCGAACAGAGAGCTCATCATCGCCATAGACGATGATATCAGAGGTCATGGCTGCCTTGGCAGCTTGAATCTGAAAGTTGCGTACAGAGAAGCCCTCCCGGGGATCTGCCTCAAGAAACTCGGCCGTGGCATTTCCGAGCTGAAGAAACTCGTGAGGCGCGATAGCCCCCTTGAGACGGGAGACGTTGAGATCGCCATCGGCTTTGACGATGGTGATGCCACGCAGACAACCAGGCGTCTTCCTCAGAGAACGCTTGCGGGCGATGAAGAAAGCAAGCTGGATCTGATTGTTGGGATGAAGCCCGTGTAACCAAGGGAAGACCTGTGAGGGGTCGGGCAGCGGTTGACGAGCCAGATAATCCAGAGCCGCTGCCACTCCGGCAGCATCGATCTTGTAGAGGCATGAACGACCCGAGTCGAGCCGCACATAATCTGTGGGTGGGAATAAGAGGGACTGGTGGAGCGCGTCGGCTTCCTTACCGGGGGACGGTGGTGGGGTTGTGGGCTCCTGTTGCGGGACGGGGCCGGGGGGACACACGGGGATGTGCTTGTTCGGCACGGGGGCCGGGCATTGTGATGTATCGAGCGTGATGGTCGATGTCAAAGAGCCTATGCTGGATGAGTTGCGGTGGGGTGCAATCGGCCGAGAAAGGGCTATTGTCGCCATCATAGCTCTGGCTCTTTTCTGTCCTTGAGGGACACGAGACCGTCTTGAAGCCGTCTTGAGCTTCTCAACAAACGAATCGGGGAATGTGGGTTGGCTGGCACAAACACCCACAGCAGTGATAGGTTAATCAGATGAGCGCAAGACGTCCTGTTGAAGTTGACGCCCCAATGCTCGCGGTGGAAGCAGATTCAAATGAAGGATGGAGATGGCAAAGACGAGGGGGGGTGGAGGGGAAGAGCAGCAGCCTTATCGGTGATTCCTGTTTTAAAAGGGCAATGGAATTGTGTCGTCTGCCAATGAATCACAGTCTCGCTGCAGGTGCTGAGCGGCAGATAAGACACCCGTGGGACGGCAATGGCGTCAGTTGGCAACCCAGGAATGGCGACTGGCTGCGGGTAATGATAAAGCGCAGTAGGTAGGTAGTAGATAGTAGGAACCAGGTCACTGGGGAGATGGGGGACAAAGAAAAGCTCTAGACCAGCTTTAAGATGATCGGCCGGCGAAGAAAAAGAAAGCAGGAGGAGGGGGGGCGCGACACGGGCGTCGATGTGGTTGAGGGGTTACAGACAGAATGACGGGGCGGGATGGGATGGGGGATGCTAGGACAGCGTTTGCTCTTCCGTGGGACAACTTTAACACTGGTTGCACAATGTACTCTATCCACCACTTGCTCGGCCTTTGCTAGGGGGCTCAATTGACGTCTGTTTGATCGAGATGATCTTGAAGATCGGCCTCCCCAGGTCTCCCCGCTGCTAAATACACTAACCAGATACGAGCCTGTCAAGAAAGAACAGGCCTCGCCCAAAGCCATGAGCTCGGCCGGGGCTAACAAGCTGAGGTCCCTTCCTGTCGGGACGGCTCACTGCCCACGAAAATGCTCTCGGCGACAGGCGGGAATCCAACGGTGGAACGACATTATCTCAAAAGGTTGACTGTCTCGAAACACCCAGCAGCACCCAGCACGATGGGACGTCTGGATAGAGGGGACGAGATCCACAGCATCTGTCGATTTTGCGGAGAAGCAACCCCCCATCCACGAGAGAGAGGCGGGGACATCTGCCAGAAGGCGGGGCAGATGTTAAGATAATCTAGAATTTGATTGGTTGCTGCATGACGGTATTCGGCCAGACAGACCCCACTCCCCGCCCTCGAGTGCAGCAAGGGTCTAGCCAATTGCTGCCACGACGGCCCCACCCACTTCGAGATGTTCACTATGCAACGCGCCTGTGGTGCGGCATCTACCGGCGATTTTTGTATTTCAAGTGACCACTTAAACATACAGGCAACCCTTCAGCGAATGCAGCCGACCATCACGACACACGTTAGCGTTGGAAATCAACCAATTCCATCTACAGCTGCCAATCCTTCTGCATGCTCAAACGCTAGGTGACAACCTACCTACCTAGACGAGGCCACCCGCAGGCATCATACTCCGTAGCCTGAGCCTAAAAACCGGGAACTGTCCCTTACTGCGTAGGGGATTTATTATCGTCATGAACTGCACAGCCATCGAGGGCCTTTCAGTGCAGTCTGATGCTCAGTGTTGGAACCCAAACCATGTTCCAGGCCGGGGGTACTGACCAGCGGCCCCCCGGCCAGGGCGGTTGATCCGTCGACACATTTCCGGGTTATGACGCCGTTACAGCCAGTCAGCTGCCCGTTCTACCGGCCCGGAAGGCACTTCATATTCCCCCGGCCACGCCGCTAGAGTGTTCACTGCCAGTCACACAGGTGATTTAGCTGAGTTGAGAGTTCGTCATGGATATCAGGTTTCAGCAGTCGTAGACCAGATGAGAAGACATCGGATGGACCATCCCAACTCCCAGCTCGACACACTGCGAGTAAGGGATGGTTTGAGGCGGTTTCTAAACTGATAAGAAACATTGGATACCTATGCAGCAAAATGCAGCCATTGACTTTTGACAGGTGCGCTTACCAGAGCTGGCGGGAGCCATGGATGCCGTCTGGGGAATTTGAAGCAATGCCCCGCATTACGCAGACCGCTGCGGGGCAAAATTTTGCTGGCGACTTTTTGCCCCTCTTTCCGATGCTCGGCGTTCGAGCCAAAGTGTCTCTATTGACTGCTGTGACTCGACCCTTTCTTTCCAACTGCTTGTTGTATACAGTTGACTTGTAGCTGTGTGTGTGTCCTGCCCACTACCCGGCAACCAACCGTCATCTTTCATCGTCGTTTCTACAAGCGCCCCCCCTATCGCCGTCCCAGCATGTCCAACGGTGTCGTTGCCAATGGCGCTTCTGCCGACCAGACTCACACTGCGTCGCAGCGCTACCTGAGCACCCGTGGTGAAGACAGCGGCGTATGTCTCCCATTGCTCTTGTTTTTTTGGTTGTGGCAGAATCACGAATTCACGTTAGCCCTCCCCTGTAAGACGCTGACCATGTTGTCCCCCTCAGTTCTCCTTTGAAGAGGTCGTACTCAAGGGCCTTGCCTCCGACGGTGGTCTTTACATTCCCGAAGCCATTCCCTCCGCCGAGAACTGGGAATCCTGGAAGGATCTTTCCTTTACCGACCTCGCCTTCAACATCATCTCCCTTTTCGTCTCCCCCTCCGAAATCCCCTCGGAGGACCTCAAGGATATTATCAACAGGAGTTACGCAACCTTCCGTGCCGACGAAGTCACACCACTGGTGAACCTCCAAGGTGATGTTCATCTTCTCGAGCTTTTCCACGGCCCAACCTTTGCTTTCAAGGATGTGGCCCTCCAGTTCCTCGGAAACCTCTTCGAGTATTTCTTGGTGCGCAGAAACGAGGGAAAGACCGGCCGTGACAGATACCACTTGACCGTGGTGGGTGCCACGAGCGGTGATACTGGCTCGGCTGCCATTTACGGTCTCAGGGGGAAGAAGGACGTCTCGGTTTTCATGCTCCACCCCAAGGGGCGCGTGAGCCCCGTCCAGGAGCAGCAGATGACCACGGTGCTGGACGCCAATGTTCATAATCTGGCTGTCACTGGCAACTTTGACAATTGCCAGGTGAGCTGTGATGTGTTCCCGTCTATCGTTCAAATACTTACAGACTGAAAACAGGACATCGTCAAGGCTCTATTTGCCGACCCTGAGATCAACTCGACCCACAAGCTCGGCGCCGTCAACAGCATCAACTGGGCTCGTATTCTCGCCCAAACTGTCTACTACTTCCACGCCTATTTCTCCCTCCTCCGCCAGCAACCCTCTACCTTCAAGCTCGGCGACAAGGTCCGCTTCGCTGTCCCTTCCGGAAACTTTGGCGACATTCTCGCTGGTTACTTCGCCCTTCGTATGGGTCTCCCCGTCGACAAGCTCGTTATTGCCACCAACGAGAACGATATTCTTGACCGCTTTTTCAAGACTGGTCGTTACGAGAAGAAGCCCACCTACGGCTCCAAGGCCGAAGGCGGTCTTGAGCAGGACGGTGTCAAGGCCCACGAGGATGGCGTGAAGGAAACTCTTTCTCCCGCCATGGATATCCTGGTGTCTTCCAACTTTGAGCGCCTGCTATGGTTCTTGGCGTATCAGTTTGCCTCCAGCGCTGGGATGGACGATGAGTGGAACAAGAAGCAGGCTGGTCAGGAAGTTTCTTCCTGGCTGTCTGACCTCAAGAACAAGGGTGGTTTCGGGCCGGTATACAAGGACGTTCTTGAAGCTGCGCGCAAGAACTTTGAGAGTGAAAGGGTCAGCGACCAGGAGACACTCGACACCATCAAGGCCCTCTACAAGGAAGTTGGCTATGTTCTTGACCCCCACACGGCAGTCGGCGTGGAGGCTGCGAGAAGGACACAAAAGCGCGCTCTTGTGGAAGAAGGTGCCGCAAAGCACATCATCTCTCTCTCAACAGCCCATCCGGCCAAGTTTGCCGGCGCGGTTGAGCTGGCGCTCAAGGAGGAGCCAGAGTTTAACTTCCAGGAGAATGTCCTCCCACCCGAGTTCGTTGGGCTGGACAAGAAGGAAAAGAGAGTCAGTGATGTGGCGAACGATTGGAAGGCTGTACGAGATGTCGTCAGGCAACAAGTGGAGGAGGAGTTCAAGGCCCTGGGTTACTAAGATGTGGATTTTGTATGTGGTTTGAATGAGTGGAATTCAAGGGGAGCTTTTTGGTTTTTCTTCTTGTGTATATGACGAGGGCAGTCACAGATCAGGGGGTGATTGTCTGGCTTTATTCCCCGTGTCTGGTTCAGATGTTCAGGACGAACGTTGAGCATAGCAGATTTGAAAGCATGCATGGCGAGTGGGTAGAATTATGGGATCAAAATTACATATAGATTCTGATACGAGATCCTAATATAGAAGATCAAGGGGACTGCGAAGTGATGAAGAATGATCAATGACTGCGGAGACCAGACACCAAAAGATTCATCACACCTGAAGCAAAGAGTAAAGACATCACTGAAAGTAGTACCCTTCCGTCCATCTTTATTCCCTAAATTGTAACTGATAACTTTGCTCGCCTTGACGAAATGGTATAATGTTAGCCCTTCCCCCTTTGATTTCTACATACAGCTGCTTCAAACATCAAGCATAATCCAAGAATAAAAAAGCAAGCATAGCCAATTGTAAAGCCTGCTGCCCAGTGTCTGTCTCTTTCTCGCCCTTTCTTCATACCCAGAATCGATAATGCTCCTCAAATCCCGCCACCAACAAGAAGATTAATACAACTAGTTTTATACAAGAACCCCTGATTGTGTAATTTCCAACATCGATCCCATCCATCTATATCATGTAGGCTGCCCACCCTGTCATCCAGTAGTAGCCTAGCCAAAATTGATTTCCCTTGTTTTTTTATTGTGTTTTCCCCCAAGGTAGAAGGTTGCCCATTCCATCTATTTATCAGTCAAGTCGGTCACAAACTCGCTCACGTCGTCCACCACATCCGTCACAAACTCGCCCACGGACTCGGCCGCGGACTTGATCACGCCTTTGCCAACCAACTCGACTGCTGGTTGTCACCTGGGACTGAGAAGCCCCCCGCGACTCCCGACGCTGGCGGTGGTGCCTCGTTTTAGTGCCCTGAGCTCGTCCTCGAGCTTGCGACGTCTAGATTGCTCCTCCTGTTTTTGTTGGTTAGTATTGGATGTCTCAACTGAAGTAAGGGAAAAGGGGATGAAAGCATACCCGTAACTCTTCCTGGAACTTCCTCCTCTCCTCCTTCATAGTAGCCCGGAACTGCTCACTCAACATGGTAGCCCCGGCTCTTCCAGCTCCGGCACCCGCTCCGGCACCTGGCACAGGCGAGTTGGGTGGCCTCAACCGCTCCTTATCCAACTCCTCCTTTACCTTGTCCAGCCTATCCCTCAACACCTTGACCTCTTGCTCCAACCTCGCCTTCACAGCCACAGCATCGTCCAACTGGCTCTCCAAATCCAGCTTCTCCTTTTCAGAATTGATGCTCTCTTTGGTGATGTCCTCCAGATCACGCAAGGCAGCTTCCAACTCAGACCGCAGCTTGACCACCTGGGCGTTGAGCTCAGCTGTCTCGGCAGTGTTGGAAAACTTGGCCGCCTCCGCCGCCCGCTGCTTACGCGAACCGTAGGCACCATCGAGCTCGGCCTTGGCGATGGTCATCTCCGTCTTAAGTTCAATCACCATCATGTTCATCGCCTCGAGCTCCTCGTCCTTCTGCTTCAGGTCGGCCTGCAGCTTCTCAACCTCTTTGCCCGCGTTGGCAGAGGCTTCGCTTGCGGCAGCCAGTTCGGACTTGAGAGCAGCCACCTCACCCTCGGCAGCAACACGGGACTCGTTGGCTTGGATAAGCTGGTTCTGAACAGACGACATATTGGACTCCACGGTGGCGAGACGTGCCTGAATGGCACTGTACTCTGACTCGAGAGCAGACACCTGGGCGTTGCGCTCCTTGAGCTGTTCCTGAACAACCTTGACCGAGGAGGCAGAGGCCGTTTCGTTGGCGGCGCTGGCTTTCTGCATGGAGTCGAGGTCGACAAGGACCTTTTGGAGCTTTTCTTGGGCTTCTTGGGCGGCACGCTCGCTGTCGTCGAGGAGCATATGGGTCTTCTCCAACTCCTCCTTCTTGGCTTGAAGCTCCTGGTCTTTTTCAGATTCGCTGCGGTTGTTGAGCTCACGCTGTTGCTTGATCTGCCGTTGAAGGATGTACTTTTGCTCTCGGAGACCAGTCGCTTGCGCATAGAGCCATTGAACCTTGGCAGAGAATGCCGGCAGGGAGTACGGTTCGTTCGTGTCGCCTTCAAACTCGTTGCCTGACAAATCCTCGTCATCGTCTGGGGTGCCTTGGCCCAGGGCACGGGCTTGTCTGGGTGCTGCCTTTTGCTGAGCAATCTCGGCATAACCAGTCTGGATGATCTCCCACAGACCCATGAGCACAGCATCAACTTGCTCGAGATCACGCTTGCTAGCCGAGCCGGCCATCGAGGCCTCAACAATTCTCCCAATCTCAGAACTGACCTTGTCGACCGAGTCCTCCAAGTAGTTGAGCTGGACATTGAGATCTCCCTCGGGCGGTGGTGCCTGGTCAACATTGGCCTGCTGAAGAATGAACAAGACTTGGCGGTTCAAATTCTGCAGACGGACCTCAGTTTGCCCAAACGAGGATTCGACCTTGGAAAGAGTTGTTGCCAACGCGGCGGCCTCGGAGGATGCTGCGGCCGCTTCAGCTGCCACCTTGTCGGTTTTGGTCAAGTTAGCAGCCTGTTGCTGCTGCTCAGTGATCGCCGTGTTGAGACCATTTTCTAGATAGTCGAGCTGCGCCTCGAGGTTATCAGCGTCCGGACGACCAAATTCTTCATTCTTGGCCGGGTTGAATGCGACGATCAGATCACGGAGCTTGTCGTTCAAGTCCTCGAGCCTAGATTCCGTCATCGAGATGGCCCTCTGTTGCTCCGAAGTTTGCGCCTGCAGCGCGTCTATTTGGGGCCCCATCTGCTGCTCAATCGCTTTCATTCGTGAATCAGCCTCCTGCAGCCTCGACCCGCTCTCGTCCTTGGAGCGCATTGTTTCGTCCTTCATGCGAGAGTTCTCTTCCATGACCCTGGCATGTTCCTCCCTGAGCTGCTCCTCCATCTCCTCCAGTCTTGTCTTTTCCGCCTCGGCGCGGGCATAATCTTGGCTCAGCTGCTCCTCGGATCGTTTGAGCTGCGCATTCTCCTCTTTCATGCGCGCAATCTCCTCTTTGTAGCGCTCCACCTCCTCACGTAGTTCCCGCAGCTGGGCATTTTGCTCGCGGATAGGGGACTTGATAGGAATCTCCAGTGTGTTCTTACGCGCACGGGTGGCTGGCGGCCCATCCGTTTCGAGCGACAGGTACAAGTCCTTATCTTTGTTGTTGAAATCGAGCTGCTCGTTGGGGATCTCCATGCTGTTCCTCGTGTTGGTGTAGGTATAGAGACTCTCGGGGCTTCCTGGCATGCCGTTCATCGGCTGGCCAAGCAGCTGCGGCTGTCCGGACTTCTTCGAGGACGCCCTATGGGTTAGCTGCAGGACGCCGGCAGTGTGTTGGAGCAGACGCCGCTGAGGCTCCATCAAGCCTTTTTCTAGGTGAAACAGCTCTGAAGCCAGTTCCTCACAACGGCGTTCACTGGTGGCCTTTTCCATCTCTGCTTCTTTGGCCGAGTCACTCATACGGCTACCCAGCAGACTCTTTCTTTTGCCGCCAGACGAGTAGAGTTTGGCCATTGAAACTGCTGCATCGCGGTATTTGGACTGTATAGCCAGGTTCGCCCTCGCCTGTTCGACGCGCATTCCCAGTGACTGAATCTGTTTCTTGAGGCCGTCAACCTCCTCTTGCGAGAGGATTTCATAGCTTTTACTGTCCGATAACGCCGTTTCGGTCAAGAGATGCACCTGAATCGAGTCTTTAAGATCGACGAGAGGCGATGTTTGCGGTTGGTTTGTGTTTAGCTGTATGTAATCCATAATTAGCCAACAATGTTCACGCCTGAAAAGGGGAGGAGGCCATACTGGGCTAATTCTCGCCTTGTCACCCTCTACTCCCCCGAGAATCTCATTCCTGTAGCCGTCGACTAGTGCCTTTGCCGTCGGTGCGACGTCTGACAACGATGGTGGTTGTACAGCAGGTGCAGGCATGCGTCCGTAGCCATCTTCCCCTCTTCCTCCTACTCCTCCGCCACCAGACCCGCCTCTCCTAGTTTCGGCGCCGTTCATTATGTGCGTTTGTGTAAACTTGTATTAAGATCGTCGTGTTCGTAGTCGTGGGTAATTCAAAGGCTAATCGTTCCAAAAAGAGACATTGTACAAAACAAATCCAAGTCCTCCGCTCGTTTACCACTGTGGCCCGGGGATCATGGAGTTTGCGACTGCGAACGAGGAGCAGGAGGTAGTGGCTGAGGGTCGTCAGGGGAATCGCGTCGAGAGTGAAATGCGAGGAATCGTATTTTCAAAAGGAGAGCGAGGCAGTATCCAGAAAAGAAGGATTACCAGTGCAACGAAATGACGCGAAGTGGAGCTTTTCGAGTGTCCTTAAGTTAACGTGGTAGGTAAGGAGGTTCCAGATTGTCTGTGACTTTCTCTGAGGACCGGGGAGGTGGTGATGGTGATGAGGATTCCAGGTTCCAAAAAAAACAACCAAAAAAAAAACCGGCAAACACAGGCGGTAAGCCTGGCGGCGGTGGCTGAGATGTTGGCGTCACAAAGGAGCGGCTGTATCAGAGGGAAGTCGTGACGACGGGATGCAACTCAGGATGCGAAAGGGGAAGGGAGATGTTGGCCGGTGCTGTGATTGCTGATTGCCCAGGCGCAACTCGTCAATCCAGAGGACTGGGAGGCCCAATATCTGGCCAATCAGCCGCCTTCACGCCTGGCCCGCCGTTCTTGCCAGATGCTTGGCACCCCACGGCACCTCTTGCAGGGATTCCCGACATGTGTCACTGTGGATGGAAATGCACATGTAAGTGGTTGCGCCAGGAAAGCAATATTCAATTCTTCTCGTACACGACTAGATTTTAAAATGCACCGCGAACTTCGTCGATGAGCTGCTGGCCCATCGTCCTCCGTCTGTTGTTGCCTTCAGTTGGGCCAGCTTGTTGTTGCTGGATACCAGAAGCTGTGCCAGTTGAGGCCCCTTCACTTTCCAGCCGCCTTCTCATATTCTCAAACTCGGCATTGGTCTTCTGACCTCTCATACCAACAACCCAACCAGGAACCCGCCAGCGAGTCAAAACCCCAGGTAGGGCCTCATTGCGCCAGGCGTATCCAACGAGCCAGCCCACCACGGCACCAAGAAGGGAGCCCGGGAACTGGGACATGGCCAGCTGCCCTGCCATCATGTATTTGGTTGACTTGTCTGAGAAGGTCAGCGCTGCCGAGTCCTGGCCAGTTGGTGGCCCCGTAGCCAGCGCCACCTTGTACTTGTACATGTGTGGGATCATGGCATGGTATTGAGCCAGAATCGCAAATATGATCGGTGTTGGGCCGGCAGGTAGGAAATCTAGCACGCCAAAACTCAGTGGCCTGAGGAATGCCGTCAGTATAAGCGGTGGCACGATCGAGGTGAAGAGTGCGGTGACGAGGATGAATGACTAGATACCAAGCATGTCAGCGCCATTTCTGCAGTGTCCCGGCCCAGAAAGAGCCCTCACGGCATATTTTCTTGAGCCCCACCGCTGCTCAATAGTTCTCATATTGTATAGAGCCATTGCCCCAAACAGGACCTCGGATGAGTTGAGATAGCATAGCTGGTACGCCAGGACCCGCCATAACTGGTGATATTGTAGAATATGGGTGCCGATGGAGATATAGAAATAGTGTTTTATGTCGAGAAGGCTGGCTGCTATCGATGCGCCAACAAATCCCACCACCAATGTGCGCGTTACCGGCGCGTTTGTGAATGACATTGCGCGTTCGCTCTCTTAGAGGCGCCACCTGGACATTTTTTGGGAATGCGGGCGGATTGGGACGTAGGTGGGGTGACAGTCAGGCCAAGCCAGACTGTCCGGCGGTCGCTGTTAAAGCCAATTGAGGTGTCGCGTATCCCAGTGTGATCTTAAAGCAGGCTGTGAATTCGTCGCCGGAATAGACCTCAAGGAGGATGGTGTCGTAGAAGGTGGTTTGGTGGTGGAAGTTGCGGGCAGTTGCACATTGAGGTCAGGCAGGTTATCCTGAAAGCTGGCCCCTGTCGGCCGTTTTGCAGCGTGTTCATTCGAGGACCCACTTTCAGCTGTGAGAGGATGCCGCGCCTTGGGATTCGTAACTTCCAAGAATCTGGGTCCAACGTAACCATACTTTAACCCTTGGGTGGCCTGCCTCTCTCACTCACTCTCATTCCCTTCCCCAATCTTGCAACAGGCACTGCGACCATGGCAGCTTACTGACCGACAACTCTTTTCAGAGAATCTACCATCTTTTCACCCCAAATACCGCATCGTCAAAACTCAGCAATCACAATACATATTTTGGACTGCAACGCACCTCGGCATCATGTCCGACCTCTACCTCTCCCGTATCCGTAACTGGTTCCTCAGTTCGCCGCCAGCAGAATGGGCCATCAACCGCCTTAGAGACACTTTGATAGGATCATTGAGCCAAGGACCTATCCCAGGCCATGTCGCTTTCGAAATGGACGGCAACCGAAGATATGCCAGAAGTCACAAGATCGAGACAGTAGAAGGCCATCACCTCGGCTTCGAGGCTCTGGCCCGGGTTCTGGAGATTTGCTACAAGTGTGGTGTCAAGGTGGTCACCGTCTATGCTTTTAGTCTGGAAAACTTCCACCGGCCCAAGTATGAGGTCGACGGCCTGATGCAACTGGCCAAGGTGAAGCTCGAGCAACTCATTCAGCATGGGGAGCTGTTGGACAGATACGGTGCTAGTGTCAAGGTATTGGGGCGTCTTGATCTGATCCCCCCAGATGTTCTCGAAGTGGTGGAAAGAGCGGTCGCTGCTACCAGTCACAACACAACGTAAGCAATGTCACCTCCTAAACATGTAAATTGAAATATTAATACATGCCACAGATGTGTTCTCAACATTTGCTTCCCCTACACTTCGCGGGAAGAAATGACAACAGCCATCAGAACGACTGTAGAAGAATATTCAACCACCCCTCGGCCACACAGCACCCCATTTTCGCAGAGCAGAATTACGCAAAAGATCTTGTCCAAACAGGGTGACAAACCAGAGACTCTGGAGTCTATTGAAGAGACCCCCTCTCAGTCGGACGACCACGACCAGGATGATGCCGTGTCGACGGCTACCACCCTTCGTTCCGATCCATCTACGCAAAAGTCGGAGGGCTCGGAAAACGTGGCCATCTATCCAAACGCGGAGACAATCACGCCCGAGACAATCGATAAGCATCTCTACACTGCCGGGTGCCCCCCGCTTGACATATTCGTGCGAACCAGCGGCGTGGAGAGACTGAGTGACTTCATGCTCTGGCAGTGCCACCAGGACACGCATATTTTCTTCCTCAAGTGCTTCTGGCCTGAATTTGATCTCTGGCACTTCCTGCCTGTGCTGGTAGAATGGCAGCACAGACAAAAGCAAAAGCAACGTGACGAGAAGCCTAGGCGGGTGAAACAGGCTTGATTGTTTTCCTATTCTGGCTTTTTGTTTTGCAGTTTTCGGCAGGTCATCCCAAGTTCAGGGAGGGAAAGGGTGAACAGGGCGTAGGGTTCGGGAGATAGAGATACCTCAGCGTGTGTGCTCGGTTTAGAAAGTGGCATCGTGTTTCTTATCTTTTTATTTTGTTTTAATAAGCATTGAAGACATACCCAAACACGCATTGGTTGTTGTTGGTGGTGATTGTGTTGACAAAGTGGTAGTGTGGTTGTAGTGTAAGGGTTAGGGTGTCGGCCGGCCCGGTTTTTGGTGTTCTTATCTTATCGGTCGCATGCACCTCTCCAAAGGTGACCAAAATCCAGGGCTCCTGGCCAGGAAACCGTCCCTCCGCTAACCGCTCCCAGCTTCCCTCTGGACCTCTCTCTCAGCGGCCCTACCAATCTTTTTTCCCCAGCACTCACTGCCACGATCCCGGAATCTGCAGCAACACCATCGACGGGCGCCATGAAGACGGCCAAACCTCCTGCGTCTGAGAACGGCGGCAGCAGTCGCAGAGCGCAGCCCCTCCGTCAGACGCGCATGGTCAATCGCGGCAACTCCTCGTCGTCGCTCATCGCAAATGCTCCAGCACAGCCCATCGACATTTTCCCCGGCCTCAACCACTTTACCGATGCCATCAGCGCCCTTCCCAAGGAGATAGTCCGTCACTTCACCCTTTTGAAAGAGGTCGACGCCAAAATCTTCAACAACGAGGACAAGCTCTTCGATAACATCCGCCGTGCTCTCGACACCCCGCCTCCGGTCGACCCATTCCCGTCGTCCAATGATACGCACAATAATCACATTCCCGCGTCGGCGCCCATGAGCGCTCAGAACAGCAGCAGCGGAGTGCCACCCTATGCGTCCGCCTCCACGATACCTTCTACCACTGGCCCTCTCAATCCCGCGAGCGAGGCGCGCCGTCGGATATTCAAAGAAACAAACCTCAAGGTTCAAGAGATGATGGTGGCTTTGGAGGAGAAAAACCACGTTCTTTTGACTGCCAATGATGCCCTCGAAAAGCAAATGAAACGAATTGAATCCGTGTGGCCAAATCTCGAGAGCGAATTCAGCGAGGAGGCCAAATGGGGCAGCGCTAACCATTGGGCCTACGACGATGTTCGAAAAGCACAACAGCAGGCCAAGTCCAACGACAAGGCTGAGCGATCACGCCGGGAAGGGGCTGCTGCTCTGTCAGCTGCTGCCCAGCATGTGAACGCTGAGGAGGCGGCGGCTCGGAGCAACGACCGAAAACAAGCAGTCGCCGCCAAGAAGAACACGAAGGGACAAGCAGGTGAAGGCGATGCGGACAAGACGAGTGAGCCAGCCAAGAAGACACAGGGACCCAAATCTCGCAAAGCGCCTGCGGAGGCGGCGACTCCTGTCGGCCTCGGTATCACCACGGGCGCGCCGGCTGGCTCTGCTCCGGCCAAAAGACGCAAAGTTGAGACTGCTAAGGCGAACGGGGGAGCTCCTATGGAACGCGCCATGAGCTCGGTGTTTGGTAATAGCACCGTGAAGCCAAAGACGACCAGCCCCCGAGAGACTCCCGTGCCTGAAAGCGGTCCTAAGAAGCGCAAGGCGCTCCCAACATCGAGTGGGCAGGCAAAGAAAAGGTGCGCTCGCCCATTCGACCTCCGATCCGTGTCTCTTGTTTCCTAGCTGACCCTTGATTGTAGCAGAACGAATAATGCTGCCGCTATGTCCCCGTCCATGGCCTCGTCGCCTGTCATCGCAGCATTCCCTGATACAATGAAAGGCAGCCGAGCCTCACCGATCCCGACAGCCATTGTTCCTCCCAGGCCAGCGTCTTCTCGTGCCCGTCAGAACTCTACACAACTAAATCCCGAAGTTGTGAGGCAAAGAGCTGCTTCGGTAGCGTCCACCAAGCCAAATGGAAATGCTCCGGATACTCCAAATCTCAGCCAGTTTGGCGAAGGACCCAAAATAAACATGGAAACAAAAGTACAGAAGGAGACACCCATACCTGCTCCTACCCCCAAGTTGGAGCCACTGAGGACAGAGACCGAGATTCCGCCACCAGTACTGGAACCCCTACACAACGGCAATAACAGAAAAGAAGCCATCACAAAGGCACCGGTAACAGCAGCGGCCACAGTAGCACCCTCCGAAGAGAAGCCTGAACCAAAGAAAGAAAAGGAGAAGGAAGTGGTAGCTTCGCCCGCCATTCAGCCGACCCCTATAAGTACTGTCAAGACCAAGAGCGGGCGCGCAAGCAAGCCTTCCACCCCGTCTCTAGGCACCTTTGCCGAGGCAACCTCGATAGTCTCTGCAGCCCCAACAGAAAAGCAGACGGCGGCGTCCCGTTCCCGACCATCTAGGAATACCTCGGAAGCAGCGAGCGCAACAGATAAGGACAAGAACAACGGGAGCAGCATATCCGCGAGCACAACGACGACCTCCAAGCGGAGCCATAAGAAGGGTGCTTCCATCTCTGCTGCAGCGGCAGCTCTTGCCCAGGCATCATCCGGTCCCAACTCTGCCAAGGCTTCATCCAACGGCGGCAGTATCACAAGTGAAGACAACATCAAAGGCAGCAGGGGAACTGCTCAACATCAGCAACCTCCGCAGAGTACTCAAGAAGACGATGATGAGGACGAACCAGATGGGGACGAGCCAAGGTACTGCAAGTGCAACGGCGTTAGTTATGGCGAAATGGTGGGCTGTGACGGGGTGGGCTGCCCGAGAGAGTGGTTTCATCTAGAGTGCGTGGGGTTGAAAATTGCACCCAAAGCCAATGGTATGTTTGACTTGCAATTTCTGGACAGGGTGGAATCAAAACTAACTCGGACGAACAGCAAAATGGTATTGCGACGAATGCAAGGAGCGGTTGAAGAAGAGATAATCTTTTAGCTGATACACCTGAAACTTAAGACGGCGGTAGATATAGTGCGGCGGCAAATGCATTGTATGATATGGTAATTTGGCATGGCGAAAAGAACAAGTGGGAATGTCCAAGTGGGACAGGGATGGGTTGGTAGGATAAGTTGTGGTTTCTTTTCTTTCTACGACGGATATATAAGCGAACCTAATCGCGAGCGGCGTTTGAGGAGTTGACTCACTTCTTATATTATTTTGGAAGATGGGGTTATAGAGCATGAGGATCGATGGCATCGAAGTTCCTGTGAACATAACCATCTGTCGGGTCTTTGTCTCGGGATTTATACAAGAAACTAATCTTTTGCTCAGCATGTGTCTACATGCTTTGCTAAGATTCGCTACCTACAGTGAAGGACCAATGTTTAAAGTGAAGCCGTACACCAGAAACATGCTTGGTTACGAACCGGACATTGAACAAACCATGAATCAAGTTACATTGTGAGGAGGAACCAGGCCGTATACCTCCAACCACGCGAGTTTCCGACCTGGCTACTGATGATGTCCATGTTGTCTCAATGCCCGAGCTGTGATAATTACGATCTCTTCAGTGCGACCTTCCCCGTTGCCATCTCCAAGCTGGGATCACGATCTACTATCATTGCTCTCGCAAGTGGTTGTTTGTCCGAGTTACCAGAACTTCATAATTCACACTATAATCAATATTATGGCAGAAACTGAAAGTACAAAGTCGTTTAGGGCATGGCTAGGTGGGAATAGTCCGCTCCCACCAAGATGATCCGGATATACCGGTAGGATGACAGGTTTGTTGCCTGATTATTTATTCGGAATAAAGTAGGCTGCTGTTTGGTCTGGTGCGTTGACATTCTGGTCCCCGAGAGCGGTGATAGGGCTCGCTGTTGAGGACTCAATGTTCAATGGGGTCTGTGGAATTGAGTCTCATCCTATGAAACATCACCCGGCATCGCATATTCAATGTTAAAATACTCTTGTTCACCGATATCAGCCGAATCATGTTCACCAGGAGCGCCTCTGCCATCAGGCAGTAGCGCACGGCTGATAGCGAATTAGTGAATCAGTAGGATTATCCTCCACCCATTGATAAGACATATCGTGCGCTCCAGTAAACATGCATAAGGCCAGAGCTATGCGAGTAATATATCGGCTGCGGTTCTCTCAGCCGCGTGGAAGGCCAAGTCAAATGCCCCCTCTTCATGGTGATGCTGGTTGATTTGGTGCTGAAGGTTACACAGATAAGATACGTATCTGGCGATGACGTCAGATGTCATGAAAAAGAGGGCTTGAAAACGCGGCTCTGATTTGTCGGTAGTTTGAGGCCCATGTGGTTTGCACGGATATGCATGCTGTATGGACACATCAAGACATGTAGGTACCGTGGAGGGTGTATTGGTTGATCCTCGAAAACCAGAGGATGCTTTCACCCAATGTTTCCAACTGTGATCCCACCGCGTATACGACCTGCCTCGGCGAGAACATTCCGATAGGTAATCTTGACGAGTAAAACACAGTCCACACACGAAGCCTGATGCTCTCCTTTCTTTCTGATCTCAGTGGTAGTGATGTGCAACACTCGGTAATCAAAAGCCTGGTCTCATTTCGAGCTGGCCTTTGGGAAGAGATGTCGTTTGGCCAAGTCGGATATTGCCGTGCTATATTTTCTCCAGTTGAGATCGGCGGTCTGGCCCTCGCATTCGCACTGCCGGAGAGGTTCTCACTACCAAAACAGGCGCAGACAATCCCTACAGTCGATATTATGTGTGGAATCTGGTGGATAATGACAGAGATCAGGTGAGGCCGTCTGATACGACGTCTCTCCCCGTGAGGGCGCTAGTGGAGGTCAGGGCCCATTCAGGGGCCGAAAAAGCTGGGGAAGCGGGTGCGGCGGGCTGGAACGTGAACCGGGCGGGTCGCTTTAATGGGCATAGAACTGGCGACTCTCAGGATCACATCTCTATCGTCAGCCTCCGAGGAGATGCCCCTTTCCGACGGTTGTTTAGTATGTGACACAGCATGCGTGATCTCGGGTTGAAATGCATGCCCTTCATGTCGCCAGCCGCGCTGGAATGACAACGTTTCGAGGCCGAGCCCTGTGCCACCCACGTTGTTGAAGTGTCACCTACCATGCCGGGCAAGAGATCCGGATCCGATGCCCGAGAGGTCCGTTCTATCTGCAGATAGGTCAAAAAAATCTGTGGGGTAAAAGAGAAGCTAAGGTACATCGAGCAGCAAGATGTCCAGGGACAACAACAAGGGTTGGTTGAACGGAAAGAAAAATCCTCTTACAACAACAACCTGGAATCAGCATCGCTAGCGCAGAAACGGCTGCACGCGGCTCCGGCCCCCGGGATCGTTTGGCAGACGACCTGCCGCGACAGGGCAGCAGATCAAGCACCACGTGAACAAAACGAGCCTCCTTTCAGGCGAGTTGGACATGACTTGGCTCCTTGGCAGGTCGGGCTGGCCAGATGTGTCTTGGCCCTGCAAAGTGCTGTGCTGGCGATGGTGCTGACAGTCATGAGACGCTATGGGTTTTGGTTGATAGATTGGTTCCAACAAAGCACCCAGGAACCGGGACGGCAGGCTAGCTGGAGCTCGAGGGCGGCAAAGGGCAAAAAAAGCAGCAGAGCCATTGACCGATGCAGTCATAGGATCTGATGTGATCAGCAGGCGAAGGAAGCATTTGAGCTGTCTCTCGGCGCTGATTCGGCGTCTGATCTGGCACGCCTGGCATGTCTGATTGTTGAACTTCGCCGGGTCCGGATATCTCGAGCACCTTGAGGTTGTGTGGTTGTGCCATGTCGTTTGTGGGTGAGGTGAGGGAGGGGCAATGCCTCACGTCACCGACCATGATTAGGTAAGAAATTGCATTTTCAACCTATGGGAGGCCACGGTTTTGCACAAGGCAACGTCACGCCAGATCAGCCGACTGTACAAAGACCAACATGGAGATTGATGCCATAACAAGAGGAACTGCTCTAATAATTGGCCGAATAAAACATCACGGGAGCAGAGGGGAAGGTTGCAAAGCGAGGACCAGTGCAACCAGTGCTCTTTGGGCAAGCAGGAAAAATTCCTGCAGTGTTGGAAGGGTTTGGTGGAGAAGTTCAAACCATTACGTACCGGCAAGCTCTGTCAACCGCTGGCTGCGCCGGTTGGCCACCTCTCGACCACCACCTCCTCACGGCTCGCCGATGATGTTATGCCATGTCAGAGAAACTCGGGCATTCGTGTGAGCAGAGAATCAGCGGTTCGGGCTGTTATGAGGCACGGCTTGGCGCAATTTTCGTCAACTGCTGGCCGTCTCGCGCCTTGCTTGGTGTTTCTTCTTTGTTTTGGAGAGGGAGGGTTGCGGTTGGAATTTATATCATTTGTACCGTTTGTACAGCAGCTCTGGGCTGTTTGGTTGGCTCGCCAGGGACAATATGCTTAAATCTTGGTTACCGGTCACTAGCCGTTCGCAAACTGACGACAGACAAGAAAAGAAAGATGAACACCAGTGTAGGCTGCCCGATTCTAGCAGCAGCTTCCAGCTTCCACATGTCTGCTGCAGACAGCGGGGCGAAGTCTTGATTGACGGCAGGGTCCTGTCGCCGAGTTCGCGGTGCGAGGTGAAGTGTACATAAAAAAATGCGGCAACCGCCCAGACGGAGCGCCGATGGCCGATGCGATGTCCAGGTGACAAAGGCTCTGGCCATTCTCGCTAGTTTCCATGAGTAATAAAGACTTTTCCAGCTTGTTGGAGCCGTGCTCCGAGCTTGTTTCTCGGCCTGCATCGGTTCCCGCCTTAACGTCCCCTATTTAATTCAAACCCGCCATGTGCTTGTGCGCAACTGTCTTGCATCTGCCGTAACTGATACTACACCTCCTACTCATACCTCGCAACATTACACATCATATCCAATTGTTGACTTTGCCGTTGTGCAACTGCTCTCGAACTGCAGGCCCCATCCCTCCGCTGAGCTCTTCTGCTCCATCAAACTCTCCGTTTCATCAACCGTCGTCATCGAGTGATCTTGGTCGCAGACTCGACTCATCGAAAACAAGCTACACCGCTCGTGCCTGATCTGTTCAGTCAGAAATTGGGGCGAACCTGCTTTGCTTACCTGCAACAAAATAACACGAGGCTAAGGACAGAACCGCACTGTCGGAACCTCGACAGACGCACGTCTTTTCCATTCCGACCTTTCTCGCCCTCCCTGCATCATTCACTGAGTGCAGAGAGACAGACAGCATTTTATAGTCAGAAATAGCAGGGCTGACCACGAATTGCGGATCCCGAATCTGAAAAAAAAAACCACACCAAGCTCGCAACCTTCCCCGCATCACTGCACCCATCGCAGACTTCCTCTTACCTAAGAAGCCATTGCCTTGACTAATAGAAAGCCCCCTCGTTCCTTTTGGACAGTCTTGTGAGACCACGGCTTGGGCCCCCCTCAACAGATCAAGCAGCTGTCAACGGTGCCTGAACACCCTGCCCTGTTGCTCTGACCATCCATCGGATCGAATCAATCTCTCTGGAACGGCCCTGTCGCCATCTCTTTCTTGCATCGCACACCTGACCTGCCGGCGCTGCAATTTCTCCCCGGACCCCAGCCAAGCCCGTCCCAACACATCCCTCACCCTGTCGCCTCTGTCTTTCCCCATGGCGGTCTCCAAGCCGAGACCAGCCCATTTGCACGTCTCCCCCCTGGGAACACCTTCGAGGGACTGCTCCCCGGACTACTTAACCATGACCCGGGATCGGCCTGCCACCCCGGACCGGGCATCCCGCTCTTCTTTCTCGTCCATCCGGGAAAACGAAAGCACCCTACCCCAGTGCTTTTCCAAAACAAAGATTTCATCTTATCTCGACCCTGAGGCCATCGACGACTTGCTCTCTCCTCCCAGCCCGACAGGATCGACTTCTAGCACCGATTCTCAGGAACTGAAGATGATCCAAACTCAGACTCACACCCACACTCACACTCAACCTCACACTCAACCCCCCACCAAGTTCCTGCCGCCTGTCACGAACCCCAACAGCCGGCTCCTTGGATATTGGACTCCCGCCGATTCCTTCAGAGGCTGGAAGGAGATTCAGGTCAAGGGAAAACTTGCCAGTAAGAGCTTTGGAGACCTCCAGATCCTTCATCAAGTCTTCAAGGACACGCCCAAGCCCACCAAGCGTGGGGGTGCCAACAGACCCGGCGATGCTCCTCTCGAGAGACTCCCGACTGAGATTTTGAGTACGTTGTCCCCCCCCCATTACTGCCTATCCAAAATAGTCATGCTGACATGATCCAGCCTCCATCATCAACCTTCTTGCCCTTGATGTCCCCCCCAATGGGGTCTCGAGGCGCAATGTCGATCTCATGTCGTTGTTGCTGACCTCGCGGACGCTTCACATCGCGACCTTAACCACTCTCTACAGCAAGATCACGATTCCCCACTCGCGAATTTTCCAAAAGTTCCTTGCCCACATTTCGGAGCACTCCACCCTGGGCACAATTGTGCGGCGGCTTGATTTTTGCCACTTCAACCCTGCGCAGCTCTTCTCCACAGCGGCCGAACGCTCGCAAGCGCGCAACCTTACCTCAGAGACCCTCCTCCGATGCCTCGACCTCACCCCCAACCTGCAAGAGTTTCTTGCGCAGGAATACCTCGACGATGATTTGAACGCCGATGTATTGCGGAAGCTCTTCCTTGGCTTGCCGAGGCTGCAGGCGGTGGATTTCTGCGGTTGCACGTCGACCAAGTTCAAGGAGGCTTTCGCATCGATAGTGTCGCCCGACTGGCCCCCTGTGCTTTCGATCCGTCGTCTCTCACTGCACAAGTGCCTCACCCTGCCCTCGGTCGTGCTCGAGACCATTCTCCCAAGGCTAAACCACCTTACGCACCTCGATGTTGCGGGTACGCGTATAACAGACGCTGCCCTTGCTGCGATCCCGGTGACTGCCCGCATTACACATCTCAATCTGGCCAAGTGCACGCTTTTGAGTGCCAGGGGCGTCATTGACTTCCTGACCAACCACCCTGCCGCCAAGGAGCTCGAGTTCTTGAGCTTGGCCACCGATGCCAGAAGCCACCAGCTTTTCGACGCCGAGAGCCTCAACGAATTGCTTCCTGTTCTTCCCAGGACCCTCAAGTCTCTCAGCTTGAAGGGCAGCAAGATGGAGCCCTCCCATGTTGAGCTTCTCCGGCCGCTGACCAAGCATCTCGAGGAGCTTGCCATAGGCCGCTCTCTCACTTTGGCGGACGTCAACCGCCTTTTCGTTCCTGACGAGAACACCGAGGATGATGTGCAGATGCAGCTGGACTGGGTCCCTCATACTCTCAAGTATTTGGACCTGTCTGACTTCTGGGGCCAGGAGCTCGATCTGGTCTATCTTTTTAGCAGCGGCTGCGCCATTCTCAAGAACTTTTCTGAGCCATTGGAAGTTATCGAGGTTGCCGAAGATGTGTTCAAGAGGGTGAAGAAGTCGGCCGCGGCGGTGGAGCGTGCTGGCTGGAAGATGTCAGAGTGTGGCAGCCGAGGATGGCTGGTGAGACAGCCGCTGAAGGACGCGACGACTGGCAAGCCTATTGTCAGGGACGATGGGCGTCGGTCGTGGAAGATGGGAGCTGATTCCTGGGGCATGAGAAAGATCCCAGTTGCGAGGTCTGAGGTTGGCGGAATGTATGGGAGCTTTATGTTTGGGCGCAAGCTTTGAAAGCCTTTCCCTTCAATCGGCATTTTCAAATTCCTCTTTTTCTTTTCTGCGGAGTGGGCTCGACTTTAGCATGGTTGTTTGGGTTTGTTGAATGAAAAAGGCAAATTCAGGGCAAGCGAGCGACTGGTGTTTCGGATATGATTTGGCTTTTCTTGGTGTTGGATATCGCTTCTCGTTTGGTTTGGGGGTACTGGTTTGTTGCTTTTTGCATCGCATGGGGAGTTAATGGGGAAAATGACGGCGGGACTGTATCACGGCGTACGATTGAGAGGACAACAAAAAAAGTCAAAAAAGGGCGCATTGGTACGACCAATACAAAGAAGAGTCGGAGGAGAGAACAACTTCAAAAAGTATATATGTCCTTTTAATTGTTATTAAATAACCCGACTGTGTATGAAGTATGAGATAGAAGTATGAATAAGAATCCCGATCAATCATGGGTTTGCTGCCGAGTGAAACAGTGCAAGTGCTCTCTTTCAAGAGTGAGAGAACAGCCAGTGGCATTACTGCATGATATACATACGTACCACAATGGCTTGCCCCGTTCATCTGTAGAGATAAGAGAGGTCAGAGGGCGAGAGATATTACTGGATTCAAGCTGTAATCTGTTTCCCGATGCACGAGGTCAGAAGACAAACCCCACGTTTTTATGTTTTGAGGCTGCAGGATTGAGACCACCCGCTTACACACCCCCACCCTTTTCCATTCCCAGGACGGGAAAAATGCCTGCTGGCCATACACTCAGACTCGCACTCATCCATGCACCATCAAGGCAGCCGACAAGGTAGGTAGATACGTAGATACGTGTTCCAGAGGCTTGTTGACCCAACCCCTGGTAATATGTAGGAATTGGGGAGCCACAGAACGTGGAAATAAGCTTTTCTTCATATGTTTTCTGGGCCGCTTCAGGGGTCATGTGGTGACATCTTCCTTCCAGGTTGGGTTGCATATCTCACACCTGTAGCATATTCTCTTCTAAGTAAGGATGGTTATCATCATATTTTGTAGCGCAGAGGTCTGCCAACAACGCCAATAAACACTCTCCAATTAGTACACAACCTCACCCCATTCCAGGCAGTCATTGTTTTAGCCATTGAGAAAACCGATAATCCTAAATAACGCCTTCTGTTGCACCAACCCGTCATATTTTGTGTGGAGACGTTTACCCCCATAGAGGCGCAGTAACCTCAACGGCCCTCTCCACCACGGCCCTCACCCGATCTCCAAACACCTTGTTGCCACACTCAATCTCCAGACCCTCCAGCCAAACCTTGGCCTCCATCTTGTCCACCCTGATGTTGATCCCTGGCACGGGAATGCCCAGTTTGTGCAGCCTCGCCAGCTCGGCCTCTCTTCTCTGGGCCAGCTGCGTAGCTCCATGCTCCTCGTCCTCGGAGACGTCCATGCTGGCGTCTGCTTCTTCGTCGTCACCCTCGGAAGATTTGATCTTTGGCTGGGGAGGGGGAACAGGGGACAGTTTGGGCTCGGCGATGGGGGAGACGTTGTCTGCCCCGAACTGGGCCTCGAGAAAGAGCATGAGGCGCTCGAGGCGTTCGGTAGCGGAGAGGTTAGAGTGCAGGTTCCGCACGGGGAGATTGAACGAGTGAGAGTGGGAATGTGGGTTTTTGGAGGCAGAGCCTGGTTTTTACGTTAGTATAGATAAACAAGAAAAGGGGCGCGAACTAAACACTTACGTTTTACTGCTGCTGGGGAGGATTCGATGGCTAGCAAGACGGCCATTACCGCATCTGCGATACCATCGTTGAGCATGTTTCCTTCCCACTCAATTTCGACCTCGCCGTTGGACCGGTGGCGAACCGTGATTACGCCCATGACGAGATAGGCAGCGAGTACTTCGTCGACGGAAAGCTCCTCGTCGGCCACCTCCTGTCCAGAGCCATTCATGTCGTGGTCTTCTCCATTTGAAGACAGCTTCTTCGAGATTGGGAGCTCTTCAATGGTACCAAATGTTCCTTCCAGGCCCCACTTGATCAAGTCGACGCCCGCGGCACTGAGCCTCATGCGCTGCTTGCAAGAGATGGTTGTGGTGGTAAGACCAGCGAATTCGCGGAGATCTTCAGGCGCCATCAATGACATCTTGAAGTCGTTCTGGACGAGAACACCGGTGATGAGCTGGGGCTCCTCGGGGGAGCTCAGAGGCTGTAGGATCGACGCAAGCTTGCCGACAACCTTGGCAGTCTTGTCGGTCTTGAATGGAATGCGGAGCTCCTCGCAGTTCTTGGGGCTGAAAACCTTGACCTTGCTTGTCTTGTTCGCGTTTAGAGAGAGCAGTTTGGATTTCAGACGCATCATATTGTGAACCTCGCCGTGGACAAGAATCTGATTGTCATGTTAGGAAAACTCGTCAAATGAAAAAATGCAAAAGGAACTGACCACTACGGGTGCCGCAACCTCCTCAATAAACTCTCTGTTCTCGGTGCCGTCGACATGGGCGGCAAAAGAGTACTCCTGGACGGTGCAACGCCTCGGAATCAAAACCTTCTCGGCGTCTCTTCCAGGGCCTCGCCTGCCTCCACCGGTATTCCGCGACATGACGGCTTGAATGTGTTCGGGCTCCTGCATGATCTGCTTGGCCATCGTGCCCTCCACGCTATAACCGGTGATGATAACACCGTTCTTCTCGCTGGGAGCCCACCGCTCAAGAAGCTCCCTGCTGACACCGTTCTGCAGCATACCGGGACTGGCAAGCATCACGCACCCGCCCACATCCTCAAACCTATCAATGCTCTTGAGCGAGCGGATGAACTTGAAGTCCCACGGCCCACCCTTACCGGCACCATCACCAGACGCCTCAGCCTCAGCCATGCGCTCCCGGAACAGACGCTTGATGTTGTCGTTCATCGCACCAACATATGTTTGGTACACCAGCATACACTTCCTGGCGAGGTTGCTGGCGTAGTAGATTGGGTACTTTTGATACTCGGCATGCTTGCCCCAGTATTCATCTAGAATAAGAAGAAGCTCCTGGGCTCTGCCGAGGGCAAAAACGGGCATCAGAACACGGCCACCCCTGTTGAGAATGCCTGTGATGGACTTCATGAGGGCCTGTTCTCTCTCCAAACGTGGGACGTGGGAGGCAATGCCGTATGTTGACTCGGTGATCAAGACATCGATCTTCACGCCTCTTGGCACTTGGGCTGATACCAAGTGACGATCTTGCTCGCGGGAGTAATCGCCGGTGAAGAAGATGTTCAAACCTGCAATCTCAATAAGAAACATGGCTGCGCCGAGCACATGGCCGGCTGGGTATGGCGTCACCCGAATGCCCGAGATGGTGTGTGTTGTATGATAGTCGATGGCTTCGATCTGGGGAAATGTGTTCAAGTGGTCTTGTTCTGTGTAGACCAGCTGCGTTGTTGGGTTGGACGATGTGTTGCCGACTCTGACGCTGTCTTGGATCAACCACTTGTAGATAGCCTTAGTGGGATGTGTCATGAACACACGACCGCGGAAGTTTGTCTTTGCCAAGACATAGGGTAATGAGGCAGCATGATCGATATGGAAACTATTTCAGTCAGTCAGGGTGTGTGTTCTCATGATGATTTAAGAGAAGCTTCACAGGGGACGGTGGCATGAAACGATGAAGGCAGGGGGTGGTAATGGCGACAAGATCTTGTATTTGATATATGAATACATATGGAGAGATGATGTTGCTGATGGACGGTACATGATGCTGAAAAGAGTGACAGAGTGACAGTGACACGGCGACTCATTACAAGTCTACCTCCACCCATTGTTGTCCCAAGCCAACACCATGCTACTCTTGTTTCGCCAAGGGGGCTATTAGACTCGGAGAGGGCAACTTACTGGCTGATGAGAAGCACATCTACAGTGCTCAGGTCAAAGTCGTCAAAGAACGGAAGGGCTGCAAGCCCATCATAGGCGGGATGTTGGCCGGCATCAAGCTAGATGACAAACAAAACATTAGCAGCTAAGACAGGATAAGAAGAGCGCTGACCTCATCTCAGCACATACCATGACTGTCTTTCCCTTGTATTGAATGATATGACATGAACGGCCAACTTCATTACCTCCTCCAAGACAGAGAAACATCAGCTCGTCACTGGGGTCAACAGGCTCCTCGGTTACAGTAGCCGAGGCCATGGCGGCAGCTTTGCGCTTGGAGGCCATTGCGGGAGGTGATAAGTGTACGTGATCGAATATCTTGTTAGTTGTTTCAGGAACCCACGTCTCTTGTAAAACTGCTTGCAAGAATTATATCGAGAGCAGGGAGGTGGATGTGTTGCAGCAACTTTGTGAAAAAATTGGCAGCAATACAAGAGGCAATATTCCCGCAAAGTCGAAGTGTATAGGTATTGCTGCGAAGATGGCGACTGGGCTATTCAAAGTTGCTGGTGATCAGGTGGTTGTTGTCGTTGAATAAGACCAAAGATAAAAGGTTGAATACTGTAAGATCTGCCGGCGCGATGCGGCTCAGTGAGGCAGCTGCCAGCTGCTCTACCAAAAGGCGGTGGGGTGGCCCAAGCTTAAGGTGAAGCAGGTGCACGGGCCTCGTGGGGCCACGGTCTGGCACTTTATCTGGGTGGTAACCACGTGACCTGGCTGGACGCGACAGACTCGGAGGTGAGGCGTTAGCTCTGCTTTCAAATCTTGACATCCTTCCAGGCGATTCACGACGACAACAGCCCGCGCCGCTTCCCAATCGATTGCGCAACTCCCAAATCCAGCGGACCACGAGCAGGAATCATCAGAGAACCGATTGATCGACTTTTGCCCATTGCAGAGCGAGTGTCGGATGGGTACCGGGCAGGGTGCTTTGGCCGGCTACGCAGGTGCGCCTGCTCGGGTCTGAAGGAGCTTCTACTTTCTACCAAAGATCGAGGCCCTCTTTCGACCCTCTGCTTTTCCCACCGCACCTAGAGCAGTCCCGCCTTTTTCCTGCCCTCTCTCTATACAGGCGACCAACCCTCATTTAGTTTCCCACAATCGCGATAGCTTCTGCTCCCGACCGTGAAGTTACCAGAATTGTTGGGTACATCGAACGCGACTTCGACTTTTTCTTGTCAGAACTTCCGACAGTCAACCGCTTCGACCACACTTCCAAGCTCACCAGGCAAAGTCGAATTATCGATTTCGCTCTTTTCAAAGATGGCGCAACCACAACCCCAGGCACCCCAGGTGTCTCACCCTCCTCAGGTCTCGCCTCACATGCAGCAAATGCAGCAAATGCAGATGCCGCAACAGCAGCAGGAAAGACCGCCGCAGCAACAACATTACTCTCCTCCCCAGCAGTCGGCTTCGCCTGCCAACACTCCACAGCCTCAGTACTCGATTCCGCCGAATAAGAGACCCCGAACATCGGTCGAGACCCCGTCGCAACCACAGTCGCAATACGGTACGCCGACGTATGCTATGAGTCCACAGGCAGCCGTTGCATCTCCGAACACTGTTACATCTCCGAACTACACCAACATGCCCACTCCGGTTCCCAATGCGCCGTCGTATGCCTCTCAGTATGGTGTGAATGGACATTCTGCCGCTTCCCCGGCTCAACAACCAGGCTTGACATTGCCTGAAGCCCGACCCTCGATGACTGCCACCCCAACACCGACAACCCCTCTTACCCCGAGTCTCCCCCACACCCCGCAGCCTCAACAACATCAGGCTCCGCAATATCAGCAACAGCAGCACCAAGTTCCGCAGGCCCAGCAGCTTGGGCAGGTGCAGCCAACCCAACAGCAGCATGGACAGGCGCACCCGCAACAGCAGGTGCCGGCTCCGCAGTATCAGCAGGGCCAGCAGTACCAACAGCCGATGCAGCCCCAACATACGCAGTCGGTTCAGCAACCAATACAGCCTCAACCCGTCCAGCAAGCTCCACAGCAACAGTATACCAATGCCACAATGGCACCGATTGGTCCCCCTCCCTCCACTCCGGGTGCCATGTTGCCTCCATCGAAGCCGGTTACTACGAAGGAGTACGAATATGACGTGAGCGATGCTCTCGCTGGAACAGGCGTGGATTTGAGGGCCGAGGAACAATACCTAGCGGAGCTGTATGGTGGTTCGTTTGCTCAGGAGGCAAGAACCGGCCTGCCAGCCAACGCGCCAGGCAACAAGGGCTCATTTTATGGTGCTGGTTCAGCGAATCAACCAGCTGAGGCCACCGGGCTCAGTCAGGAGCAGTTTGAAGCCGAGGCTGCCAAGCGAGCCTGGGACGAGGCAGCCCAAAGATTGGCTGTTACCCGAAGCAATGAGCTCAGGAACCCTTTCTTGATCGTCCCTAACCTGCATTATCGCGCGGACAAAATTGCGAAGGAGCATGGGCTCACACTCAATATGGAGCTCAAGAACCAGCAGCAAACCATGGGTAAAATGCGGACTCCCCAAGAGTTTCCTCAGCCTAAGGTGACAGTGACATCCAGACACGGCCCTGATGGCATGGTTGTCTCTACAAAGGGGTGTTTTATCCCTCATGATGCTTATTTGGTCGATCAACTTGCACTCTTGTCGATCGCCACAAAGCACCGTCTGAGAGAGCTCCTCGAGGAAGCCAATGGCATCGCCAATATTCGGCAGACAACTTCTCATGGCGAGATCCCCCAAGAGTGGGCTGATGTTGCCGTACCTTTACGAACCGGTCTTGATTCCCTTCCCGCCGACACGGCCAACGGCAACCCCCGCAAGCGTATGAAAAACATGATTTGGCGTGTGCAGTATACCCTGCTAACCTATCCCTGCAGGCTCCTTTGAAGCAGTCAGTACCGCCCCAGTGCCATCCAAGAGTGCCAAGGTGGTCAAGGACCTCAACGCCGCTGTGAGACAGAATGCCACGTCTGAGCGAGATCTGGAAGAAGCTCGGCTTCGCAAGCGGCAAAAGCGGTTAAACCCAGATGCAGCCCAGACTGGATCTCGCGCAGGTTCCATCGTTCCTGGTACACCTGGTTCAGTCGCACCCGACGGCGAGGCCGCCAAAGCGCCTTCCAAAAAGGAACTAAAGAAGGGTGCGGCAGCCGCCAGACTATCCGAGGCATCCAGCACTGCCAATGCGAACCAGACCCTGAGCGCTTTGATGGGCAGTTTTGGGAAGAAAAAGAAGAAGGAATACAGCTGGATGACGTCTGGTAGTGGCCCAAGCACACCCCGAGCGACCGGTGGCCAAGAACCAGGCACCCCTGGTTCAGCAGCTGGCAGTAAAGCACAGCCGGAGAAGGCCACACTGACCCAGGATGGCAAGGCTCCCCGTCTGGGCACCTGGCGGGAGGACAAGGAGAAAGGCAAAAGTATCCAGCTTCGAGACTGGGTTACGGTCTTGGAGATGGATGGTCGCGACATCAAGGCTGTCCAGGAGGCCTATGTCAAACTGGATTCCTCGACGCCCCGATAGAGATACGAGACCACGACATATCGTACCCTCGACGGCCTGTGTTCAAGCGATACCCAGGGATGAGTAGCGAGAAAGAAAGGGGAAAGATACTTTACCTTTGCGAATGCCGTCCGTTATGAGTTGTTGATTTTATTTTCAATTCATGTATGGGAACTTGGAGTAGGGAGCGAGGAGCCGGGAAAACAAAAGCTTTATTTCGTTTCACTCATACAAGACGATAAAATGGTGGGATCCTTCTCTCTTTCTTACACCCCCTCCACCCCGCTGGCGTTTACCTTTTCTTTTCACCCTACAATTTGTTTATCGTTTATTGTAATTTGTCCTTTTCGGCACTTATATCACACTAGCCAGGCGTTCTTCACACACGGAGCAGGGGGTGTGGGTTTGTATATTTCTCGTTGGTGCGGGTCAGGCAAGGAAAGGGTAGAGATTCTCGGGCGGGCAGAGGATGGATGATAGGATGGGTTTGGTCGGGGAGAGAGCAAGGTATCATGCGCGCGGCCTATTCCCCACAGATGAAGCTCGGAAAGGGAGCTAGCACAACAGAAGAATTCAAAAGCTGATGCAAATCGTTCATGTATGACTCCAGCTTGAAATGTTGATGACGTTTTTTTTCATACCAACATGACTAGAGTTTTCCTGTGCTTGTGCGGGAATTCAAGTGCAGTTCTGTTCCATATTCGTTTTAGCATGCCTTAATATTTCCCAAGTTTGCAAACCACGACCACTACTGTAGAAAAGCAATTCTTTGGTTGAGATGCTGATGTGAAGGCCGAAGGAATAACCCTAACCCTGTTTCGATCAACAACAACAACCCCAACCCAGTTTTCCAGGCACGACAGTGTGCCAAGAGCTCCCCACATTAGGCTGTGGAGCTCAGGAGCGGTTGGCCCCATCGCGTCGACGGCATTGACGTGCATTCAACACGGTCCCGTTTGACCACACAAAACATTTGACAGCAAACGACAACGGCCACCATTTTACGCTCCCCACCAAAGGCATGACATGAAAGATCACCGGTGATCCCAGGTCATCATGTCCGATTTAGCGGTTGGGCAGAAAATACAGCTGAGCGACGGCCGCACTGGAACTATTCGATATGTTGGCCAAACACACTTCGCCGTGGGCGAATGGGTTGGTGTCGAGCTCGACGATGGATCCGGAAAGAATGATGGCATGGTTCAGGGAGAGCGCTATTTCGAATGTGCCATGGGATATGGCATGTTCGTAAGGCCCGTCACAGTCACCGTCACGGCTCCTGCTCCTGTTCCATCACAGCCACCCAAGCCAGCCGGCGCCAAAAAAGGATCTCGCCCAAGCAGCCTGTTCTCCAACAGCTCCAACAAGGGGGCCTCGTCCTCTACCAGTGATCCGAGTCTGGGAAAACGAATGGGCTTGAATGCACCCAGCCCGAGTCCAGTACCTAGAAGGGGCAGTGTGAGGGTGGGTTCTGCTCTGTGTACTATGCGTCAGGGGCCTGGAAAGCTAATTCGGTCCGTGTAGAGTCCCACGAAATCACCCACGAAGCAGCTTAATCGCTCCCCAACCAGCGCGGCACCATCGCGAACTGTCACACCCTCCAATGCCAATGTCAAACCCGGCGCCTTGGCCGTCAGACCTCGACCTGCTTCTGCCACCAGCAGGCCCTCTATGGCACCGCCGCCCGTGCCCAGACAAACCCGCCAGGTCTCGACAGCTTCTTCAACCCCAAGACAGAGTAGTGCTCCTCCGCGCACACTCAGCACCAGAGGTGGACTTGCCACCGGAGTCGGATCGAGACCGGCATCAACTCGTGTTCCTGGCGCGAGGCAGAGCTCCGCCTCGTCCGTTTCGAGCGTCAACAAGACTTCCCGCGCCGAATCCCGCAAAAGCAGCGATGACGAGATATTATCCCCTCAACCCACCAGCCCCGTCCAAGTCCGAACGGCAGCGCTGGAGAAGCTCGCCACGACGTCCCTACCACCGGCAGGTGGAGGGGCAGCAAAATCACCCATTGCCACTGCTTCTGTATCGTCACGAAATGCGCCCAGCACAGCCGCTGCACAGAAGGAGATTGAAGATCTCAAGGCCAAACTGCGCGTGCTGGAGAAGAAACGGATCGAAGACAGAGAAAAGTTGAACAACTTGGAGAAAATCAAGGGGGAGAGGGATAAGTTTGAGAGAATTATTCAGACGTTACAGATCAAATACCAGCCTCAGCAGCAAGAGATTGCGGATTTGAGGAAACAGCTCAAGGAGGCAGAAACAAGGTTTTATGCAGTCGAGGAGATGCAAGAGAGCCATGAAAGCGCGCTTGAGCTGGCAACGCTGGATCGGGAGATGGCGGAGGAGACGGCCGAGGTGCTCAAGGTGGAACTGGAAGCACTGAAGCAGAAAAGCGAAGAGCTGGAGCTCGAGGTGGAGATTCTCCGGGAGGAAAACGCCGAATTCACAAAGGGGATGTCGACCGAGGAACGGGCGAGCACCGGGTGGTTGCAAATGGAGAGAAACAATGAACGGCTCAAGGAGGCACTGATCAGGCTGAGGGACCTTTCGCAGGAGCAAGAGGAGGAACTCAAGGATCAAATCAAGGGGCTGGAGGAGGATCTGAGGGAGTTTGAGACGATGAAGGAGCAATTCGCCGCGACGAAGGAAAAGTTGGCCCAGGCCGAGGTGGCGGTGGAGGATCTGAGGGAGCAGCTGAACAATGCGCTAGGAGCAGAGGACCTGATCGAGAAGATTACTGAGGAAAATATGAATCAAGCAGAGGAGATCAAGGAGTTGCGGGCCGTCATTGATGACCTGGAGAGTTTGAAGGAGATCAACGACGAGCTGGAGATCAATCATGTACAGAACGAAAAGGAGATGCAGGAGGAGCTGGACTTGAAGGATGCCATTATTTCTGAGCAAATGAGGCAGGCCAACGTACAGCGGGAGTCGATGGAGGATATGGAGTATACACTTTCGCGGTTCAGGGAACTGGTCACGAGCTTGCAAAATGATTTGGAGGATATGAGGGCCTCCCATGCGGTGACGGAGAACGAGTCCGAGCAGCTTAACAATCGCTCTAGGGCTATGATGGACTTGAACATGAAGCTGCAAATTTCGGCGGCCAAGGCTCAGGTGAAGACAATTGACCTTGAGCTGAGGAGGATGGAGGCCCAAGAGGCGGAGCAGCACCTCGAGATTGTCAAGCTGTTTTTGCCCGACAGCTATCAGTTGGATAGGGATTCTGTTCTGGCCCTGTTGCGCTTCAAGAGACTGGCGTTCAAGGCCAACTTGCTGAATGGCTTCATCAAGGAGCGTGTGAATGGCCAGGCGCACCCCGGACACGAAGACGACGTATTTGAGGGTTGCGGTGCCATCGACAAGCTCACATGGGTGTCTGCCATGTGCGATCGTTTTGTCAATTCCATCAGCCACTGCTCTCTGGAGCAGTTCGCCAAGTACGAAGGTGCGTTGTACGAACTGGAGCCTGTCGAGAGAGCTCTTAATGGTTGGATCGACGGCTTGAGGCGTGACGACTTGAAGGAGAAGCAGTGCTCTGCCGAGCTCCAGCGGACAATTGCTCTCATGATGCATCTGGGCGAGGTGCACATCTCCAACGACCTGGAGAGCTTCGCCGATGATATTCACATGAAGGCGCTTCTCATGCAAAGCCATCTGGAATCTGCTGCGGCCACCTTCACGACCATGCGTGCCATGGTTCAGCGAGTCGTTCCACCAAGCGACGAGGAGAACGAGCTGGAGCAATATTTCGCAAAGAAGGCCGAGGGCGTCATTACACAGACGCGCGGCGCCAAGGTCATTGCAGGCAAGACAGTTCGCTCTCTCGAGGAGCTCAAGACCAGGCATCTATCCCTTACGCCGGATACCATGGAAGCTTTTGAGCAGTGCGAGGCGGCCACCCAAGAGCTTTCCGAGATGGCCCGCAGAATTGGTTTGGACCTTCATCAGCTCGTGCTCGAGGAGGGCAGGACAGAACCGTACACCTACGTGGAGATCCAAAACTGCATCTCGCAGACTTCCATCAACTCATTCGGCACTAACGAAGCCGATTTGTTCTCTACCTACCTCAACAAGCTCCGCCAGACCACCTCTCAAATCTCGGATCTGGCCGCTCTCTCCACCGACCTGGCCCAAACTCAAGAATTCGAGCGCAGCCAGCCTCCATGGCTCCTGCGCGCACAGGAGATCAAGGCCCTCAAGAAGATCCCAGTGGATGCCGAGGAAGAACTTCGACGTCTCAAGGACGACATCAACGATGCGCGCCGTGCCATCGCCATCCGGGAAGAAAACTTATCGACAGCCCAGGTCAAGATTGAAACGCTTGAATCCCGCATGCGTGATGCGAACGCCAAAGCCAAGCGCGTCACCGAGCTCGATTCCCACCTCGAGATTGCCAAATCCGAAGCCGCGGCTCTAGCGGACAACATCAAGAAGCAAGATCGCGAGCTCAAGGCTTTGGAGTCGGAGCGTGACAAGTGGAAGCAGATCGCATCCAACAGTCGCGTTATTTCTACGGCTGGCGGCGAAGAGGGGGCCAAGGCTAACCAAGAAAGAGCGGTGGCGACGGCAAGGGAGATGGACGCGCTCAAAAATGAGATTCTGGGCTTGCAGTCGGCAGTGAGGTACCTCCGGGAGGACAACAGGAGGGCAAGAGTCAAAGAGCAGGCTAGCTACGACTGGCTGGCCGAGCCACTTCTCAAGAAGGCAGTTCCGGCGGAGAAGCAGAGGAGGAACATGGTCAAGGCAGAGAGCAAGGCCGTTCTCGGTGAACTGGTCAAGATGGTGACCGAGGCGAAGGTCTATGATTTGAGCATGCTGGACAAGAAGGTTGTTGCGCAGGGCGGGTGGAAGCCGGCGAAGAGCACACCGCAGTTTTGGGCTGCTAAACAAGAGGAAGATTGGGCTGTCTGGAAGGGTTGGGAGGGGGCCGTGATCAAGAATGCGAGGTTGCTGAACGCGGTGGAGCACAATCGAGAAGAGGTCAAGGAGAAGAAGGGGGTCGTCAGCGCGGCTGCGAAACTGCAGATTAGACTTCCTGGGGGGAAGAAACATCATTATGGGGGAGAGGTGCAAGTTTTTGGCTCGAGAGAGTGGGAAGGGCTGCAGGGAAGGATGGTGACAGCTGGGGTGTAAAAGTAATCAACGGTGGAGTGCATGTATGCTTTTCGAGATATATACCCTGTAAATGTGAAGCGTTATTGTTGTTTGTTCACTTTTGCTTCAGGAGGATGAACCGGTCCATGTAAAAGGTAATTGGGCGGGGTGCTGGATCTTCTGATCGTAGTACAGGAAGTCCATACCCCCAAGTTGGTATCATAATAATTCTAAACCTAGACACATTTCATCCCGGCATTCCTTTGTATCGTCTTTCCCGACTCTCGGTGTTCTCACATGATGAATTTAATCATTTCTTTCCCTTCTTTGCCTTCCCACCAGCGCTCGAACTCGGCCCGGGTGAAGAACCACCTCCAAGACCACCCAGACCACCCATTCCGCCCATGCCGCCCATACCCATCGACTGAGCAGCCTGCATCAGGCTAGCCATATCCATCCCACCGGGTCCTCCTCCTCCACCGCCCAACATACCCGGCAGTCCTCCCGCACCACCAGCACCACCCATCTGGCTCATCATATCCTTCAAAAAGTTCTCGCTGACTCCGCCACCAGTCATGGCGGGGCTGTAGTGAGGCAACAGTTCCGACATCTTCCAGCCTCTGGGCACAGCAGGTCTGGGCCATTGCTCCCCAGGCTTGAGTTCGGGAGGAGGCGGCGCGCCGCGGACGTGGACCCTCAGCGCAGGGGAGGCATCGGTGATGGGATGACTCTTTAGGTGCTGAGCCACGAGCAGGAACAAGTGATGCTTGTTCTTGACGCGGGTCTGGTTCGCGAGGGAGACCTTGACCCTGCCCGGGTTGGCCCAGTCCTTGGGGTGGAGTTTGCCTGCTTCGAAGACGGTGGGGATGTTGAGGTTCGCGCAGGCGGCCAGGATCTCGGTGGCTAGCGGGTTGGGGACGGCGGCGGCGGCGGAGACGCGGCGGCCTTGGGCGCGGGTGTGCAGGCTGGAGAAGTAGATTGGGTACAGGCAGAGGTAGGATGCGTACGGGGTTGCGTCGGTTGTTGTTTGCATCTGGGGGTAGGCGGGAGGCTGTTGTGGCTGGCGGAATTGGGGTGGGGGTTGTTGCTGAGGAGGGGGGGTTGGTCTGGAAGGGGCTGCTTGACGGGTGCGGATGATGTCTGATTCGACAAAGTCGTCGATGTCGTCTTCGGAGGGGTCCGACATTTGAACGTCATCTTCCGAGTCGGATACCTCTTCTACGCGGGGGTGGGACATCTTAGCGGTTTTGTTGGTGGTAGTGATGATGGTGGTGAGGAAGGTGGTGATTTTGCGAGGGTGATGGGGAGGATGTGGAACAACTTGGAGCTTGTCGTTCATAGTGGGGTTTTCGCTTGGAGGCTGTAATTAAGGTGTGGTCTGAGCTTCTCGTGGGACGAGTGATGGGTGGGGTCCATCTGGTGGTGCTCAAGGCCTCTTGACTATCCTTTAAGAACTCTTCTATTATCCATCTTTTGAAGCCTCTCAACTATATTTCGAGGCCTGGTTCAAGTGTTTTGCAGTCCCAGTTATTTTGTCCACGACGTGTCCACTACACACCAGCTGCAATGCAAACAGGTATTTTCGGTTTCAAAGAGTGTAGTAATTATTCTCATGGAAATGTTCACACAGAACCAAAGTACACGTCTAGAGGCTCCCCATCCACACACATCCTTGCAATTTGCTTTATAAAGAACTCAATCAAGCGCCCACGAGTGCACGTGAACCTAATCACGTAGGTCCCAGAAAGCAAGTGACAAAAAACAGCTGTGGTCACACCACTTCAAACAGCCATATTACCACCAATCTTGATTTCTGTTGAATTCTATTTGGAACATAGACTCCTCACGGCCTTGGAGTACTGGAAAGTTTTTTGTTGATTTTTCCGGGCAAGAGAAAGGCGGTTATCTTGCCGTTAAGTGAGTAGTGTTGGTGTTCGATTTGCACCCTGGTTTTTGGGACCCATGTGCTAACCTAGCGATCGTGGCTCCCCTTGTGATGAGCCTTAATCTTCGTTCCAGGGGGGTGATCCTCCTTGTCGAACTTGCAATAAGGATGTGTGCAGGCGCCGTTGATAACGCTTGGGCAGTGATGGCCATAGATGCAATCGTCCACATCGCACTCTTGGCCCCCGGAGCACGGGTTCAGCCTTGTCAGGAACGCAATGGCCACCAACTCCTCTTTGGTGGGCTTGTAATTGTGTTCGAAGTTGCATGAATCGCCCTTGGAACAGGGGCCGCGGAGGTAATGATTGTTGCACAGCTTGTTGCTGTCTTTCCTCTTCTTGAGGTTGTCCAGCGCAGACTGCGAGACCTGAAGAGGGGGATCAAGACCGCGAGGTCCTATCGGCATAGTCGTCAGTATACGTGTATAAGCCAGAAGGATATATCATACCTGGGTTCCAAGGAACTGGCTTTGGCTTGTTTGGGGTTTTGTGAGAGGCCCGGGAAGACGGCTGCTGCTGCAAAGCCGCCTTGGTATGCGCAGGCAATGTGATCACCGGTGGAGGCGGTGGAGGGGTGGCACTCTTGATGGCTTTAGCATAAGTTGTGGCTGCCGGAGTTGACGTTGAAGCCGCCGATGCCGAGGATGGTGTCTGTGGCTCGGAGCTGCCTATACTATCGATACTTGCGACACTGTTACTGGTCATGGCTGTGGCCCTGACGACAGGAGGCGTCGGTACAGTAACGGGGAAGGCGGGGACAGCAGAGATGGCGGGGACAGCCGGCACGACCGGTTTCATCTCGGTAGTTGGTGTGGCAGGCTTGTTGTGTTCAACAACCGGGGTGGCAGGAACAGGCGTGAAAGGTGAGCCGAATGACTCAGAGCTAGCCGACTCTGACACCCTATCAACAAGCTTTTCAGACCGAAACAGGATGCTGTTCAAATTCAGTATATTTGCGCCGATGGCCCTCAGCTCACGCACCACTATTGTAACTTGGTCAGTATAAGAGCACAGTTTACTCGCTGCTGCTCGCTCACTGGCCAACATACCAGGTACGCCTTCCAAGATGGTGATCTGGTGCTGAACACTATCCTCTTGGAACAGCTCGTCGAGAAACGGGGCATACCCTGCATCGTGTGATATGCCCAGTATAACTTGCTTGCAGTTGTGGTTCCTGAGATGCCATTTTGTCATTTCCTTGATCTTATTATCGGCTCTTTCTTTGCCGTGGCCGACATCGACAAAGTCAAAAGTGGCCTTGGCCTGTGTGAAGCCGAGCGTGAAATCTTTGAGGTTGCTCTCATTCTCCAGACAGCCATCTCGGCGCATCGCCTTGCTAAGGCCGGCGAGATTGAGGTAGACCTGTGCGAGAACTCCAATTTCATTGCCGTGAGGGCCACATTGGCCCAAAATTGCTGATCTCAAGGCGTAAGCAGCCTTTTTGCCCCCAGCAAGACCCTGTTGGATCAGCTCCGGTTTGAAAATGAGCCCGTCCCCGTCTATCAATACGACCACATAGGAGTTGGAATTTTTTATTTGTTCGTTGGTCAAGATGGACGTTCCAAGTTGCGTTTCGAGGGCGTGAATGCGTTGCTGTAGCTCACGCCTGGATCGAGTAGCATCTTCGTAGTCCAAGTTTCGTTCATGCACTCTCTGGGCCAGTTCCGTATTTTCAGCTCGGAGGGTTGACTCTATCGACTCGGCATAGACCAAGAGATCCTGTGAGGAGGGTATCAGCAGCCACTTTTAAGAGCCTAATGATTGCTCTGGTGTTGAATCACCCTCCCCACAATATAATATGGGTTAATCTACTTTTGCTGTGCCCATTATTTGATGGGGAGGGTGTGTATACATATACATACCTTGATCAAATTGATGTGCGAGTCTTGGTAAGTGGCGAGATCCTGATACCGTTGGAGGAAGGCGACGAGGCTCGGTCTTGGCTCCATGGCGCCTATCCTCTTTTCTGGGTATTGCTGTTTGCTTTAATGTTGCTCTTTATCGATGTAACTTCCCTCTTCCATTGGACGAGCGGAAGTGGTGATCTTTTGGATTCCCCGCGGGCGATGGGGGGGCTTGTGTGTCCGAAGCTTAATCTCGGCCTGGGTCCGGATATAATTTAGTAAGCTAGAGCCTCACCTAGCTGGACTTGACACGGAGGTCGAGTCCTGGATTTTGATTGACGAGCCGAGTCAATAAGAAATGATGGCTCTCGCGAGATGTGAGAGATGCCAGATTGATATGCGGCGGGCGACGGGGGACTGGAAGCAAGAGGAGCAGGCAGAGCTTTGCCGCACGGGCGCTTCAATTCACTGGCTTCTGGGGGGACTGTTCACTGTCGCGCCTGCAATTGGGAGCCGCAGGAGCAGATGGCGGGATGGATACTGACACGGGCCGGCGACAGAAGGGACAATGAATCCCTTGGGTGATGGAGATGCGATGAAGTTGCGTCTGGGCTGTGTCTGTGTGTGTGGCTTCAGCGACGGGCGTCTTGTGATTCCTGAGGCTCCTGCTGCCATTCGTCGGATTTACCGTCGCCTGCGGCCTGTAAACCGGGAGTGCTCCTTCTGGACCGCATGGCTCCGATGTCACCTGTGTCACTTCAGGGAAAGAGCCCAGCCCAGTCTCCATGCTTTATTCAAAATTGCAAGGGTGTGGATGGAGTTTTTAAACGTGTACTTTGGTTCTGTGTGAACATGTTCATGAGAATAATTACTACATTGCAGCTTGTGTGTGGTGGGGTATAAGACACGGAACCACCATTCAAGTTTTCTTCTCGTAAAACTCGCGAATCTTCCTCCGAGTCTCCTGATCCTCTCTTTCAAAGGCAGCATCGTCTTTGATGGGGGGGTCGAAGGATTTGTTGAACGTTGTTCCCGGCTCTACCATCTTATCTCTGCTTTCCCAGATGTCCTCGGAGCTTGGTTGGCCTCGACCATACTTGGCTGCCTCCTTCTTCCGGAAATGATCTTTGATGGCTTCAGCGCGAAGCTTTGGATCCCAAGACTTGGTGCGCATGCAAAACCAAAAGTCGTCCCAGAGCTCGGTGCACTGTCTTACACCACCGTACCGGTATACAGAGTTGACCTGGGAGCCGGGGGTGTGGCAATGCCAGGCATAGTCAAAAGCATCCTGACACGACATGGTTGTTGGAAGAAGAGCCTCGGACATGGCGATAGAGGCTTCAGAGCGCTTGTCTTTGGGCGGTGGGGGAGGTGTCTCAGGCGCTGGCGCTGAAAGCCAACTGGGTACCCACGATGATTTGGCGGCGTCTGAATCTGTTGAAGACGGAGGGGAAGCGGCGTGAGAGGAAGAAGGGTTGGCTGCCGCTTGGATTTCGCGGAGAAACTTGGAGACCTCCTCATCTGTTGATGGCTTCCTTTCGCTGGCTGGAGGTTGTGGTTGCTGAGTTGCAGAGTGGTGAGAGGCTTCGGAAGCCTTTGGTGAGGGGGACGGCGAGGTCCAGAACCAACCCATGATGGTCTCTTGTTGAAGGTCCTGAAGATGGATGCAGTGTAGTGCAGGAGATGAAGACTCGTGCAACCTGAATCAGAGGTTAGTGAGGGCTCATTTGAAGAGGACGTCAAGTGAGGGGTACGCGGAACATGAGGAGGGGACGGGAAGATGGTACCTGATATCAGTCTCGTGATTCGCAACCTTCCAGTCACTTCAGCGTCTCTCAAACGCCAAAGACGGGATGGCAAGCGGACAAGCCTTTTTGGAAAGCTGCCAATCAGAAGCCCAGCGCATCTTGCTGCGGGGCATTGCTTGGCGCCGAGGCTTGAGGGGACGATCAGCGACCCCATCAATGACCTCACTGACAGGGGCGGCGTTCCAAACCATCGCATGTGGAACCAAGCTGTCGGCCAGCCGGTCACCTTGGGCTTAAATTCGTCGCATCCCGAAAGCACTACTCTTGCATCACAACGGCTGCGGCCTTTTGCCTTATTGGTGCCAGTACGACGAGTATGTATTCTCTCGGCCAAATCACCTGCCAACGGGTTGCTGACGGTATGGAGCAGGCAAATGATCGTGGAAACCTGCGACCTGAGCTGTATTGAACTATACAGAGAGGGCCTTCTCTATACCTAGCCTCGTCCATGGCCATGCGCGGCCGAAGGTTGCCTGCTTTTGCAGCAACCCACACCGCCACGCAACGCCTTCTCCCCGCTCTAGGACAACATACAAAACTTGCCCGAAGATGGCAGAGCACGGTTGGCACAGGCAAGACCGGCCATATCGAAGCCAAAGCAGATGAGTCAATATTATTTGTCGACAGTTAGTACAATCCTCCGGTTTCCCTCGCCTCTCACCCGGCATTAGATACTGACAGTTCGCAGACCTATTTCCACTGAAACTAAGCTCATTGCTACTCTGGAGGCCATGGAAGGCTCAAAACGATGTCCCGGAGTTGCTCAAGAAATTTGACAAGACTTCCTTGGGCGTGTTCGATCCTGTCAGTCTGGTGAAGCGGGCAATTCCAGACTCCCTTTCTGTAAACATCACTGAAGTCATCCCCAGAACAAAAGAAGGGGGCGCCTATGTCAAGTTCACCCATCCCGGTGATACATCCGCCTCGGAAATTCAGGCAAAACTCTCACAAGCGCTGGAACAGAATCCCATCAAGCCATGGTTTAGTCCCTTTCGAGGTATCTCAACAGGTCTTGTTCTAGGCCGACCGTGGCTGGAGGATCTTTATAGACTTCCCAAAAGCCGTTTGCGTGTTGAGTTCGTACCGGCAAAAGACTCCGAACAGCCTGATGAGCTTTCCCAGGAGGCACTATACAGTGTCTTTCGTCGGTACGGATGGATTGCCGACATCACCTCGCAACCGCCCGATTCGAAAGTTCTACCCAAATTCGCCTACGTAGACTTTGTGCTTGTCAAGGATGCCATCATGGCGCGAAACTGTCTGCACGGCTTTGTTCTGCAGGAAGAGGGAAGCAAAGCTGCCACAAAGCTGAGGCTGTCATACGAACAGCGAGTCAAACCACATAACATCTGGAAATGGATCAGCAGTCATCCACGCATCGTTATCCCCATCCTTGCCGCCTTTCTCGCCACCTTTACGGTCATCGTGTTTGATCCTATTCGCGAGTTCTTTGTCAAGGTATGTATTGCCAACAAACCCCTCCGCAAAATTGACCTCGTTACTAACATCATCACAGCACCATGTTCAGCGATCTCTTGAGTTTACCAATAGTAAGCTCTACAAGTGGCTTAAACGGCAGACATCGGACATCCTCTCCCTTGGTAAGAAGCACGGTAGCGATGCTGGCCTGAATGCTTTGTTCAACCACCGAAAAGACCTGATTGATTCAATCAAGAGCAGCCTCCTTGAATCGGTCGACACATTTGTTGTTATTCAGGGTCCCCGGGGATCAGGAGGCAAAGAGTTAGTTATGGATCAAGTGCTCGAAGGACGTAAGGACGTCTTGGTGTTGGATTGCAAGCCGGTGATGGAGGCCAGGGGCGAGGCTGGCACCATCAGAAAGCTCGCTTTTCAGGTTGGATACCGCCCGGTATTCTCGTGGGCGAACAATCTCAGCAGCCTGGTCGACCTTGCTATCCAAAGCACCACTGGAGTCAAGGCTGGGTTCTCTGAGAACCTCGAAGCCCAAGTAGTCAAAATTCTTCAAACAACCGCATCGGCCCTCAAAGAAGTCTCACTCGCTGGAAGGAAAAAGGACGACCAGGATGCCAACCTTTCGGACGACGCCTATCTTGAGGCCCATCCGGAGCGGCGTGCGGTTGTGGTCATTGACAACTTCCTCCACAAGAGCGAGGAGAAGGGCATCATATATGACAAGGTCTCTGACTGGGCGGCAGCCTTGGTCCAGTCCAATGTGGCTCACGTCATCTTCCTCACCACTGACACCTCCTACTCGAAACCCCTGTCCCGGGCTCTTCCTGATCGTGTCTTTCACCAAGTTACCCTGGGGGATCTTTCGCCCCAGGTAGCCAAACAGTTTGTCGTTTCTCAGCTCGAGGCAAATGCGCGCTCTGATGAGAAGGCGAAGGAGGACGAAAGGGGGGGAGACGGCTCACCGCTGAAAACCGATAGCCAAGGACGTCAGGATCTTCAGGAATTGGATGAGTGCATTGAAGCCCTCGGCGGCCGCCTCACAGACCTCCAAGTCCTTGCTCGCAGACTCAAAGTCGGTCAGAGCCCCAAGAAGGCTGTCTCTGACATCATTGAGCAGAGTGCTTCCGAGATTCTCCGCATGTTCCTGTTGACTGGCAACAAAACTGCTGGCGAAGGCGTCGACAAGGAGAGGAAATGGTCTGTTGAGCAAGCGTGGTACCTCATCAAGGAGATCGCCAAGAACGACTCTCTCCGCTACAACGAGGTCCTGCTCGCCAACACGTTTGCCTCTTCTACGACCTCCAGCGCTACCAACCCCGAAGCTGCTCTAGAGGCGCTGGCCAATGCGGAGTTGATCACTGTGAAATCCCACCACGGGCGGCCAGCCACCATCCGCGCGGGCAAACCCGTCTACCAAGCCGCCTTTGCAAAGCTTCTCGAAGATAAGGTCGTGAAATCGAGGATGGATTTGGCGCTGCTGACTGAACTGTCCAAAATTGAGGCCAAGAACATTGACAAGGCAGAGCAAGAATTGACTGTGCTTGCAGGCCTTCCCAACGCACCAGCGCAGGCCTCGGATAGAGTGAATTACTTGCTAGGCAAGCTGCAGGCTAGCCAGAGAAAGATCGAAGGGTTTGACAAGGAGATGGGAGCACTGAAGAAGGTCTTGGCCGAGGAGGCATAACTGTGACCTGAATGCTACAGGCGATGGGGCATGGGACGAAATTCAGCTCAATACTTTTACGATGGGACGAAGATCATGCGTGTGTATAGCTTTGCTTTTGTATAATTAAAAACCTTGGACATGAAGCAGCATAACTCATCAAACCCTGAATTGCACGTGTTCATTATTTGTTCAGCTACTTGTCCAAGAAGGCATCAAAGTACGGTATATAACAGGCTCTGAGATTCGACTACTGTCCACACCCAGAGTGTATGCCCTGCTCAAGTAAAAGTCTGTCACGCTTTGCTATTCTACTCTTCCATGTCCACAACCCTTCAGCCCCTTTAGCTTTGGGTTTCGAGGCAATAGCAATATGAAAGCTGAACCTCACTGCCCCTATCTCTCCATTTTCTGGCTGCCTTTCCAACCAGCCAACACATCTATCCTTCTATAACCGCCTGTCTAATGTTGAGTATGTTTGAAGTCGGCGCCCTATTGCTGAACAGACGGAAAGAATGCGGCCAATGACGGGATCTTAGATGATAGCCAAGTACAATACAACCGAAGCTTATCAAGAAAAACCAGGATACATGTGTATTCTGTGAAGGTAAGTTGTTGAGCATGCAAAATATGGTTTGACATCCAGAAGATCATTACAGCATAGGGAATTATAGTAAAACCCCCCTGACTTCATTTACAACAAGTCAAGGCCTCGTGGCGCAACGGTAGCGCGTTCGACTCCAGATCGAAAGGTTATCCGTTCAAATCGGGTCGGGGTCATCTTTTTCATGCAGACAGTCATCCGTCTAGCAATGCTTTTTGCTTTTGCTTTTACAACAAAAGCTGGCTGGCTGTTGGGTCTGGTATTGGAGCGCAATCGTGTCAAGGTTAGTAGAGGCCTTGTTGGTCTGGTTTTGGTCGCAAGTTTGACAGCCTAGCTCCCAGGGGGCAACATGATAAGTATTGTTGAGCAATTCTGAAAATGATCTATGTCGGTATCACTGGTGCAACAACTGGATGCTTGTTGCTACTGTTATCGCAAAGTACTGGGGAACCCAAAGCCGGAAAGGGATAGAAAATCCAAGAGAGAGAGGGCGCCGTAATAAGTAGCGCCTGATATTGGTATCTTATTAACATAACCACCACAATCAACCTTTCCAAGACATCGACCCTATGCAATATCCGAAACCCAACAAAACCAACAAGAGTTCGTTTTACTCCTGCTCTTCTATTCTTCCCCGCCACCCTCCTCTTCCTCTTCGTCTCCCTGATCCTCCCCATCGGTATGAACATTAGGCATAACACTCGCCTCCTGCTCCGATGGTACCTCGGTGCCCTGAGAAAAGAACAGCCTCGTAGGCTTGTCATAGTCGTTTTCAATGGTATACTCGTTGTCTGAGTTGCACTGTTAGCCTATCTCAATTGCCTGGAGCGACGGATAAGAGGAAAAGACTTACACCTCGGTACGATAAAGATACCTCCTTTGCTAATCCGGAAGTTGGTCTCCTGCACTGTAACCAAACATTTGCCCGCATGAACAAAGAATATCATAAACACCTTTCTGGAGTTCTTGAGCCTCTTGATGGCACCGGGAGGGAGATCGACCACGCCGGCACCAATGAACCCTTCAGAAAAGACCTTTGCGTACCGGAACTCGCCCCCGACAACCTCGGTCGTTTTGATGGCGTGACCGCTGATGGCAAGCTGTTTATCCATGACGCTGACCAAGTCGTTGGGTGCTGGGGGCTGGAACTCGTACTGTGGCTGCCAAACGACCACCTCACCCGTAACAGTTCCCGGCTCCATCTCCCAGGGTTCAGCTGGCTCACTGTCCATGATCTGCTCGGTGAACGAGGATCTCCTCCTCCTTCCTGGTCTTGCGCCGCCCTTGGGCTTGGGTCCTCGCCGGCCCGGTTTCCTGAACTCTGGCTCTGGCTCATCCACGCGGACGACTTCCTTGATTTTGGGAAGGACAAATTTCGAAGGCTTGGACCGGCTGGCAAAGTTGTCATTAATATCATCATTTTCGTAGTGGACTTGCTCGTTGCGCCAGAAGGCGAGGGGTTTAAACGAATTGCGGCCGGAGCGGGTGCGAAACATGGAGTCAGTCTCGCCTGGGATCTCGCGGCGATTGATGAGGAGACCGCGAGATTTGGGAAGTGGGGGACGACGGGAAACGGCCACGACAGACACATCCCCGGGGTCTGCAATGGAAGACTTCCGTTTTCGTCCAGCGGTCTTTTTGGGCTTATCGGCGGGTGCTGCCGTCGCTTTCTCATTTTTGGTTGCCTTCTTCCTGGATGGTCCGGCATCAGTCCGCTTCTTTTTGGACTGGGGTTCTTGGGAGGGCTCGGCCGTTGCTTCTTCCTCCTCCTCCTCTTCGGGAACAGCTTGTCGCTTCCGTCCACGACCTGCAGCTGGCGCTGGTGCTAGCTCGGGTGCCTTGTTGCTTGCCTTGCTCGCTGGACGACCGCGTTTCCCTGGAGCTGCTGGCTTCGAGGGTGGTCTGGTTGGCTGTTGGATCTCTTCCTCCTTCTCCTCCTCCTCCCCGCCCTCAGACCCCTCCTCTGGCTCCTGTTCGACCGAGGCCTTTTCTGCCGACTTCTTCGTCTGCTTGACAGGCTTAGAAATGACCGGTGCTGCCTTGGCTCGCGCTGGCTCCTGCGATTTTGCTGGTCGACCAGCCTTCTTATGTTGCGCAGCAGAAAGCCTCATGGTATCATCACCAACCATAGACCCCTCATCCGAGCTATCTTCCTCCTCTGGTTCCACCGACGCGGCATGGTTGTCGTCATCACCGTTGAGTATAGCAATAGATTCTTCCACAAAGTTGTTGACGTCGTCCACCTCGCTTCCAGCCTCGGATTCCTCATCATGGGACAGCGACAGCGACCGCGCATTACCTTGAGTTCTGCCGGGAAAGGCGCCGCCCCTTGAACCCATTACAGGCTGCGACAATGAATGCGGTCCTCCTTTTCCCACACTGTTGAAATCTAAGCGCCTCTTCGCCGCGCCTTGACTCAGCGTCGGCTGACTGCTGCTCTGATGTCTCGATTCTGCTGGCGATGAGCTCGACCGTGCGGCTGCGGTATTACGGGCAACCAGTTTGTTACGCTGCGCCGGTGAATTCAGAAATCCCTTGGCCGGCGATCGGTTCTGCGAGAACGCGGGAAACCTACTCGCCTGTCCGTTAAGCAGCGCCGCGGGCCCCAATCCCAGGTCTACCCTCAGTCAGTCACTGTCATGGGCGCAGGTGCACCGAGGCGACAAAAAAAGGCGCAACAAACATACTTGTAGTCAGCTCCATCGGCGCTTCCCCGCTGTCGCCATCGTCCGATTCCTCCTCTTCGTCTTCATCGTCAGGCTTCTTTGGTGATGAGAACAGATTCTCGATGGGTTCCATGCCATGTTCGTCGCGCACCCCCGAGTCGGGGAGCATGACACCGGTTTTCCTGTCAGAACGCCATAGTTTAGCAACGTAGTTCCGAACAGCGGCAAACATTGCGCTTGGTCGCGTCATGGGCAATTCAGTCGCGTCAACCCCATCCCCATCTTCGCGTGGATTGTGTGCACTGCAGAGTGGGCTTACCTTCCCACCACACCCAGCTCATAGATATGCTCTGCTTGGTGGGTGGTTGTGCGGCGCGCCGCCATTGACGGCCGTGGCGGCATCCCGGCGACCTTATTCTTGTTCTCGTCCTCGTCCTCAGGGAAGCTTTAGAGTTTGTTGGCCTGCAAGCCTGAAGCGCGGTGGCAGCAACGGTAGGCGCAAGCAGGACAGTATGTATATATGGGAGGTAGAAACAGCGCGAGATGCCCCTAGAAAGAACAAAGCAACTGGGTTTGGCGGGGTTGGTGATGGTTCTGACAAAGAGCGACCGAAGGTGAGGGAGGTGTTGTTTACTTTGGCAGCATTTTTGTGCCAGGGGTTCCAGGTCGGTTCCACACTTAAAAGAGCGCGCGCTGTGTCCGGCGCTCTATGATTGTGCAGCGTTGCAATGCAGCAGTTGTTTTCTCCCTTTTGCCTGCCGACAGAGGGCAAAAGCTCTGGGATTTTGGGGAGGGGGCGCCGCTGTCCAGAAGCACTTTGAGGGCCTGTCTCCCATTGGCTGAGCAGCCCCACGACGCGGTCTGAGACGCGTCGAACTCAGGCTTCCTCGGCATGTGCAGGTTCAACTGGGGACAGCATTCCAACTGTCACTCCAACAACTCAGTTTAATCTTGCAACAATCTTCCAATCCCAACTCAGGCTCAAGCTTCATACTGCGAACCGAGCAAGTAACAACCAGGAACATCTCCCGCCAGAGCCCTCGCAATGGAAGAGCCAACGCCAGCCGAGATCGAAAACGAAACTCCCTCCAACATCTTCATCCCACCTTCCGTGATTCCTTCCTCCCTCCTCTCCGGCCGATCCTACACTCACTTCTCCCCTGTTCCCCCATCACTCCTCGCCTCAGCCGAAAAATCCGTCCCCGTTTGCCTCGGCGTCGATGAAGCCGGCCGTGGTCCCGTCCTCGGACCAATGGTCTACGGCATCTTCTACCTCCCTCTCCCACTCTCCGACCCCCTCCTTCGCCAAACCCACCACTTTGATGATTCCAAAGTCCTCACCCCGCAAGTCCGCTCCTCCCTCATGCAAACGCTCTCCACCGCTGGATCCGATCTTCACCAGTCCTGCGGTTGGGCAACCACACTTCTCTCAGCAGGCGATATTTCCGCCGGCATGATGCGCCCTTCCAATGCCGGCGGGTCCTACAACCTCAACGCGCAAGCCATGGACGCAACCGTACAACTGATCCAGGGGATCTACGACAGGGGGGTCAACATTCAGGAGATCTACGTCGACACAATTGGGCAGCCCGCTGCCTACCAGAAGAAGCTAGAGAGAATATTCCCAACGGCCAAGATCACAGTGGCCAAAAAGGCGGATAGCCTGTACCCTTGTGTCAGCGCCGCCAGTGTATGCGCCAAAGTAACGAGAGACGCCGCCTTAGAGGTTTTGTGGAAGACTAGGGGCAGACCGCCCGCCAGGGAGGAAGAGAAGGACAAGAACGAGGAGGACACGGATATGGAATGGGGTTCGGGTTACCCGTCAGACCAGAGATGCGTTACTTGGCTACGCGGCAACATGCACCCTGTGTTTGGCTGGGGTCCAGAGTGCCGATTTAGTTGGGGAACTGCGAAGGATATGCTCGAGGGTCCTAAGGGAGTCAAGGTAGACTGGCCGGTGGATGATGATGGTGACACTCACCGCCTCACGGATTTCTTCTCTGCTAAGGACCAGGAAGAAGGCGACGAGCTGGGCACATGGTTTGGGACACCAGCTGGGCTGGAGGCGTTTTGAGATTATAAGGATCAAGGTTGGAAATACATTGGGGAACAGGGCAAAACGGAGTTCAAAGGAGTTTTGAGTACATTATACATAGAGATCCTGTCGCGGACCATAATCATGAAATCATGACCAGCTGACCCTGCCGCATCCGCTTCTACCCACAACGCTTCTTAGACGACAACAAGACTGCATATAACAAACAACCAGAACAACCAAGCTATGTAGGTAAGCTTCATGGTCCCGATTCCCCCAACCAATTGCTCCGTCCGCTGAACCATCTCTAAATGTCATCATCGTCTGAAATATCCTGTGCCTTCTTACCCCGGCTATCCAGCCGGTCCAGGCTAATATCGGCACCCATCTGCCGTGCGGGAACAGCAAGCGCCTGTCTAGCTGTCTCGTTGTTCACCAAGAAGTCGCGCAGCCTGTCCTTGCCAATGTCAACAGCCTGGTTGAAGGCAGCGTTGCTCATCTGCATCATGGGCCCAAGAAGGTTGAGCGAGTAGGCGATATAGGTACCGCCGCCCATGACAAGAATAAGCAAGATGAGGAAAGGGTTTCGCAGAACTGTGAATTGTCAGACATCTGTTGAAATGACACTGGCGAGAGAAGAGTAACGCACCCATGAGAATCTCATTCCACCCAAGAATCAGCAAAATAACATAGAAGTACAAGGGCACCTGGGTGATCCCGCCAATGGCACTTCGCTTGGCTTCAACATAGACTCCATCGGCCATTTTCTTGAACCTCACCACCAGGTCTTGCCGCTTACTTTCACCGAGAACGGTCGTCTCCTCTTCGAGACTTTTGCCTTCCTCCTCGTCGATGCCGCCAATGGGCAAGAGGTCTTCTTCGTCTTCGGGCTCAACGCCAGCAGGCTGGACCCCGATGAAAGCTGGAAGGTCTGGTGGCGCATACGTTTCCGACAGTCTAAACCGCGACAGCAGAGGAACGAGGCCCAAGGTTGACTCGCGTGCCTTGGTATAAATTCCTTCAATGTCATCTGTCGGGCGCCAAATTCTCGGGACGCCATCTTCGTCGTACCGGAACTTGTCCTCGAAATTTTCGCGGAGTTTCATGAGGATGTTACTTTCCATCACCTCTTCTTCGATCTTCTCCCTCAGGGCGACCCAACTCTTGCGCCGCAGTCGCCAAAGACCGACCTCGACCTCCTCCGGACTGGCCTCGAAGCTCTTGGCTCTCTCGGCAAATCTCGTCTCAGCCTCCTTGACAATACCAATGAAGGCATTCCAGACCCGGTCCCAAAGGTCCTTTTCTGTGGCTGGCTTCTCGCCACCCTCAGGAGAAACCGAGCCCCCCCGTCCAGACCCTAGCTTGTTGAATTCCAAACCAATGGCATCGCCCAAGCGAGACCTGACCCAGCGCTCGACCCTTATGGCCAAACGACGCATCTCCTCCTTGCGCAACCGCGCGCTGACCTCATCGAGCTCCTTCTCAAAGAGCTTATACTGGGGCTTGAAGTTCGACCAGGCCACTCCCGGAATCGACAGGCTCTTGGCCTCTGTCTTGAAGATTTGCAGCGTCTTGGCCTTTTGCTTCGCCACAATCTCAGCGAACTCATACGATCCGCCCGCCTTTTGCCCTGCCTTGACCGCGCCTGACACGGCTTCACTAAAGGCAGCCACGCCGGCCTTATGAGCAGCTGTCAGCTGAGCCTGGTACAGAGCTTTGAGCCTAGTATCTATCTTGCTCTCGAGCTCGCCCCGCTTCATCGTGTATACACCTTTGTGGTAACGGCTGGCCTGTGTCTCGAAGGCCTTGATGCACTTCTCGCGGGCTCCGGCGCCTTGAGCTCCGAGATCCGCCAGTACCGCTGCAGGCTTGCCGAGACGGATTGCTTCCACTTGCTGCTCCTCCAGAGGCGCGATAACAGTGTCGAAGCCGACCAGTACCTCGCGGGCGATCTCGTCACACCTAAACTGCGCAAGAAGTTCTTGCTGTGTTGGCAAATCGAGATCCTTGTTGTTGACAATCTGATCCCAGACGCCTCCAGCATAAACTGACAGGCCATCGGCGGGTATTCTCCTGTGATATTCTGGCAGGAAAACGCCTCCGCCGAATTCTTGGTCCTTGGTCGAGCGATGGCCAGTGGTAAATCGAGCGCCGAGTCTGTCTACTTCGGCGAGGAACTTTTCAGGTTGGTAAATCTTGTGTGGTAGGGCGGAAAAGGCAAAGTCAAAATAGTCTTCAATCTTGGAGTCTTCGAGGCCCTGTGGTTTGGAGATGGAAGACCATATCTTTGACAAGTCCGTAATCAGGGTCGTGCGCAGATTCTCGAGGGGGGTGTTGCCGACGAAATCGCGGATGACGAAGAATAGGAGGGACCGTGTTTGGGACCTGGTTACCACGTGTTAGCCGATTCCTCGGGATGCAGAGAGGAGGCCGGATAATAACGCACTGTCTATCCTTCAAGAACAGCTGCAAGTTGACCTCGAAAACGGTCTTGAGCAGGCCCATGTTTGCACCTTGGTACAGGCCAACTTGGTGCTCCCAGATGTTGACAATCAAAACCTCGCTGGTGGCCAGGGCGAACAGGGCGCTCTTGCGCTCAAAGTCTTGATCCTCACCACGCTCGCGACCGTCAGTGCCCTCAACATCCATGACGAGGATGTTGTCGGCCATGGGCGAGCCGTTTGCGCTGTCCCTTTTGTTCTTAGACAGCCATATTCCCTTGGTCGTCTGGCGTCGCTCCGTCTCGGACATGACACTGAACTGGGTGCCAAAAAGGTGGTTGAGCAGGGTCGACTTGCCCGTTGATTGCGATCCGAAGACGGAGATCAGGTGGTAGTTGAAGCCAGACTCGGCGACGTGGGTTTCGGTAAGGTAATCATTGAGGTTTGTGCTACATTAGCAATTGAAATGTCAGTGTATGCAATGAAAACTAGCTGCTGCATGCAATCGAGGGCCGAGGGTGTCACCAACTTGAAAGACTTGTCTTCGTCGATAACCTGGATGCCATGGTCGTATTGCTTGGCCGTCGGCCCATTGCCGATGGCCGCAAAGTGGCCGTTCATGATGGACGTGTCGATTGTGACGTAGCTCGAGAAGCAGAAAAGAATACAGGCAAAAAGAATCAAAAGCGCAGCAGGTGTCAGAGGAGATCAATGGTGGTTCTCTAGCATACGGGGCGAGGGTGGCTTATTGTTTGGCCATAGTGCGTTTGACGGTGCGGTGTGAAGACAAAGCAAAAATGTTGAAGGGATGCGCAGCAAAGGTGGCCAAGCGCTGGAGAGCTTGCTGTGACGCCAATCCACCTTGAGTATGCGCTGGAAGTTTGGAATCCACTAACCCAACTGATTACCGGATTAACCAGGCGACCGAACAGTGTCGCCCGCCCCCTGAGTGGTGGGGGCTTGATGCACTGGCCAGCTGGCCGATATAGGGACGGGAGTTGTCGTCGGATGACGGACGTCTTGCAGTTACACGGCATTTCACATGCCTGCGGCAGCTGCCATAGATAGGTAAGCCATATTTTTTGTGTCACGCGTGTCATCGAGACGGTCCACGTGTAAACGAGACACCTCCAGGGCTGCCTTTGCCAGCACATGGGTTCGTCGGCAACGGGACGGGAGTCACCTTCAAACTCAAAGAGAGGTATGCCAGAAAGCTTTTTGGTATATGATCTATGTTGTCTGCTCCAGGCACTTATGTGAAGTAATTGCTTTCTTCCTTCATGTGGTCTGCCGTGGATCAGGTTGGCGTAATGCTGGCCAGGTGCTTCAGGACTGTGCTGGAGATTGGAGTTCGTCAAGAGCTAGGGCTAAATTTCTGTCAGTCAGAATCTTGCGTCTCTTACTTGGCGCCACCACTTGCCTGTCTGGTTGTTCGCTGCTCGCCTGCGAGCGAGTATCAACGCTCTCATTGCGGGCAAGCAAGGCACCATCACTGTGACGCCAGCTTCGATGTTCGTCCAGATAATGACGTCAACGTACTCCCAGCTGAAGTTTGCCGCTCCATCGACTCTGAGGACATACACGATACGAACAACTGAGCAGACAATCGTAAAGATGCCAAGACTAAACATGATGAGTGAGTTTGCCTTCTGTTGGCGGGTCTGAAATGCCAACCGCAAGATCGCAGGGATAGGCATCGCCAACAGGACCGATTCCTGCAGAAGGTTTATCACGCTGCCTACAACGACAAACACCTGTAAGTTGATGCAGTTCGGGTGGCCATTTCGTGGGGTATCAACTTCCCAGTTGGTGCTCAAAGGAACACATTGGACTATTTGTGTTATGAGGAGAGCGAGGTTGACGACAATGGTCAAGCCCAACACCGCGTGTGTCGCTGTCTGGAACCACGGTTTTGAGAAGGTACGGCGGAAGAAAAGAAGGATCGAAATCTTCGACAGCGATACCGTTACAATTTAAAAGGACTCGACCACATATAGAAGCTACCTCACTCGTGAGTATATGACCATATTCCGGCCCATGAAACCTCAAGCTCACTCGGGAAGGCGTACCTTGAGACCCAGAATCCTGTCCTCTCTCTTCAGATGCCACAAGTCGCATCCAAACACCAAGGCACTGCTGGTGTAACTAGTCGCTGACATCACCAAATACGCCAGCTACGTAAGAAGCCATGGTCAGCAGTGTTGATCCCCAAGCGTTGAATGTAAGAAAATGCAGGACTGAACCCACTCCACACATCATCATCACAATATCATCGACCTCGAGCGTTCCTTTGCCTAGCTTCCACCGGCCAAATGTCCGTCCCACCACCAACAGAAGCGCAGCCGTTGTAAGCAACAGAGGCAAAAACAGATCCCTCTTTCGACTTCGGGCTTCCTCGCCACACATGTTATCGCCAATCGCGAGGGGTAGTGCCACAAGTAACAGCCCGGCGATCATTATCCCGGCACTTGTAGATTGGCTCAAGGAGGCCCCTGGCATTCTCACCCGGGAGAGGGCAAAGGCACTCAACCCCCCGGTCGTCCTCTTATGGTAGCTACTCCCAACTTGTGCCGAGAATGTGGCCTAGAGGTGAAAATCAAGTTGTTAGTGGTCTGTTGGTTCGTTTGACACAGTTGGAAACGGGACTTACCAAACAATTTGGAGCCGGTTATTGGTACCTGTTGTCAACAACAGGCAATAAATCGTGTTTCTGTTGCGGTACCTTGTCAAAGCAGAAGTGATAGTCGCCAGTGCGCAAATATTGCTCCCAAATACCAATAGAATCTTGCTAGAGGGGTTGGAGACGGCTCGAAAGTGATCGAGGTCACTGTGTTAGTGAAGGAAAATAGTCCAACTCGAATTCACCTGTATATACATCACAGCACAGCAACTGTGCACGTACCAATGAATAAACCAGATTTCTTATCGTGGCCAGTCAGCTGCTTGAAGTTTCATGGTGAAAATTATGCCCCACAATGAGAAGAGAAGATCTAATTGAGAGTCTGGCCTAGTCGTCCAAAATCACTAATAGGTAATCAGTCATCCCATCACAAAGCAACTAGCAAAAATGACTGTAACAAATAACATCGATACTCCACCGCTCCTCAACTATTAGCTGACCCCAAGTCCGCAATGGAGCTGGCGTCTTAAAAGGTGATGTTAAGCTTGGGCTGTTTTGCAACCTGTCCTGGGGATAGTTCAAGCAAGATACACCACCGACGTCGTTGTCGCTCGTCTAGTTTACAGTAGCTGCTGCTGTTGGTGGCTCAGGAAAACGCGCCCTTGTTTTGAGAATGAGCCATATGAAAAGCTGGGGTATATTTTCGGACCTGTATTGTGGGGTAGTCAGATTGAGCCTTCTTTCGGGGAGGTCAGAGAAAACTCATGTTACTTGCCAGTCAGGGAGTTGTCGTGGGCAATATCTTCTTCCGGTTCCCCCTGTCTTTCAGAAGGAATGGCGTCCTGGCGCTACTTCTCTGGGGAACCCTCTTCGACAGTGCAACTACCGGCCACAGAATCGGTGGTTATGGTGTGGGTTGCTTGTTATTGTTGCTGGATGCCTACAGGATTTGCGAACCGGACGTGGACCACAGTGAGGATTACGGGAACCATTTCAGGAAGAAATGTATAGGTTCTTTACTTGAAGCCCAGACAGTCAGACTGGCCCGGCAACAGGTTACAACTGCCGTGCAACGCTGCAAGGCAGGGCAGGAGCAGTCCTGTTCAGGGGCGGCGAACCGGATGAAAGTAAGCACACTTATTTCACAGTGTCGGCCCACGTTGGCGCACGGTCAGTCCTTTGGTACCTCAGGTCAAATCGTTCCCCGCCCTTTGCGGACATGAGTTCCTTCTGCCCGTAAACTCAGAAAGGTATCTCCATGCCAGACCTGACAGACAAGTGTGGCGCCTGAGGCCATAGCGACATCCCAATCTGTTGGATCAAGTTCGTTGTTCTTCAAACCCAGCAGTGACGACTTGTGTTGAGCCTGAGGGGTTGGCAGAGCACTGACGTCATCCAGACCGATACGTTGTGTCTATCGACAACATCACCAACCCGTTGTCCAATTCATCATACTCCGCCGAAGATGCTATCCAGTGTCGATCCAGCCCTTCTATCCGCTCTTGGGCTGGAACCTACTTCCACCAAGCTGCTTTCCTATGGAGGCTCCGGCTTCTCTTCCACATACAAGCTCGTCTCAACCAAGGAGGGCAATGAGCTCCAGTACTTTGTCAAAACCGGCACAGGTCCTGACGCCGAGGTCATGTTTCGCGGAGAATTTGCCTCGTTGAATGCAATTCACAATGCCGTTCCCTCGTTTTGTCCAAAGGCATATGCCCACGGTCCTCTCCACTCGGCCTCTGCTTCCTCTTCGTCCCCCCAACTTGGCGGTGGCGCCAGCGCAGGAGGAAAATACTTCCTTGTAACAGACTTCATTGATCTTGCGTCCTCAGCTTCGGGTGGAACCGGCCTTTCCTTTGCCGCCAAACTCGCAACGTTACATACCACCCCCGCCCCAATTCCAAAGGGGCATTCCAAACCAATGTTCGGGTTTCCAGTGTCTACCTGCTGCGGATCTACACTTCAGGATAACAGTTATCGGGAAACCTGGGCCGATTTCTATGCAGACTGCCGTCTGCGGGCCATACTCAAAGAGTGTATCAAGCAGAACGGCGCGGACAGAGAGCTTTCCGATGTGGTGGAGAAAACAGCTAGCAAGGTTGTGCCACGACTCCTGGGAGAGGGGCATCTTAAGGATGTAATTCCTGTCGTTGTGCACGGGGATCTGTGGAGTGGGAATCATGGACGAGGTCGGATTTTCACACAAAAGGGGTCTGAAGAGGTTGTTTTTGATCCGTCTTCCTGTTACGCACACTCGGAGTACGAGCTGGGCATCATGAAGATGTTTGGGGGCTTTGGTGCTGGAGGATTTTGGAAAGAATACCACTCACTTGTTCCTAAATCGGAGCCAGCAGAGGAGTATGATGATCGAGTGGCATTATATGAACTGTGAGTAGCTCACCTCTTTCCTGCTTTGTGATGTTTGCTAAGCATGACCTGTCAAGGTATCACCATTTAAATCATTTTGCTTTGTTTGGAGGAGGGTATAGGGGTGGTGCTATGTCCATTATGAGAAAACTTCTGTCCAAGTATGGCTGAAAAGATGCTTACCAATGCTGGCTCAGTTGTAAGCATTGAGGTTTTGGTGGCGGCCCGTTTTTGTGGGTTTACCCATAGACCTTTGGTTGCTGTCGTCAATTGTACTGGATCAGACAAACACATAAACTCGACAATTATGCAATTTGGTGCGGCGCTGCCCGCTATACGGACCTGGAGGCTACTTGGTGTAGAGATGTGAGCAACGCCACAATAGGTACGCAGATACGCTCTTGATCTCGAGGGCGTGTTCCCCATGTATTTTTTTTTCGTATTGTCCACAGGGTGTCGGTGTACGTCTGGCGTATACGTGGGACTGGGCACTGACTAAGGAACGTGGAAGCGTATTCGCGTCAGCGTAATAGGAAGCTCCACCCCCAAATAGGTTTCCAATACGCCCTTGAGCAGTGCCCCGTCAGGGACGATGTAGAAGCTATCTCTAATCATTTTTGACTATCAAGACTTTCGATATTTGGAATTATCTCAAATCTTGCAAGGATTGCGGTGTCAAAGAACTGCGGAGAAATGTTTTCCTCCAAGCATTTAAACCAGCTTCGTCCGCTCCTTATGAGCTCAGCATTCTCTCTACACCGCGCCCTCCATCTCAAAAAGCAAACACCATACCACCCAAGACACATACATCTTCATCATCCCATCACACAATTGCAAAGATGTTCTCCCCTACCATTGCCAGCATGCTTGTCAGCATTTCAACCATGGCGTCGTTAGGCATTGCGGCACCTTCGAACCTTGCTCAACGGTCACCGTCCCAATTGAGCATCACGGCGCAGCTGCAAAATCGCGGATAGGTAAGTGCTGAAAGAGTGCTGTTCTAGCATTAGGTGCGGACTAGATGACTGATGGTATCATATGCAGCGGTGTCGACCGAGCTGCCCTCCTCCCTCAGGACAAGGACTACGTCTACGACTTTAGTCAAAACCCCGGGCGTTTTGCCGATCGCAAAACATTCCCTGCTCTTGTAGGCACTGGGGGTAGTCTGGCTGTCGGCATACTTCCTCGTAAGTTCACAAACTCGGCAATTCTGTCGTACTTTATGTGAAGCGGGCGCTGACATTCTATCGTAGCTTGCGGCATGTCTTTTCTGCACATTCACCCTCGCTCCGCCGAATTGTTCGCCGTTATTGAAGGACGTGTTCTCACCGAAGCGGTCCTTGAGGCCGGCGTCGTCGATGCAGACGGCAAGCCGAGGGTCATTCGCACCGACCTTGGCCCAAACATGATGACTGTGTTCCCTGGTGGAGCCTTTCATACACAGCTGAACCCCGAATGCACCAATGCAAGCATCGTCGCTGCTTTCCCGTCCGAAGACCCCGGGATTGGTTTGATCTTGCCGCAGACTTTTGCCCTAGATGACGAGTGGCTGGAGACTCAATTTGGTGATGTCTCTACCGACGAGACTGCCAAACTCAGGGCTTCCCTTCCTACTGGGTTGTTTTTGCAGGCAGAGGGTTGCAAAAAGAAATGCGGAATTCAAACCGAGTAAGATTGGGTTGAGGAGGGCTATGGGGGAACCTACATCTTATCTGGACCTAGTCCTACATTTCTTTTGTTTTGCATTAGACTGACAGCTCACCTTTGTTTTGACGGCTGATCTCTTTCCCGCCAGCACACATTCACTCGATCTCAACACTTCACTTCGCTTCTTCGCACGCTTTTTTCCAGCGTTCTCATGCAAGAACTCCTGGCACACTTGATAGAATCCAATAGATAACAGTTTATCGAAAACCAATCTTGCCTCTTTACAAACCCATGTGGATACACCTATCGCAAACAAACCCACGAAGCAGAACATGGACATGAATAGTAATCCCCGTTATCAGTACCCTTCGTTTTCAAAACAAAAGCCATCAATGCCTCTTACCCCCATAGGTAGCTAAGTGTGGATAGAAAAGTTCATGAAGGTCAAATCTTGTGCTACCGAGCTAACACGCAAGAGATATATAGACCTGGATGAACCAAGCATATACCCTACAGCACCAGATAGAATAGTGGAGAAAATACACAGGCCTCTTACCAGGCTCCATAGGGATCACAAGGTCTATCAGGCCTGAACAACATCACTAGGCTCTAGGATAAAAAGTTTGCTTACCCTAAATACTTGGACTTGCAGTTTAAATCAATCAACCCATCATATCTTGTTGTCTGTACCCATCTATGAACCGTGAATTATTCTATTAAAAGTTAGGGCAGTAGCAAAATTTTCACTCCCCCTGCTTTCGACTGTAAATAATCAGATATGACCCTCTGTCCCAACCTCCGTGACCACCTGTTTTTTCAACTCAGCATAAATTCTATACATGCTCGCCGGCCACCAAGTATTGTTCTCCTGTAAGGACCCAAGCCCCTTGTTACCTATAATTGTTACAATTCTACCTAGCTCCCAAGCCCCTATCCCGCCAATCCACCAAACCCCGTCCAACAGCATTACCAAGACCAGCCAACTATGAGAAAAGATTCGTTAGTATAATGATATCTTGGTCGCTCCAGCGGGAGTACTTGAAGCATAGGGACAAAGAAAACAAGAGGCTTTGGTACTCACTGTGCAAAAATGTCGACAGCAAGCCCCTCAGAAGCTACTACCCTTTCGACCGCACGGCAGTCAGAAAGGTGCTCCACTGACGTCTGAACTAGAGTTAAATACTCGGCTGGAACCCTGTTGACAAAAGCGGTGATTGTGCGTCTGAAGGGCCTCGTTGGGGTGGCCATGGTGACACGAGCAATATAGTTGCGCAGCCAGGGCGAGACATAAGATAATCGGCTCCTAGGGGGTGGCGGCGCGGGCGATGAATGGCTGCTTGATGGTGACAGCTTCGAGTGGATGGCGTTTGTGTTGGTGTGGAGAACTTCGTCCGCAATGGCCTCGAAGGCCCGCAATGCCACAAAAGAAAATGCGATGCCGGGATCGGTTGGCATTTCAGCCCGTTTGACTTCGGCCCTCATCCGTAAGCCTTTGATGGCGGCTTGGAAGGTGGCCGCTAGGATGGGGAGGAAAAGGTCCCTAGTAGGCTTCATGGGGCCGTCCTCGGGCGAAGTAACACGGATTATAGGATCGGGTGATAGTTGGTAAAGATGGCTGGCTGGAGGGATACTTTCTCCAAAGTTTGTGTCTGAGCAAGGCTCGCACGGCTGGTCAATGTCATTCAGCATGCCATTGTAAGCGAGGTGGGCCGCGCGGATGAGGGATACCCATTGTAGTTGTGTTGGAACAAAGCCGGTTGGGATATCAGGCATGGTTCCCGCCCACTGAATTCGAACAGAGTGATTTGCCAAAATGTACAAGACCATCAACGGCGCGTTGGCGAGAGTGGCATCGTAACATTCTCGATGGAGGTTAGAGATATCATTTTGAGTTCGTCGTAATGACTCCCTATGCCGATCCTCTGCGATCAGTAACAATGCGTGGGCCTCATCTCTGTGCCTTTCGTCTACCGTGGGCTGTGATATGATGTCGTGACACTTGCATATCGCCGCCAATGCGAGAATCGAGTTCATGAGAGCTCGAGAGCGAAAGGCAAGATTTGGAAATCCTTCCTGGAGAGCGTAAAGGTCGTCGTCGTCGTAAGGTATTGCCCGGGAAGTGTGGGTGAGGTAGTGTCGGAGCAATTCGAGCTCCTCTGCGTTCAAGGAGCCTGTTCCATGGATGGAAAGAACCGACGGTGAGCGGGACAGCGCAGGGGAGACTGGAAGCCAATCCTCCCTTTGCGGTTGGCGCGACTGATATCGGCATTTCAGATCTCGGTCAGCACATCTGGTGCAGCATGGCCTGCGCTCATCACACTAACAGATGATGAATTTAATGTTTTAGTATGGCCCCAAATGTCAAATGATGGCATGGTGAATGCATGGCGGTAATTCCTTACCTTTTTCCGACGCTGTTTACATGGCAAACAACCATTTCGTGACTTTTTGTGAGGCCGTCGTGTTCTATATTCTGGCTCCATGATAGTTTGAGAGCAAAAGATGAGTCTGAGCGGTACCTTCCTGACGTCTTGAACATGGGAAGTGTCTACAGAAGTAGAGTTGTGGGGGCAGGATCTGACTAATACCATCTGGCTCAGCCCACATCCGATGGTGCCACTGATACCGATTTGCAGCTAAGGTAGGTATTTGGAATGGGAATAACAAGGTTCATGTCACCGAAGTGCACCGATTGGCCTATGCTTCTGTAGTGGCGGTGTCAGCATTCTGTTGGAAGCTGTCTTCCAATGATGCAGCATGTCATCTTCCTCAAAACAAGGAAGGACCCCGAGCACAGCCACCACAGAGTGCAAACCCAGTCTTGGCTTGTGTTGATTTTGAGTGCCACCCCGTGAGTACTGGACGGCTGAGCCAAGGTTGGTGTATGTCAAGGAGATATAACACCCGAGGGAGATGCAGACTGGAGACAAGTAATGGGACGATCTACTCTTATCACTCGTGCAATTGCATGTAGGGATGTATGGCACGGGGCCTTATCGGCTATCGTTGATCGATGCAACAGGGTATTAGGTACGAGTAATAAACAGAGGCCCATGTTTGGCTTTGAGTTCTGCTGACATTGCTTTTTCACAATCGGTATAATCAGAATAGAAAGCACGGCAAGATAGGCAAGGTACGCATATGAAAGTGAATAAAAAGCAACTAGCACAGAAGACCGACAATGTCTACTTAGTGTTGCGACCACCTATTGAGTGAGAAGGTGTAAGGATACGTCTAGATAGGTAGGAGAGATATTATAGAGACCGGGATTAGAATCTCGTACTCAAATTTCGTTGCTATAGTCCAGCATCTCTCTCTTTGATGCACCCATATTCTTAGGTATCCCGAAACAAAGGAAGGGAGTAGCTGGGAAATAACATGGCTCTTCCACCATCAGGTTGGCATCACAAGAAGCCATTGGGTACCCCAAGATGAATCAACCCGGAGTGATGAGATGTGTTTAGCGAATGAGGTAGGTATGTTGAGACACTGTTTTCCAGAGTTGTTGTTCTAGGTCTCTACCCTCGGTACACACTGGTCTGGTTCATGATTGGGGTTATCTTTTCTTGTCTGGTATCTTCTATCACGGGGTGTTGGCTCGGGCCGGAAGAGTGAGGTTCCTGTTACAAATCTGCAGCCCACATAACCCTCCACTGCTCCCGTCTGCACAGGTTTTGGCAGAGATATGCATGACTGAAGTCTTCAAGTGTCACAATTTAGCCTCAATGCCACCTTCCACACCGCATTCAAGTGCCGGGGTTGCCTTTAGCTAGGCTTTCTTCAAAAAGCATGACCTTGCAGATGTCTGCTACACAAGACCAAATAGCGACATCCTAATTCAAGCCAACGTATTCTTCCGATTGGTCAGATATGCTTGGTTTATGACGGCGAGGAGTCACTGTATCACGGGATTTAGCTACAGTCATGGTGTTGGGATCTCCAGGCATCTCTAAGTTTTCCTGCAAGTAATTTGCTGCCTGACAGGCATACTCAGGGTCAACAGTATAGCGTACGTAATGATTTAAAGTTGCACCAGATCTCCTGTGGCCAGAAACGACTACCATCAAAGATATAAAGCCAGTACCTGTTCACTGTTGACTGTTCAACTTGCATGGACATATAATTTCTGTATCTACCTGCCCTACCTAGGTATCTAAGATCTTACAACCCAAAAACACCAAAGACTATCGCCATGTCATCATCGTTGAAGGATTCCGACCTCGCCTCGGTGACGTCTGACACCTCCATCCTCAAAGACAAAGCCTCCAGCAAGGAGTCAAAGAGAGACACTTTTTTTGGGCGTCTGACTGGCTCAAGTAAATCGACGAAGCCTGCCGCGTCTGAAAAAACCGACCCGGTCGAAAAGATCCACAAGGCCTATCCCAATATGACCGTCAACTCTCGGCTTTCCTAACCTGGGAAGCTGAAGACAACGCCTCCCTGGTTTCCTTGGGGCTCCTTTCGTAACGCCACATACACGCCACAAGTCCGATATTTGGAAGATATATGCATATGGTCTGGATACGCAAAATGTTAGTTCAGAGCCTGGCGGGGGGTATTGGTTCAGGATAATAGCTTGGTGTGGTGGAACAAGTACAATTCATTACCCACATTGCAAAAACACGGTTCAACTTTTTATGCACGTTCCCCAAGTGAATTATCAATATTTCAAAACTGTGCTCGAGCTGATTTCCAGGTTATCTCGCCTGGGTCCTTAATGTTTTCCACTCGTACACACCTTGTCTGTCAGCGATAGCCAGATGGCTGTCACCCGTGTTATCCTTGATCTGGCAACTTCCCTTTATTGTCCCTGCTTGGTCGTACTATATTACCACCCCCGAGACATAAGGAATGGTCTCCCTGTCGAGAACCAGGTCAGCGATTATAGCTGTCTCGAGCTGTAGTCGATTCTTGGTTCTTTCCTGAGAGGCAACAACCAAAAACTGACGGGTCAAGGAGGCCCAGTTAGGGTCGAGGGGATTCAGGGAAGGGCGGCCTTGATCCCACCCATGGAAAGGGAGGGACAGAAAAGCCGATTTCACCAAAGCCATTAGGTGGACCAGGCAGCGGGCCCGGAACTGGCATTGCTATGGGCTGGGATGATTGAGAGCTTTCACTTTCTATAGCGGAACCTGAATTCTTCCATGCTGATTCGGCTGATCCATCTTCTGTGGTGGAAAGGGTCGATGACGAATCTCTTCCGTGTCGTAAACGAACAAGCCGCATAACCCCCAGCCCCGCCAGGAATCCAGCTATGGCGTATCCAAGAATAATGATCGCGACGACATCGTTGCTTTTCATTTTCGTTGGCTGCAGGAAATTGACTATCACCTCATATCAGTTGCTGTGATGATGACAAGGACTCAGTGGCTAACCTAGTAGGCAGGTCTCAAAACCGGCAAGTGGCTTTCGTGAGGACAGTGCCGTGTAGGTCACTGGAAAATATCAGAGACAGGATGGAGAAGATGGGTCGTTCTCTGGTTGGGAGTTTCAACTTGAACGGCTTGAATGTAAACAAACAACGGGTATGACGAGAGCGTCTTGTAAAAAACAAAACAAACAACACAGGCAGTGCGACCAAACGAGAGACGAAGAAACGTGATACCATTGATCAATGTCTCACTTGACCATTCTGATGGTGGTACAGTATCTTTTCTGAAGTTCATGTATCACAGGTAATCACGCTTTTCAGTGGAACCCATCTGGTGCGATTCTATTCCGTGACGACGACTTGCTGCGCAGCTGGCCTCATTCCGGAATGAAAAGGAGTACTCTCAAAGTTATCCGCACAGGGCGAGTCGAATGTTTCTGAAAATACCATCGGCGAGTTTTGAGGGGTAGGCACGTTATCTTCTGGGTGCATACCTTGCTTACCATTAATTGAACCAAGGCAGCAATGGCGAGGGCCTCAGTTTGGCACGCCATCTTGACAATGCATCTCAAAACCTATCATGTAGTGTGTCTAGGAATATCACGTCATCAGCACAGAGTAAGTATTGGTACCTATCTTTCTACAATCAGCTGCGCACCATGGTCGCGTCGCCCCAAAGGCTTCTTAACAATGATAGGCCTCCAAGCTTGAAAAGCAGTGTTGGGAAAGAGCGGTATTCATAACTTATTCGTAATTTATTCGGCTCAACATACCTCGCTATTTTGGGACAACAACAGTCGCGTCCAGACACAATGCATCCGGGCGAAGCCAATGGCGCACCAGTTGTTGGCTGTATTGCACCCAGTCAATCTCGCTCCCCCACCGCCGTGACGAATGCACGATGCCTGGTAACAACCGGAGACTTTATACTGCATAGTGTAGTCGTCCCACACGAGGCAATCAGATAATGCGTTACTGAGACCGAAGGTGAGATGCCTTTGGCCCCCAAGGCAGATATGGACATACATAGACGAGCCCCGAAAGATCCAGGAATTTCACCGCCACGAATACCCCATGACGAATCAGTCATGAGGCCCCGTGGCCTTTGACAGTTCCTGCCTTCCCAGGATTGCTGCCCACGCCAATGGATACCTACTCAGGCAGAAGCCGCGGTTAACCCCGGAATGTTCTGGAACAATCTGACCCACATCCCCATCCTGGAGACATGATGTAAGGTGCTACCTTATAACGCCCGTGCCATGGAGGCCAAGGTACGGCGAAGTATGTAAGCTGATATGCAGCCCTATGGACTGCCGGGAGATGGCGGAGTAGCCCGACCCAGGCAAAATTACCCAACTTCTCATCAACATGTATACGGCATTGTCCCGAATATTCATTTGCCCAGCCACCCGACTCTACAGCTATGTCTGGCAATTATGCCGGATAGGAAGTTGAAGGATGGCCCGTTTTTACTTTGTGTCTCACAAACTTGACCGTCAAAGTATAGTCCAGTTTTACCTTTGTCTGCGAGTGGGCAGTGTTTAGCACCTGAGGTCGGATTAAAGTCGTAAATGCAGCCACAACTCCTTTGCAAAGCTCCTGAAACATTCACAGCCCGTGTGCCATGAGAAATGTGCCCAGATTGGGTGTTTATTTTGTGTGTACTACTGCGGGGAAATTAGATGTGGTGCTGGAGCATATACCAGATAATGGCAATTTGGGCCTCCCTGGCCGGCCCCCGGGGTGGTCCGCTTACCATGAATTATACCAAGTACCAGTTCCCCGGGATAGTTTGATCCTGGCTCGCCACCAACGCCCCCTTCACAGCCACGACAACCCCAGGAAAACAACCTTCTGGAAAAATACATGTAGGTGGTGGCTTGTCTATGCTTCTCATTCGTCAGATTTGGCGCGAGGGACCGCCCCCAATGTCAAACCAACTTTACCAGCTTGAGGCCGAGAAACCCAACTGCACAACTCCGCTACATCCATGCCTTATACTTGAACGCAGCTGCGATAACCATGTGCTGCTCACAAAACACAAGGAATGGCCCGCCAGTTTGAGATGAAGATGGGGAGGACTGCCAATCGTCGTTTGATCTGTGTATCTCCACCAGGCAGGCCGAATGGATGCCTGAAGATGGGATGGAAGCCATGATCTTTGGCCGCGAAGGAGATATATACTCTTATTCTTAGGATTACTCATCATTGAGTGTCTGATTGCCCACTCTTAGAATGCCGGCCGGCGTGGTGATCAAGGTGTTTGATTTTGCTGCGGTCACGGCATACGGCAAGCCTCAGAACCTGGGGTAACACCCAGCTCGGACTCAAAGTCCCACTCGGACACAGACACGGAGATTGGCAGTCCTAAGACGCGCTGACTACCTTGGATTTGGGGGCCAAATTTCGAAATGTCTCATGGGACATCAGAACTAGCGTCTCCGCCAGATATGACGGGCGGTTTATAGGGTGTTGCCTGTGTTGCAGCAACTGCGTCTGTTGAACTTGCTGATCCCTCCAAGTCACCTTCCTCTTCGCAAGCCGCCAGGGTCCTTGGGTTGATGTTCGGTCACACCAGCCTTCTCAGTGGACTTTCTGACTCAGCAAACAAAAGCTAGACTTTAAGCCCCCAAAGAAAATTGTTAGAGTCACCGACAGTCTGATATTAAGTGGTATGCGGTTGGCTCGCCAGCCCACTTCGTGACACTTGTCGTCCCCACATCTGTGCTCCCCGGCAGTGTGCTCAATGTATTGGCAATGATCACCGCGCCAATGGCATTCCGGTTACGGGTGCGATCTCCCAAGTTCTGATCAGCTCAGGAAAGCTCCTCAATTCAAATTCAGACTCGCCGTCTCTCCTGGATGCTCCAGTCTGGATGGAGAGCCAGGAGGTTGCAGGTGGCCGCATGATATGCAAAGCTATAGATGCGTTCCGTTATCAACCAACAATATTAACCTGCTCCAATCCAAATGTGGTGATCCGACAACCGTAAACCAGCCAACAAAGATCGTCCCTCCCCCCCCCAAAACAACAACAACGGTTGGGCCGCTACACCTTAGTCCTGCTGCACTAAAGCAGCCTCCCACATGCTGGCACTTCTCAGCAAGTCCTTGCCGAATTGCCGCTGAATGTTCGTCATTTTGTCGACAATATGGCTTGTCGCAAGAGACTTCGGCCCCCATATTATCAAGGCGATCGAAGCAGCCCGCTCGAGCCAGGAAATGCACTGCTTCAAGTCCCCCTGCCGCTGGTAAATCTCAGCAATGTCTTCCATGGTGTGTGCTGCAATGCCGTCTTGGTACAGCGATGGTTCTGTCTGCTCCCCGAGACCCGAAGGGCGTGTGACGACAGACATGCAGTGCTGAATTGCCAAGTCCCACTCTTCCGTCGCCATGTAAAGATGGGCGAGCTCGTTTTCCGTGGCGCGAGCCTGGTCCGACTCCGGTCCGTATACTTGACGGCATGATTTGAGCAGTTCCACAATGATATCCCGAGCGGCGTCAAACTCTCCATTTCGACGTAAGAGCGTGGCCAGGGAATCCGTAAGTTTGATTGTGACAGCCCTAGACCGCCCAAGACGTGTGTTGAAAATATCGAGCATGCACTGAAGACCCCTGCGGGACACTTCTTGGCAGTTTTCATCACGTTGCAGCTCCTGGCAGATCAACGTGATGGGGTGATTTGCTGAGAGGCTTTCTTCGGCCTGTATGGAAAGAAACTGTAGGAGGATGGTCCGAAGCTCAGGGCGGGCGCTCAGGTTGGCAGGTGAGAGGGTCGCAAACAGATTCTTGAGAAAATCAAAGGGCTGAGATGTCATGGCATCTGCTGCGATAACGCCAGCTTCTGACAAGGCAGGCCACGCGCGGTTCGCAGGCAAAGAGTCAGCGCCATCCAAGGATGCTGCCGACAGCTTGATCAAATAAATGGCGTTCTTGATGGTCGCCCAGTACTTGGTGGACTCGAGAGTCGAACGGGCTCCCAGATAATCATCAGGTAGGACGCCCTCGGGAATGTTCTGAAGCTGCCAGTCATAGTAGTCTCTTAGGCTGAGGGTAATGATTTTCAGGGACCGCGTCCTTGCGTCCAGTGCCAGAGATGGAGGTGGTGATCTCGCAAGCGTCTGAATCTGAGCCTTGTAGGTAGCCAGACTCGGGCCGGGAGAGCCAGTGTTGGACCGGGCGTCAGGGTTGGCCAGGGTGTGATCGTCTGACGCGGTCAAAGTCGACCTGGGAGTCCCATACGTGGTTTCCGGCGAAGATGTGGCCTGTGGAGAGGATCCTTCGTTGATGGGGTTGACAAGACTGGGTATGCTCAAGTGATGAACCATGCTCCGGTCCGTCAAGAGGTCAGAGATGTGAATGCTCCCTCTGGCAGAGGGCGCGGGCGATGGGCTGGGAGCAGCATGCGGTGAGAGGGGGCTGAGAGGGGACGGAGGGGGTTGCCCTGCGGCTGTTCTGACTCCTTGCTGGACAGATTTGGCGCATCGTATTGTTCGGCGGACGTCAACTTGACTCATGAGATCATTCTCACCAATCCGGGTGCCGTCTGATACCGACGTGGAAGCAGGAGAGCCACGGCGCTGAGCTCTCGGCCCATCCTCGCTGTTGCCGTTTTTGAAAACATTCCATTCCCGGAACCGCTTGTCATACATGCGCTTGCTGTCGCCAGTGTCAGTAAGCCTTATGAGCGTCATGGCTAGGTAGGGGGAGAGAAAAGAGGCAGGGCGTGTGGTAGCAAGACAGTCAAACTCGACGACGACATGGACCGGGAGACACGATCATGAGAGAAGAGAGCCTAGGTAGCGTGGGAGCCATTGATAGTTAAGAAGGCCGGGGAGAGAAGAGGCCGATATGCTGCACGGTGCGGAGGGCCGAGTCACTTGACTAGCCAACTCGAAGGGGAAAGCAGACGGTGCATCCTGACGGGGCCCGGGCAGCTGGATCAAGATAGTCTCTGGTCGGCGGCGGGAGCCAGCATCGCGGGAGCGAGGCCAAGAGACAGAGCTTGCCATGCGCGGTCCTGGCTCGATGAGACACAAAACATAGCACGGTCACACGGGTGGAGATGGAGGAGCGTCCTGGTAAATAACCTTGACGATGACGGAGCAAGAAAACACGAGAAACACACCTTGCAACGAAGCCATAGTGCCTCTTCATCAGCTCGCTTACTCGCTTCAGTGGATACTGCTTGTAGAGACCGACGATAGTTTCGCGATGTTTGGCCCATTCCTTGGCCGACGGGCCCTGCAGCGTGCGGGATTTCCTTTCTGGGCTTGCGGGAGCTGTCGACGGAGTGGGAGCCGAGGAGAAAGAGCCCGGCAGGCCCGACCAGACGGGCGCTTCTGCACGGTTCTCGGAGGGGAGCATGGTCATGGTGAAGCCGTTGGTCTCCGGAAGGGAAAACTGCGAGGAGCGACTGCAAGTGGAGTGTGGGAATGCAAGGGAGAATATGACTAAAGCTACGAACCCCCCGACCCAATCCTTGGCAGTCCGCTGATAAAGCTGGGGCGGCGCATTGCGGCACAGCACCAATGGCGACAGAAAGAACCTTGCATTTCTTGTGACTGGTGTCACCAATCACTCGTCACCGCTATGCTGTCCGCTGAGGCTGATCCCACTGGCCTCCAACGACCTGGCAAGGATCATTTGGGGGCCCAACAACCCACGACGGATGTCAAGTTATCAAGATAGTCGGCGAGCCGTCTCCATGTCTCGGTAAGAGCCTGAGGAAGAGAAGCAAGGGTCTTGCAGAACTGGATCCGATATAGACTGGGGACTTATCCTCCTTCCGGGTCCAGTTGAAGGGTGCATCTCCCGGGGGACAGGAACCAAATCACTGGTGGTGATGCACACCTCACGCATTACACACATACATATTCGTGACAGAAAATCAATATATGCGTATATATGTCCCAAGATTATCACCCACCCTTGCCATTCAACACGCGGACCGTGCTGCAAACCATCGTATCGGGTAAATGTTGTGGAAAGCATCTCTCCGTCTTATCATGCCCACACCTGCTTGCTCGATATTTCGAAGTCGGCTCCGTGGGTATACCGTACCTCCCAAGTGCAAATGCCAATCAATCACCCCAAACCGTCCCTGAAAATGCGCAATGCCTACCCAAACGCCGTGTGTGCTCGTGAGAGCATCCACCTAAGAAGTGTAACCCAACAAACAAGGTCGAAACCCAACAGGAATAATAAAGAAAGAAAATGCCAACTAACCCTGCCGCCAATGCCGCCCGAAAACTTGAACGGCCCACCCATCATGTAGATGTGCTCGAACCTCGACGCAATTACGGTGACCCATGCTGCGGCCATTCTGCAGAAAAGGACTCACTAGTCCAGTAGGTCCTGGCCCTCACGATGGTTCTTGATGGCATCCATGATGGCGGTGGACAAAGCTATTGGTCTAAAAGGCATTGCCGGCGTTAGCTTGATGGGTCTGTCATGCCAGACACGGCAGCTGCAGATCGTATAGATGCAGACGTGAGGGCGGATGCGCTTACACTTGAAATGATAACCAAACCAGTGGTACTATCATTGATTTTGACTCGGCAACCCTCGTGCTCAAGATGCTGGCCATGCCAACTCCGGCGCCCGACAGGAATATATTAAGCACGCAAGCAAAGACCGTGACGATTTGCTTGCGCCAATGTTGTTGGCCCTCGGTCAATGTCACTCTGTGTATCTCCATGGAGAGTAGCAGCCCAAAGGCGGCAATGTTGATAGTCAACCCAAGGGCACCCTGTAAATCTTGTAAGCAACCCTCGACTCTTTAGACATGCAGGTGGAGTCAAACTGACCAGGAATATGCAGCTCATCAGTAAAGTGCGACCTGCCACGTCAAATGCCCCCCAGCCCCCGATGCCATCCACCATAGTGAGCGGGCAGGGGTTTGAGTCGGCACTTGAAATCGTCAGGCTAGTCCGCTCTAATGGACGGGTGTTTTGTCCCAGATTGTAGACGTAGGCAACTGACCCCGCACAAACAAGCCCGAGGTGGACTAGAATGCTAAGCAGGTGTATGAGCTTCCACCGGAAGTTACTGGTGTGTTGCATTGTGGTAGGTAGGTGGGCTGGGATGCCAGCCTATCGTCGTGATGTGAATACAAGAATGACAGACTGTGACAGGAAAGAAGATGACGGGGTTGCAGGTTTCAGGCTTTCAGCCAGATGCGGTAATGAGAACGTATGTGAGTGTGTGAGTGTATGAGTGTGCGAGTGTGAGTATGCGAGTGTGTATGGTTGTGGGTGTGTGTCGTGAGGAAGGTGTTGCGAGCATATGACCCGTGATGTAGACAAGGGGGAGCTGGGCGAGCAATATAACTAGAGCCGTGATATCTTGAGATCCACTTCCTGGGCTGAGTGTATGCCTTGTGGAGGCCAGAAACAGACATAACAGAGTTCCATAGCGGTGTCTTGGGTACCCCTGTGACTACGTAAACCTGAGGTCAGTCATAGAGCTAGTCCAAGGCCGGCATGCACATACATTATGTGTGTGTGAGATCCAGGCTTCCATGCCCTCATCTCAGATAAAAACATCCCTCACATAAACAGCCACCTCCTGTTGGCCGGGCGCCACACCCTACTCTGTCCTATTTCCTGCCAGTCCAGTCTACGGTTGCACGACGAGCCACATTCGGTACTTGTGCCGTCTCTGAAGCAGTTTGCGCCATGTGGCCAGGGGTCGTCGGCTGTTGCTGCTGCTGGGACCTGGGGTTTCATGTCCAGACAAAAGGAGAGAGAGACAGTGGGCGTGCAATGATTGCTGACGGGATAAAGCGTGGAAATCGCCCTATCGGATCGACTGGAGCGGCGTCATGATGCGTGAGTGCATCTATCCATCCCTCCATCCATCCATCCATCCCCCCATGATCGGATCCCGGGGCCGGATGCGCATCTTGAACGAGCCCACCATACGTGTTTTGACTGCTGTCGGCCACAAAAATGATCGAATATAGTTCCAACTCCGGGGGTGTATTACTCACTGACTTTTGGACCCCACACCGAGTCTTGTTAGTCGCGACGGAATACGCATGAGATGTCGAATTTGGGGTTGGCCGGATGGCAGTGCCCGAGTGATTCTCGCTTGTTGGACCTCGCAGGTGTCATCGGCTGCCCTCTTGGGAAGAGAGCGCGCTGCCATTGGCTGCCAAGCTCCCTTCAAGCTTTCCCAGATCAAGGCAAGCTCCATACTGGTGAGCAAGGGCACTTCGCACTCGGCCATCCATTATCCATGCTGGTGATAGCTTCTACGTCCACAGTTCTGACTGCTTGAACAGGTCGAGGGTGCGGTGAATCTGATTGCTCTCTACTGCGCATTCTGCCCCAAGGAGCCGCAAGATACTCCGAGCCCGTCTGCCTGAGATTAGCTACGCTGTTAGCAAGCAATGCAAGCAATGGAATGGAAGCAACCTGGAATCCAAACAATCTGGTCCGGATGTTCGTCCCTGATGTACGAATCAGAGCCTCAATTCCGAACTCGAGTTACCTTTGGTAATCCAAGTCGAAACTGTACGATGGTCCACAAAAAACCCGTTAGGTTGGCCGGGTGCGCAGCCTGGAAGACGAGGCACATTTGGATGGCGGCACTTGACCAACCAGACGCGGACCCCGTACACAAATGCGCTTCTTTTCTTTTTCACGAGATCAACGTCCTCACCGATGTCATCGAAAGCCTCTATTCTTTTAGGTTGCAGTAACGTGACACTGCCTGCCTGCCTGCCTGCCCTTCATCTCCACCTTGCCTGAGGAACAGCGGGGCCTCTAGCGGGCGAGACAGCGCCGTTTGCCTGCCCCGCCAACCCCCAAGGCTCTCTTTAGGGCCTCGAGCACACTCGAGATTCCCAAGCAGCATTGCAGAGTAGGCTTCAAAACTGGCCGGTGTGGGGTATCGCTCATTTTACCACGAGTGAGTGTTTCGGCTTCCATCAACTGCGCCTTCCATCTCCCGCTGCCCTTCCATCTAATTTCGTCCCATGTTCCTGTCTTCCCTTGCCGCTTCTGTTACACTGATCCCCTCGGGCCGAATGACCTCTGATGAGCACATCATCTTGGTACAAACAAACAACCTGGAACCGTTGCATATCAACTACCTACGAATATCATGTGGTCTGCAGCGGGACTGGTGATTATTATTTGCCTTTTTTTAATAACTCTACAGATATATATAACCCTCTTCCAACTTCCAGAGCGCTACGCCAGAACCCAACCGCGGGGTTGCCGACGTCCCCATAAGGTATCGACAGCATAACGATCTTACATCATTCGGTAGTTGCTTGCACAACGCTTTTCGGCATTGGACAATGTGCGACAAAACCCCAAATGGACCCCATCGCAATCATCATCAATTCCTGCACCTCTGAGTCGTTTGTTTTCATTGCCCCGAACGGCAGGTGAAATCCCCACTTGGACTGACGCGAGAGAATGTCTCTTTCATTTCGGCCGTGGCAGTGGCTCTAAATCCGTGGTCTTTGCCAATACGTACTCGGCTCGGTACTACCACCTCACTACTCTACCAACGCGCTTCGACCGTGCCGCAAGGCATACTTGATGCCAAGATCCGGTCTCCGGATGACTCTCCAGTGCCGCGAGCCCTGACGAGGGTGCTTCGCAACGTCCCGGGAAGCCGTTGAGCCACCACCACCACCACCACGGCCACGGAGCCGCTTCGCTTCGCTTCGGTCTAGCAACCGCTTCCCACAACCTTCAACACCCTCCACAAGAGCTCATTTGCGGTCGCGCGCACGCTGATAGGCGGTTGGCTTGTCACACGTTGGAAATCCGCATCAGCCCTATGCAGTCCCTCCCCAGTCCCTTCCCAGGCAACAAGAAGGGCCTGGGCTTCCACAAGTCCCATCATCTCCTACCATGCCATCCGTACCTGCTTGGCTCGGTTTGTGCGTCATCGCCTACCCCCGCCACCCCTGAAAGGGTCTACCAACAGCGCCCAGCGGCACGAACCTTTTGGCCGCAAACCAGCTTTGGCATCGAACAAGGACAAGCCTCAAATCCTCAGGGCATGTCATTCACCCCTGTAACTTCGTAGTGTCTTCGAGTTAGAAGGCTTGATATTATTTACTTATATCAACCTCTAGACATTGTTGCTACTGTTCGTCCCATCTCCGCGTTAATTATCTACTGCCATCGTCCATCTTTACTGACAATGTTGTCACCAATATCAGCCTTCGAGAGCCGCGTGCATCTCTTGAGCCGTTTAGTGCTGGAGACGTTTGGCCAGCCAACAGCAAGTCACAACGACCTGGGCCAAATCAAGACAAATGAATACTGCCAACGACAGTGCAATGGCTGTGGTGAGGTCTGCGACCTGATCCGGTGGGGCGAGGTGCAACGGAGGCAAGACAGCTCTTTCGAAGGTTGTTCGTCGCCACGCCTGCTTCACCACAGTTTCCTAGACCTCGACTATTGCGCCAGAGTATCCGGTTGCGACACTTGCCGCACTTTCCGCCGGGCGTTTCTCTTGGAGCAGATCACGGGTCGAGACGTCGAGGCTTTAACAAACCCTGACCTCCAATCGCCCGTGTATGCTGTTTTAAGCATTGAGTCTTCCGGTGACAGACTACTGCTCACGTCCACGCCCCCTCAAAAGCCATCCTTCTCTGCCACAGTTTCTCTTAATCACGAGCCCCGCCATCTAGCCAACGATCCAACCAAAAGGGGTGCTAGTCTCAACACCAACTTTCAAGAGCTTCGAGGGGTCATACAGGACTGCCACTGCAACCACGAATGCTCATCAAGATACCGTTGGTCACGCCGGAATCCGACGTGGCTTCTTGAGATCAAAGACAGCGATCACGTTCGCCTAGTCAGAGGCCCCCGGAATCTGGTGGATTATGTGGTACTTAGCTACTCGTGGGGTGATCCGACCGAGATGCCCGCGGCTGAGTGGGCCAGAATTAAAGGAGCTGGTACCAAGACCAAGGATGGCGTCCCTGTCCCGGAGAGATTGAACACCTTTCCATCATGGCATCTGCCAGAAACCATGCAGGACGCGATTTGCATTACCAAAAACCTCGGGTATAGCTACCTTTGGATCGACAATGTATGTATCCCCAAAGGGACGAACTGGGACACGGAGGCATCCCTGATGCACGAAGTGTATGGAAATGCGGCCTTCACCCTCGTCGCCTCATCCAGCTCCAAGGCGACCGACCGTATGATCAAAGACCGGCTGGCTTGGTCACATCGCAGCAAAGCGGTCAAACTGCGCGGCAAGTGGCTCCACAATACACAAATGCCGTTGGACAAGATCAGGCTTGAGTCGCCAGTGGCAAGGAGATCATGGACGTTGCAGGAAGAACGATTATCACCACGGGTTTTGTACTGGACCGAACAGCGGTGGTATTGGTCCTGTCCGGAAAATCAAGTGGCAGAGCTTGAAGAGCTGGGACATGTTACTCCCATCAATAATAACATGGTGCGGAGGTCTCCTCAGCTGTTTCTCGAACTTTGCCGTACAGGAGATATTGAAAAGCTTCACGAGGAATGGCTTGACATCGTCGAGGCATATACGCCGCGAGATTTGGTGGAGCCTAGAGATCGGTTCCTGGCCATTGCCGGGCTCGCGGTTCGCTTTTACAGTGCCAAAGCCGAGGCCGGCGGTTCGTTCATCAGTGATGAATATTTGGCAGGTTTATGGAAGGACAACTTTGCCCGACATCTTGCCTGGTCTGTCACCAAGGGGGCGAATTCGCGACAAAATCTGCAACACATTGCACCCTCATGGTCATGGGCTTCGCTCCCCCTCCGGATAGAAACTAATACGAAGCACGCCTTTAAACCCTCGGATCACTTCAAGTTCATCTCAGTCGTGGAAGAAAAGATTCATCCGGCCAATGGGATGCCGATGGCAAACCCCGACAGCTTGTCCCGTGGACGGGCAATGGAAGAGCGCGGCAGGGGAGTCAAAGTTGTGGATGTGGAAGGCCGATTCCGCCGCTTCGTGTCAGCGAATGCGAAGCAAGTATCCTGGGATGCAATTGAGTGGAGGCGGGCCAAACGCGTAGGCTTCAACTTTGCAGCATTTCCCGGCCAGGACCTCTTTGCTCGTCAGGACTCCGATGGCCGGATCGTAACAAAAGACGCACATAGCGGAGAGATCGTTGGCCAGTTGGACTACTGCGTGCCCGATGAAGTCCCAAAGTCTCCCTTTGCCCCATACGTACCTTGCGGCGGTGAAAAGGACATCATGTGCCTAGAGCTGGGAGAGTCGGCCATGCTCTTGTTGGTCAAAAACCACGCCTGTGGTCAACAAGAGATCTACCGGCGCGTTGGTGTGGCTATTGGATACCAGAACCGTAAAGGATTCTTTTACGGATGTGAAACAAGAACGGTCCGGCTCGCTTAGACAGGCTGCCAAGGTGGCTTTGGGTTTTTCTTTTCGGTGTTTTCATGGAGTTGATGGCGTGGGTGGTCAAAGTTATCAAGACAGGGAGCAGCAATGCTGTGTTGATTTTGCATTAAAGCGGGGTGTTGAGGCGACTTTTGGGCTTTGTATTGCACGGCATCATTTTACCCCCTGTGTGTTCCCAGAGTACACACGCTCTTTTCGAAGCTGGTCTTGGAGCTACATATTATTTTGGAGTATAAAGGAATGGACAAAATAGAGAAACTATAATCCGAAGAGTCAGATGTTCTAAACGCAACTTAAAAAGTGCTGGGAGCAAGTCTCTTGTTTTATATGACAGGGTGCGTGGCAAACTTTTTTACTTTTGACAGGTGACAAGGGATTACCCTTTGTGCTAGTCTTGCCAGAAGCCCAATGTTTGGGTAGTGTAATAGGGATGGTACCTACACTTGAAAATTCTCCAGCTTGACTACCTAGGTAGGTTATAAGTAGGTACTTAAGTAATCAACCACCCCACACTGTCATCTTCCACGCACATCGATTGGCAACCCTATCTACGCCGCCAATATGTGTGGTTGCAGCATCCCAATCTTCATCATCCAACCCTCCATCTCCGGCTGGACGTCCAGACCATAGCCCATCCAATCTCAAGAACAAAACCAGGTGATGCGAGGTCTTTAACCTAGTTCTACAACTTGCACCACAACTTGGAGAATGATAAATACTGGTGACGCCTACTGTTTAAAAGGCCCTGATATTGCATGTTGCCAGATCTGCTCCATAATATCAACCTTGTTGGTCTCAGCTGAACTCTTTTGGTTTCGCGACTTGGTGTCTGTGGAGGGATCTTGTGAAATCTTGTTGACTGGACGGTATACCATCACTGATCAGTATTAGCAATCAGAGTCTCATCTTGCATTTGCATGGAAAAACATTCTTTACCTCGGCCAGGCTTCACAGCCTTGCGCACGTGGCTGGGTTTCTTCTCGGAGCCAGCGCGGATTGGCCGGGGCGGTCGGCCATTCTGGATTCGTAACCCACCCGGGATTGATTGGGACGCCCCCATTCTGGTTATCATTTGGGGCGCCACGGCGAGTCCTCATGAGCCCGGAGTCATCCACCCTAGACTGGCAGCCCAAAGCCTGTACTGAGTGAGGACCGCTGTGGCAGGGTTATGAGCAAGTTCAAGGACAAGGGCACGAAACTGCTTATCGCTGAGACACGCAGCTAGTCCATTGATATCATGAACTTGGCTCTGGGTCGGGTGGGAGCCATCATCTTCTGTGAGGTCAATCGTGAGATCGCCGGTCAGATCTGCCACAGGCTTGGGTAGCCGCTTCTCCATGCTCTCGACGCTTAAATCTATCACATCTCTGGAAGCAACAAGGTGTTTATCTATCAAGGAGGTCAGTAGATGTCACAGTTAACAGGAGTAATGTCAAGACAAAACATGCCTAGATCGGGTACGGGCACCCCTTGCGGCTTAAAATCTTTGGCGGCTGTGAAGCGCATCAGGAGCTCACAGCCTGGACGAAGCTGGCGCCAGCTTATACCAGCTTCCCTGAGCATCTTGGCAATGACAATCTCCAAAACATCAAGTCTATGGGCCAGGTTGATGATGATAGCTCGGCACTGCTCAATCGTTAGTGCGGCGACACGCTTTTTCACACTCAAGCCTCGTTCCCGATTATCCAATCTAGCCGACATGTGTCTTTCTGCGCAAGGTGAGGGAGCATAACAAAGAGGAAAGTGTAGGGTTTTGTGTAGGTACGGAAGTCGACGTTTGCTATTTGAAAACTAATGGAAAAGGGTTGAATGAATTAACAAAGTCGCTGGACAAAACATTTGTCGGGGTGCGAGATGAAACTTGTCAAACAAAGAAGTTTACAGGAAGAAGGAGCAAGACGGCGAAAGTTGTGCCATCACGGCAACCAGGCTGCCGTGACCGCCCTACGCTATCTCTAGCAGGTAACTGTGGTATGTGAAGGCCTGGAATTCGAAAACTACCGGCGTTATGGCTTACTTGGTAGACTATCGTCTGCAATTGCGACTACGTCAGGTCTTTTTAGCTACACAAATCTCTATTCTTGCCCGGGCTTTCGTTGTCAAAGAAAAGGTGGCGGCACTTGCCATAAGCACTTCATCAGTATAGTTGGCTGGATAATAAACAGCAAGAGAATTCCATGTTGCTTTGTGTACACTTTGGGTGACAGCTGCCCCGCAACCACACGGACACACGGACACACCGACAGACACAAAAATACCTGGATTCGGGTAGGTGGCTACTGGAATCAAGCATCATGCATCATGCATCTATTTACGGGTACCCTGTCCCAGCCAATGCCAAGGTTGGGCGGGTGAGAACGAAAATGTCCTCAACTGCCGAGACACACCTTATACCCATTACCATGTTGACACATATCCAAATAAAACAAAACTCGAGCCACTGCACCCTAGTGCGCCATGGTTATTCTTCCGCTCTCGGCCGAAACACATACAAATATTCCTGGTACTATCAACACCACCGCCTTTCAAAAGGCCCCAAGGCTCAATACGCTGCCTGCCGTTAGGTTGCAGTGCAGTCGCACCTGCATCCATCCTCAACCCCGAACGAGACGCTTACCCTCAAGCAACTTCGTGAGTTCATGGCCTTCCTCCGCTTACTCGGACATGGCATGGAAGACTTTTCTCGAGTTACACCACCAACAACCAACAGCATGAGCTAATGTACACTCGCCAGTCTATCGTGCTTGGATACGTGACTCCATCGTCAAACATGGTCAACTAGTCTCTGGTTGGCCAGCTAAGTCTTGTCGGTACCACTGAAGTCTCCATAGATACCAAGGCTCTGCCCTCATGGACCCTCATTGGCTTCCAACTGATGGTCAACCATGGTTCCTGGGAGTCCCGGGGTCTTGGTTGCCGGTATAAAACATTCCCGAAATGTCAGTTTTTCGTGTGCCAACTCTCTCACATCACTGTCCTTCACTGGCCCGCCTTCATCATGCACGCGACATTGAAGTCTTTTGGACTGGCCAGTATTCTCTCCGTAGCCGGCACTTCGGCGGCGTCGGGAGGCTACGTGGTCGGCCCGACCCTTCAAACAGATATCCTCGCTGCGGCAGCTCTCGGCAAGCTCACCCTCCACGCTGCCCAGAATCGTGATACCGCAACCTGTACCTTAGAGAATGTCGCTATTAGACGTGAATGGTGGGTACCCCATTACGATCCGCAGTGCGATCAGTCACTGATATCAAGAGCCAGGGGATCACTTTCTGCGGCAAACAGGCAAGCGTACACCAACGCAGTCAGATGTCTCATGGAACACCCGTCCCTCCTTGATCCCCTTGAGGTTCCGGGGGCCAAGACACGCTTTGATGACTTCGTGGCCGTTCACATCAACCAAACCTTTTCCATCCATGGCACTGCGAACTTCCTATCATGGCACCGGTATTTTACCTATGCATTCGAGCAGGCCTTGCGAAGCGAATGCAATTACAACGGCTACCACCCCTACTGGAACTGGGGCAAGTATGCCCACAACCCTCTCAACTCGCCTGTTTTTGACGGGTCCTCCACCTCAATGGGCGGGAACGGCGAGTACGTCCCTCACAATTGCACCGACGGCTTGCCCACGGGACTCAATTGTATTCCACCTGGCTCTGGCGGCGGTTGCGTTACCACTGGTCCCTTTGCCAACATGTCAGTGAACCTCGGTCCAATTGCACCAACCCTCGCGGCACCTGGCGTCGTTCCCGCATCGTCCCTGTTTACCTACAACCCGCGCTGCCTCCGCCGTGATATCTCATCATGGGTCAGCTCCAACTGGACGACTGACTTTGAGAGCTACGACCTCATCAGCAACTACACTGACATTTTGTCTTTCCAGAACCGCATGCAAGGTGACTTTGCCACCGGTTTCTACGGGGTTCACACCGGAGGCCATTTCACCATCGGCGGCGATCCGGGCGGTGATCTCTTTGCCAGCCCCGGTGAACCGGCGTTCTATCTGCATCATGCTCAGATCGATCGTGTGTGGTGGATCTGGCAGAATCTCCACCCCGAGACCAGGACGAATGCTATTGGGGGCACCATCACGCTTAACAACTTTCCGCCCTCGAGGAACGGTACACTGGATGATTTGCTCGACTTGGGTGTAGTTGGGCCTGCAGCGGGGGTGTTGGAAATTCGCGATGTGATGAGTACGATTGGAATTGGAGGTGGGCCCTTGTGCTACATTTATGTGTAATGGCGAATATAGATTGGATAGAAACTGTATGTATATACCCAGGTAGTCCGTGGGTTAACGGGCAGATCACTTCGTACCTACTATTACTGATCGCTGCTTGGTGCCCGTGACGTCTCCTGAGAACAACAAATTTGTGCCCAACAACGTGTGGGCACTTGCTCTTGCCACGTCAGGCAACCTGCAATTTTGAGTGTCTTACCCCGCTTCACCACACGACTCAGTCTCATCAAGTATCTCACATCCGCCCATTCTCTCCTGACCACTTCATGCTCTCCGCTTTCCAGTTGGTGACAGAATCAAGTTGCTGCAGACGACATGGCCGCCACGCTGGGACATGCAAGAGCTTTTGTCGGGCCCGTCATCCATTCTCTCTCGGTCTCGAAGCTCGAGATTAATCCCTTGGCCCTGCTGATTATTGATCCTCAAGGCAAGATCAACAAACTAGTCAAGCTCGAGCCGGATGGTCTGGCAGAACAACTAGACCAAGCCCTCGACCACCTTCCTTTTTGCCTCGACCGAACCAACACCACACACCTCAACCCGGGCGAATTCCTCATACCTGGTTTTGTCGACACCCACAACCACGCCCCTCAGTATGCTCAGCGAGGACTAGGCCAGGGAATGCACATCCTCGACTGGCTCTCCAAGATCACTTTTCCCAACGAGGCCAAGTTTTCCGATCCGGTCTATGCCCGCAAGATCTACACTGCCTGCGTGGAGGGGTTCTTGAGACAAGGCATCACCACTGCGAGCTACTTCGGTTCTGTACACGCTGAGGCGACGAAGATACTGGCTGACATCTGCTTGCAAAAGAGGCAGAGGGCCTATGTGGGAAAGTGCAACATGACGCGCAACTCGCCCGACTTTTACGTGGAAAAAAGTGCGGGGGACTCGCTGAGGGAGACCAGAGAGTGCATATCACATGTCAGAGCCATAGATCCAGCAGGGAGGTTGGTAAAGTATGTCATCACACCTCGATTTGCCATCTCTTGTGACGAAGAAACACTCAAAGGGCTGGGGGACATTCGGAGCGAGAACGAGGATCTGGCAGTGCAAACGCACTTCAATGAGGCTAAGCAGGAGATGGAGGAGACTCAGCGGCTGTTCCCGCAGTTTGGTGGGAGCGAGGCAGATCTATACCAGGAGTTTGGGCTGCTAGGGAAGAGAACGATACTGGCGCACTGCTGCTATATGGATGAGCACGAACTGGAAATAATTGAGAAGCTGGGCTGTGGAGTGGCGCACTGCCCGATAGCAAACTTGACAGTGGGAGGGGGGTTTATGGCAGCCCCAGTAAGGGAGCTCTTGGATAAAAAGATCAAGGTTGGGCTTGGCACGGATAGTGGTGGCGGGTTTTCCAGTAGCATGTTGGATGCTATGCGGCAGGCTATGATCGCCAGTAACGCAAGAGAGGTGATGTCTGAAGGTAAGGACAAGGGACTAAGCATTGCCGAGGTCTTTTACCTGGCAACCCTCGGAGGAGCTGCAGTCTGCTGCCTCGAAGACAAGATTGGAAGTTTCGAGGCCGGAAAGGATTTTGATGGACTGATCATTGGCACCAAAGGAGCCGACCAAGGAATCATGACCATGGTGGAAGAGGATGACACACTGGAAACGGTGTTTGAAAAGTTCATCATGACTGGGGATGACAGGAATATTGTTGAAGTTTATGTCCAGGGGCAATATGTCAAGGGGCAAAGAGCCTGTGTCTCAACCAGCTGATGAACTTGGTACATATCAGATCAGCCACTCCATCATCCACCACGCACTATGAGCAACTCTCTCAGTCAAATAGACCACTCAGCAGCGTGCCAACTATCGTGAGTAACGGTGCATATCCCCAATGATTTCCATGTCCCTGCCTGTGGGTGTAGCAAATACAGCCATCAGCAAAGGCGACGGCGCTCGCCGCACTCAAAGTCCAGCCCAAAGATTTCTTAGTGCCCCAGATGGCAGCTGAGTAGAGAGCAAGGCCCATGAAGATGTCGCGGACTCCGTAGACGGCTGTCAAGCTGTTGACTGTCTCTACGTCGGCGATGTTGGCGGGAAGGGTCCACTCGAAGAAAGTGAGTGCATGCTCGGGACGTAGTATCGCATTGATTCCAAAGCCAACAAAGAGGGTTGCAAAAGCATTGGCTGCGATGGGTACGGCTGCGAGCTGCGAAGGTGGCATTGCAGTGGTTTCAGGTCTGTGGACAGGAGGCAAGATCAGATACTAGCGCGTCTTCTAGTTGTCAAAGGGATCCCTGAGATTGTTGTGTTCGGAAAGTCGTCACAGACCGAAATGGGTTGGTTGGTGGTGAATAGGAGAGTACTGGACGAATTTTAAGTGGGGAGAATGCAAGAGCCTCCAGTCAACAAAGGCGTCCATCGGTCACCTGAATCTGGGGGTTGGTATTGACAGCACCAATTGCTTGGGTAAGCAGTTAAGCTCCCAAAGTACCTACGTACATTCTTTCAAGGTCTGCTTTCTTTAGTCTAGAGAATCGACCAAGACCCATTCCTCTGATCAGAGAGGTGTCGGAATGGTGCAGAGACCCAGAATAATGACCAGGGTTAGGGTTACCACAAGACGCCTGGTTATGTGGGGTAGCTTCCTCACTCCAGCCACAATTTGCTACTTGGCTACGGTAGCGTCCACTGATTTCCTTCCTGCTTCATATTCACCTGCAGGCCCTATTTATAAACAAACCCTTATTCCAACTCCGACGGCAATATTTTCTAAACCCTCACGGACCCTTTGATCGAGTTGGCTGACAAATTTATTCTCAAACACTCTTACTCGGTTCGAGCTGTGGCCTACGACCTCACCTCTAAATCATCATGCACGAGCTACTCCTCTCGTCTGTCATCAAAGAACATGAAGTTCCGAAGATACTGGCTCTACTTGGCGGCTTTACCGAGATGCATGAGCGACATCAATTCACGCGTGTTCAACACTTTGAGCCCAGCCCAGCAGTGAAAGGCATCTCGACTATCAAAGAACTCCAGAAAGAGCGACACGCAAATGCTTCACACTGGAACGAACTGCATCAGATCCTAACCAAGCAACCCTGCACCATCCAAGTGCGCACACGCCTCACTGACAGTGAAGTCGAGGGTGCCAAGAAGGGGTGGGTATTTTTTCAAGAACGCACATGCTCTCAAAGCACTGCTAACTCGATGACCTTTCACAAGCAGAGAAGCAGTGAGCATTCCTGCTGACAGACCTCGTCTTCTCCGGTGGACGGAGCTTCCCGATCCTCCCAGCCAACGATTACCTCCTTACATGACGCAGCGAAGAACAGTTGAAATCATTGATCTCGGACTGGAAAAAATACTGGCCGACAACAAGTTTACGCATGTCCAAGCCTTCAACCCTGTCGGTTTTCTTTTAACTAACTGTTCATATCTGCAGGCGAGTGTCCAACATTTTTGAAGAATCATACCACTGGTGGCAGAGAGATTACTTTACTGAGTTTGCCCTGATCCGGACCTGGATCGCTGAGGACTCCTTGCCTTCTGACAAAGTCATGAATCTCTCGGCTCGAGAGCCCTACGCCCCGTACTGGATGCTCAATGTGCGGACTCTGGTGGAATCGTCACCCGAGAGGATGCAACAAGCCCAGACACAGCTGGAGAAAGTTCGGGACCAGTTCAAAGATGTGCTGGACTTCAAAATATTTGACCGCAGAGCTATGGATACGAGAATCCTTCCAGTGGTTGCTGTGTAGGCACGGCAGTATCAACGTGGATCGCAAGTGCTTGGTCTAAGAGGTGTGAAAACCCCGGGAATGCGGAGCTGGAGGAGAACAAGGGGATGGTGTCGAGGAAGAATTGGAAAGTAAGGGCCTTATTCTCAGCGGCAAACTGGTTAGTTGACACGATTCTAACAAAAATTGAGGAATTGATATTTTGAACAGCGCATGCAGTCGACTGAGATTTGTAACTGTCAGTGGTGATCCTATTGTAACGCTGACTTGAAAGGGGCTGGCCCCTCTTGCATGTGGCCAAAAAAAAAGAACCCCTGGCAACCTCAGACCAGACAGTCAAACATTTCGGTTGGGCTTGCCGACGGCCTGCGCCAGTCGGGATCATGCCTGAGATTGGTGGGACTTCAACCGAAGAGGTAGGGGAAACTATTCCCTTGGCAGCGTCCCCTCGTTTTGCTCGCCGCTGAAGAACCCCGCAGAAGTTCCACCATTACCAATCCGGCGTGGAATCCCAGCATCTCGTCTGGTCTCGGATGATATTTTTGGACTTAGCCATCGGTATTTTGACACAGTTACTTTCTATTTCCCATTACATGTCGGCTTTGCATAGGATTCGAAATGGTCTATGGCGGGAAACCCTCGAGAGGGTGCCGCACATGTCGACAGCGTCGTATAAAGGTAAATAATGGATCTTGGTACCGTGAATATACCTACTTCTCTGCCACAAGTCCAGTGCTGACCAACTGCCGATGCAACCCCCAATCTCCAGTGTGACGAGGAAAAGCCTACCTGCAAACGCTGTGAGAAGTCCCGAAGAGATTGTGGTGGTTACCGGCCCGAGTTCGAGATCGTCCACCGAGACCAGACCAAATCCACCGTTCATCGTTTGCGCAACGCACAAAGCACATCACCGCCTCCACCGCTCGCCGACGCTGCCGAGTACAGCTCTCGCGCTCTTGTCTTTGTGCAGGAAGAACCTCAGTCATGGGGCTCGGATAGCGCGAGCCCATCCCCGGTGTTAACAGTACCTCTTGCACAGCGAGCATCGTGCTACTTTGCCTCCAACTTTATCCTCGTGCCCCTGACTGAGAGTACCCCGCACGGGTTCATGGAGTATCTTATTCCACTCATTGAATCAGAACCAGCCGAGAGTTCCCTGCGCTACGCCTTCAACGCCTGCGCATTCGCACTTCTCAGCCACCACAACCGATCCGACAGTATTGACCTTGCTCAGCTATCTCTCAAAGACCATACACTTGCGCTCGGAGGGACTTATAAAGCCCTCGGCCACCCCACCAAAGCCACCGCCCACGCCACGTTAGCTACGGTGCTGCTGTTGTCTTTATATGAGGTACGCCATTAGTAGACTCCGGACGGCTCAAGACTATTGGGAAGACATAGGTCTATGCTAACATGAGTAGAGTATCACTGCCAACAGAGAAAGTCGCATGCTAGCGTGGCGCTCGCATATCGATGGCGCCGTCAACATCATTAAGTCGCGAGGCCGCGATGACATCTGCCGAACAAAAACAGGGGCCCTGCTGTTCTCAGCAGTTCGGCACCAGCTGGTAAAGCCCAATTGAATCGACAAGTCACCAAAGCGTGGAACTAACAGAGGACTAGGTGTCACGGACATTGTCCTCGGGCATGCCGATTCCCTTTGGTACAAACTGGTGGATGTCAAGTGGTGTTGAAAACAACACGCTGCTTGCCACATCTCAGCATCTCGCACTCAAATATACAGACCTCCGAACAGAATCGAACCACTTGCTAGTAGGGCAAGCCAGGTCCCCTCAGTCCCTGGAGCAAATTTACCGGCTCATCCAGAAAGTAGAGGCCCTAGATCGCGAAATCATTAGCTGGCAAGCCTCAGTTCCAAGACAGTTCTGCTTTCAGACCTTGTGCTTGGTCTATGAGGACGACATCGGCCTGTCCAAGGGTGGAGACTACGCCAAAGTGGATGTGTTTCCAGGCCGCGTTGACATATACCCCGACTTTGTCACGGCTAGTGCCTGGAACATTTCAAGGGTCTCTCGGTTGCTGTTGGCAGCGCTCAGTATCCGCTTGACGGCGTACTGTTGTTCTCCCATTGACTATCGCACGACCCCGGGATACCGTACCTCTAAAAGTATATGCGAGGAGACTATTTCAGAGATTCTAGCCTCGGTGCCTTATCATTTCGGCTGGCACACGAAGCATAAAGACGGTTTGAACACAAGCTCAGGTATTTCCGGCTTCGCTTGTGGTGACGAAGGTCCCCTTAAAGCGCTCCCTGCCTTTCTCGTCCTGTGGCCATTAACCTGTGTCAAAAACCACGACATCACAACCGAGGAACAGCGGTTGTGGGCCAAGGGGAGATTAAAGGTGATCACAGAAAATATTGGGCTAAAATATGCTCAAATTGTCAACGACGTAAGTACGCTGCCGTCTTGGGTCTTGCAGTGTACTGGTCTGACCACAAGCGCCACATTTAGGTCGAGCTTCGCTTCCCCTCTATGCTTATTGGCCGTGATGGCCTGCCAGTCAACCCGAATCCATTTGCTGGGCCAGGACTTCCCCTCAGACCGGTGGAAGCACCCCCGACCCCGGAGAGCATGACATCCACGGAAAGCCCCACTCCGAGTTGAAAGATCAATTATCAATAAAGGTCTTCCTACAAGCAAACTTACTACCGGCGGAGAGAGAAACGTCTGGTAGGGGAGAGACATGCTCCTCTTTCTCAAGCTCTCGTGTAGCTGCTGGGGCAGGTTCACACGGCTACCATTTGGTCGAGTGTCACGAACATGCTTCAAAATGGCGCTGTATTAGTACATGCCTTGCAATTCCAAACCACAGCAAACCGGAAACGAGCTTGCCCATAAAGCCACATAACCAGGGTCGGTCACTACAAAGTGCCCTCTCTGGCCGCGCAAAAGAGCCCACAATTTCGGCTAGGCACTTTGGTGAAAGTCAACTTTCACCCCAGGCGTACCGACGTAGTGGCATCTGTAACTGAACAAATCGACTTAGCGGTTGCCGACTGCTAACTAACCATTGCCCTGGAAATGGAGTATATCTATGGGTCAGCTTATCAGCATCACAACATTGCAAACAGCATGGTTTAGCCTGGGCGGAAGCCTTTCATACCGAATATCATGTAGCTTTGTGATCAAGAGTTGTTCCTAATTTAATTACTAACAGCAACGCCCAGTGATAACCGCAACTCCTGAAAGCTTCTGTAACTGGTTCTCTAGACCAGGTTAATCACACTGAACATCTCATATTCCAGTGTTTGATCAGTCAGAAAACAACAACCAAATCTCTCACCTATGTGCAGTTCATACTTGTTCTCTCATGCTCACTTTCTCTCTTCCCTCTCCGACGCTCTTGCCACTACTCTTCTCACTCCCCGAAGTGCCAAGTCTGGTGCTCAGCTGTCTAGGGGCCAAAACTGCGTCAACAAGACTGTCAAACACTCGAGTGACCTTGTTCCCATCTTGCGATCCTCCATCAGATCCGGCCGGCCAGCCGTCCACCAACGTCCACCCAGCTCTTTCGAAGCGTTGGCGGACATATTCTGACATGTTGGCAAATCTCACCTCCACAGAAGCACCGCCGTACATTCTAACCTCTTTAACCATGGCCTTCATGTGCGTACAGGCAGTGACATCAACATGGTTGGTTCGCCCGAAATCGAGGACTAGCAAGCCGATCGGAGGCAAATGTGTGCCATCAGTAATGCCCGCTTGTCTCCTCAACTTGGCAATTCTCTTCTCCCCGGTCACTGACCACTGTCGTTTCTGCTCCAGGCCACAACTGCCATTGAAGATTGGGGCATGCATTGTCTTCACCGTGTCGATGATGGCATGTTTGGCGTGGTACGCATTTGGGAAGAAGAGGCTGTCAGTGAAGGCGAAAACGTGGACATCCGGAGGCAGGTTGACATGCGAGGGGATATCGCCATGGGGAACCGAAAGGGGAAGCGGAAGTTCAGAGCTGGTCGAGCTTTGGGCATCTGGCAGGGACCGGACAGTTGCGAAAACTTGTCGGAGCAGGACATATACGATGTTGAACCCCACAGCTGATGCAATGCCCAGCTCAGTTGAAACAAACAGAGACACCCAAAATGCAATCATGGAAGAGATGAAGTCGGCGAGTGATGTCTTCCAGTACCCGTAGAAGACTCTGGGTGATGACATCAGCGGCCAAACTGCGGTGATGATGATAGCGGCCAAGGTTGCTTTGGGGATCCAATAGAGGGTTCCAACGAGTTTGAAGATGGACACAAGCACAACAGCCGTGGTCACGAACCCTGACAAGGGAGATTTGACGTTGCAGGCAGAGTTGACGGCCGTTCGGGACATGGCGCCACCGACACCCATTGCGTGGAAAAAAGAGTTGAAGACGTTGGTGACGCCGTAGTATGTCAGCTCCTGGCTCTGGTCTGTGACGTAGTTGTTCCTAACCGCGAAGGCGCGGGCAATCGCCGTATGCTCCACTGCGGAGCCGACGAAGACGGCGATGCTGCGGGACGCAACTTTGGACAACAGGGCGGCACTGGGCACCTTGGGTGGTTCTTGTCCATCTGCTTGAACCTTGGCAACATCAAACAGGTAGTTCTCGGAAGCTCCACGAGAATGATTGACAGCATATCCGACGCCAGTGAAAATGACCAGTGCAATGAAAGCCCGGGTGATGGATAGGAACCAGATGATTCTGTTCTTTTCCCCCCATCTCTTGCCGGCCTGGTCAAGCACTGTGAGGAGGAGTATACCCGTGAATCCAATGGCACATGCATAGCCGTTGGCCTGGGGCAACTGCTGGAAGATGTCTCGAATTTGCGTGGCAGTGCCGTCGCCGACGTTGGGTTCGCCCAGAAGAGAGTCCATCTGGTTAAGAATGATCGTGATCGCGACCGCTGATATGAACCCGCTCAAGACGGGAAGGGAGATGAACTCCAAGAGGAAGCCAAGCTTGAGAAATCCAATTGCCATACCATATATGCCCATCATCATGGCAACTGCCGACGCGATCTCCACCGGCGACCACTCCTCACCGTGAAGAGCCTCGATGATATCTGCCGTGAGGAGACTGATGAGGGAGGTAGGACCGGTCGAGAGATCTACAGTGCCGGAGGTCAGAAACCAAATCACCCCCACATGGTAAGCCGTTTCACTTACCCTTTGTGGTTCCCATAAAGGCATAGATGGCCGATGGAGCCCAGCTAGACATGAGGCCATACTGAACAGGAATGGTGGCGATCTTAGCGTAGGAAAGTCCTTGAGGAATCAACATGAGCCCGATGGTTAAGCCAGCAATGATGTCGTTGATGATCCATCGATAGTTGTACCGAGGTAACCATCCGATGATGGGAAATTTGTCCAGGACATATTCAACACTGGCCTGGGGAAAGGCACGAGCTCCTCTTGCTGCAAGGTGGCCGACCCGGTTCCAAGTAAAGTCGGTCCGCAAGGCATTCTTTACAGAGTCAATGTACTCCATAATGGTTGAGAAATGAACAAGCTTTTGAGTAAGTTGGAGAAGAATGTCAATGCTTCGTGGGAAGTGTGTAAGAACCGGGGGGGGGGCATCTCAGGAGGTAGGTGTTTGACAGATATATCTGGGGTGCTCTTGCCCCCACCAAGGCAGTGCAGATGAACGGAGAGTTCGTGCTTTGACCACTAGCCCTTTCGTACAATGCCGTACGTATCTTCTAGAAGTAACCTCTGCACACAAGCAAGAACAGGAGTCTCTTTCATCTCGCCATTGTGGGAAGAGGTGGGATTCGGAATCGTCATCTCGGCCTTCGGGATGTCAGTACGTCTTTCCAAAAGTCTGTTACTACTCTTAGCAGAGATGTTTGGAAATGGCAGTGCAATAGCTGTGAGGGTGTGAGGCAAGAGGTTTTGAATGGCCAAACTGAGGCACTACTGGGGTAACCAATGCAAGGTAGTTGCCATTGCCTCCTGTGCCTGAAATCACGACATGTTGCTGTCATCGCGCAGATAGCGTTCGTTCAACAGTGGAGCCATCTGCAAGGAAGGCTGGCATGAGTAAGGACCTGTGCACCTTGCTGATAGTACATGAAAGCTACCGCGAGTCAAGCTTATCAACCGGTGGGAGGTGTTCTGGACTAGGTAGCTTAGCAAAAGCCTGCATACTTTTAGGACAGTTGACAACAAGAGGAGATTCGGTTATTGCTACACATTGTAACAGGGCTTTGATAATGTGACTTGCGTATGTCCTGCAGCTCGCTGTCATAGCTATATCGGGAAGGTCTCGGCTTAGCATATCTACATTGTTGCGTACATTGATCTGTAGATCCGGTCGTGCGTATAGGTTAGATGATTAGTGGAAAGCATTGAGAGGGAAAAGAATACCCTAGAAAGACTATAGGGTTTATACTAATAAAGTAGATAGATTAATGGATTATAAAAGGGAGGGAAACTCCCCCCCCTCCCAACCCCAAAAAAAACCCCAAAAAAAACTAAAAAGACCAAAAAAAAGACCCCAAAAAACCAAACGGAAAACTAAAATCTTAACGCAAAATAAAAGGTGTGAAAGCGTTACTTACTATTTGAAGACAGCTTTAATATACTAACGGTAAAGCAAGATAATTCTAAATAAATAATATTAAAAAAGCTTCAATACTGGAGTATTGTAACGAGCCCTTATCTAGAACCTCATAAAGAGATACTAGTCGAAGGCGCTCCTAAACAATCCTGGTTTGGTATAGCTAAACAGTGTACAATAATAGCTTGTCTCAATTATAATAATGAAAATACTAACGAATAGAACTTATATTATATACCACGGAACTATCTCATACCTATCTAGTTCCTATATATATATAAACTCCAAAGCTCTAGACTGATTATAGCTAACCCGCCCTAATTACTGTGACGAACCCCCTATTCAGAACATCTGAAAAGAATACTAATTAAAGGTACTTCTAAACAATCCTGGTTCGGTACAGCTAAATAGTATACAATAAATAGCTTTTTTTAACCATAATAGTTTAGATACTAACGATTATAACTTAGATTATATATTGCGGAACTATTTATCTACACTAGTGTGTTTCTCCATATATATCGATTAGTAGACTACCGTGGATTACGATATTAAGAGTGATCCTAGATTACTCTTATTACTTTAGAATTATTTAGATTACCGCGCTTCTAGCGCTTCCCGGCGCTCTACTTTCTATTAATTCTCGTAGTAATTAACCGGCACTTCCTACCCCGTATTTGTTTAACTTACCTATTAATTTAATTATAATATAATGCCCCTTCTTTTAAATCGACGCTTCGGCGATTACGTCCTTGAAATACTTACTATTCTCTTTTCCGCTTAATCTTCGTTAATAAATTTCTTTTCTTTACTTTTTTTCTTAAAACCCTAATTATCTTTAACAGTATATCTAAAACTTTTAACCTAAAATCTTTCTGATATATCTCCCTTATAACTATTCTTTTTTACTTAGGGTATAAAACTACACTATATTCTTATCACTTTTCGAAAAGCTTGGTATATAAAATATTTTCTTCGTTATAGTAATTATATTTACCGTAAACGTATTTACAGTAATATAAATATTCAGGTTTCGGTATATATATTTTTTACTTTATACTCTTTTCTTGTTATCTTTCTAACGTATGTATAAAATTAATTATATAATAACCGAAACCAATCGATTAACTTACGAAGAGGAGTTCGCCGAAAAGCATTTCTAATGTATTTAATATAAAGCCTAAGAGACTTAGCGCGCGGCTTAAAAAACTTTAACAGTCCTTACACGTTTTCGTCGTTAATACCGTTACCTTTCGTTATATAGTACCGAAATAATATAGCATAACCTTACTTTACTAAATAAGTTCGAAGTAATTAATTGTCGGAAGTCGGAAATTACGGCCGCGTAAGCCTCGGGTACTTTCGACTCGATTAACTAAAATACTATATTAAATAATATTTATTCCTTTAACCAATCCTCTCTTTTCGCCTCCCCCTTTAACTCTTTTAAATTCTCCTCTCTCCCAAAATAATTAATTATATACCTATCCCGAGGTATTTATTAACCTTATTATATAGTATATACTATACCGGCTACTATATCAAAGACACGCGTTTGATTTCCGTTAAAACATTGATACGTTAGGATTTTTAACTTTTTAAGAATCCTAACGTATGTTTTTTACTTATATTAACCTTAGCTGGTTTAAATATTACTAGTAAAATTCTTTTAATTTATTTAAGTAATTAAGGTTTACCATTAATTTCAATAAATTATCATTAACTAAGTATTTTAATTAACTAATTAAATATTTTATTTTATCTTTATTAAACCGTGAATCTAATTTTTTCTATATCGTACTCCCTTTCCTTATCCTTCGCTACTTCTTATATATTAACTTTATTTATTAATAATACGGGTTTTAAAATAAAAATATAAAAGGTATATAACCGTAAATATATTATATTAAGTAGTTTTAATTCGAATGCTATCCTTAATATTTTCCTTTTAACTTTGAATATGCCCACTCTTTTATAGCCTAGTTTCTTACTAAAGTTCTTAATACGTAAATTATATTATAAGAAAATATCATATCCCTCCCTTAAAG